TTGATGCTAATGGTATCTTGAATGTTTCCGCTTTGGAAAAAGGTACTGGTAAGACACAAAAGATTACAATTACCAACGATAAAGGAAGATTATCCAAAGAAGAAATTGAAAAGATGGTTAGCGATGCTGAGAAATTCAAAGAAGAAGATGAAAGAGAAGCAAACAGAGTTCAGGCCAAGAATGGTTTGGAAACATATGCTTACTCGTTGAAATCTACCTTGAATGAAGAACAAATGAAGTCCAAATTAGATGCCAGCGATATTGAAACCGTTGTTAAAGCGGCTGACGAAACAATATCATGGTTAGATTCCAACCAAACTGCTACTCAAGAAGAATTTGACGACCGTAAGAAGGAATTGGAAGGTGTAGCTAATCCAATAATGACCAAGGCTTACCAAGCTGGTGCTGTTCCTGGCGATGGTGCTGGTGCTGGTGGTCCAGGAGGATTCCCAGGTGGTGCTCCTCCTGCACCAGAAGCATCTGGTCCAACTGTTGAAGAAGTTGATTAGAAAAGAAACAAGAAACAAGAAAACAAAAAAAGATGCTTGTAAATTCCTTTTCATCACCACACTGTTTCACATACACCCTTTTTTTTTTTTTGCTAATGAAACATAATTTAAACAAAATTTGTACTATAGTTTTGATTAATGATTTATTATTGGGAAAAAAAAAGTTATAGCTTTATTAATAGATGTTTAATACAAGAGATATATGGAAAATTAACTCTACACGTTGTATACTAAGACGACACTATCAACACTATCGAGCCAAGCGAGATAGTGGTGCATAATGACTTGTATCTATCGAGCCAAGCGAGATAGTGGTGCACATTAGCTGCCACCAACACTATTGACACTATCGACACTATCTCGCTTTGCTCGATAGTGGAGCATACTAGCTGCCACCAACACTATCGACACTATCGACACTATCTCGCTTTGCTCAATAGTGGAGCACACTAGCTACCACCGACACTATCTCGCTCTGCTCGATAGTGTTTTCTAAGTGTATGAAAAACCGAAATTGACCAACCGGTGTTTTCAAACGGGTATTTGAAAATCAGAAAAAAAAAATAGGCTAAACGGAACTTCGTTTAGAACCTGTTTTTAGAGCAGATTTGTCTCGGAAATCAGGGTTGCAAAGAAAAGTCGTGTATTTATCCTATTTTAACCGTTGTGGTCGTTTTACCGTTTTATTTTATTTTTTGTTGGTGCTTCGAACAAGATCTCAAATCTCTTGCGAGGTAAAAGAAAATAGAAGCACATTTTTGTTGAGTACTAAAAGAAGTAGAGAAGCTGTTGTAGACTTCTCTACTTCAATGGACTAGGCTCACAGACTAATGTATTTGAACTCATCAACTACCTTCCTCTACAACGCTATGGACGCTTACTTGTATCTTTTTTTGAGATCTCTTTGATTATACCCAAAAAAAAAAACTCCGAATCCACTTAAATTCTTTGTGTAAAGTGCAACCAAGAGCCAAAATAACGGTCCTCTAAAGTCGTAGTGTCAGAAGAAGAAAAAAAAATACAACCCCGTTATATCGACTGTCCTCCGAGGCGCCAAAAGTGTGGCCCTATCCCTTACGTCCTAAATGTGATTATGTAAATGGGTGCCTTTGCCCGATAAAAATTTCCTTTGGGCCATGAGATGAAAAGAAGAAAAAAAAGAAAAAAAGAAAAAAAAATCACCCAACATTCTTACACAATTGGGGGCTCTTACGTAGAGTTCGCGGAAGCTGGCCAATAGTCAATTAGTTGGCATTGTTATTAATCTTATAAGTTTGGTAACTCATATAACAACCTCTACAGTTTTTTCTTCCAACAAACGCAGGGTCAAAAGAGATATTGGCTTGTTTTCTGTGCTCATCTATAAGCTTCTACTTCCCCTCCCCTCTCCTCTCCTCCTTCCTATCCTCCTTCCTCTCCTCTTGCGCTCTATCTCTTCTCTGGCCCCTTTTCTCTCACCCTTCTGCTTATTGCAACGCAGTAACTCCAGTTCCACATTCTTCATTAATCTCCGTCTAAGCGGCTTTTTGAATGAAAAATTTTCTGTCGATAATTTTTTTTTTTTTTTTTGTAAACATAGAAAAGGATGATAAAGAAACGAAAAAAGAAAAAAAAAACCAACAATAAGGTTAACTCGGACTGGATATCATTTTTTTTTTGTATCGGTGGTGAATACTATATGGAGTATAGCTTGTGTTTGAAGGAGCTGATCCAATTCATATATCAAAAGAAGCAAAAACCATTCGTTATCCATTGATCTTGCAAAATTCCCTTTTACTCTTCTTTCTCGTGAATACATTTGTAAACACTTTATACTTTCACACAAAACAAAAAAAAAAAATAGAAAACTATTCATAATGACTTCAGCCAAGATACATAAAGTAGTCCATGAAGCTAACGGAGTGCCCTTGAGAGAAACTCCAAAACAGTTTTTCGATAGGCAACCTAAGGAGGGAGGCTATATCAAGGATTTGAACCATTACCATGAGTTGTACCAAGAATCAATTGAAGATTCTGAAGGCTTTTTTGGCCGCTTAGCTAAGGAATTGTTATCCTGGGATAGACCATTTCATACTATAAAATCGGGTACTTTGCAAGATGGCAATGCCGCTTGGTTTCTTGGTGGTGAACTCAATGCCTCGTTCAATTGTATAGATAGACATGCATTGAAAACGCCAAATAAACCAGCATTGATTTATGAAGCTGATGATGATCAGGACTCGTACATTATGACATATGGCGAATTGTTACAAGAGGTCTGTAAAGTGGCTGGGGTGTTACGAAGCTGGGGTATTGGTAAAGGTGACGTTGTTGCCATTTATCTACCAATGAATGCACAAGCTATTATTGCAATGATGGCAGTAACAAGATTAGGTGCTGCCCACTCAGTCATATTTGCTGGTTTCTCATCCGGATCTATTAAAGATAGAGTTGATGATGCACAATGTAAAGCATTGATCACTTGCGATGAGGGTAAAAGAGGCGGGAAAATTGTCAACATCAAAAAGTTGTGTGACGAAGCTTTACAAAATTGTCCAAGTATTGAAAAAGTGCTTGTTTTTAAGCGGACAAATAATTCATCCATCTTGTTGAAACAAGGTAGAGATTTCTATTGGGATGAAGAAACGGCGAAATTCCCCGGATATTTACCACCAGTACCTGTTAATTCAGAAGATCCATTATTCTTATTATACACTTCGGGATCCACGGGATCACCAAAGGGGGTTGTTCATTCAACTGCTGGTTATTTATTAGGTGCCGCATTGAGTACAAAATACATATTTGATGTACATCCTGAAGATGTGTTGTTCACTGCTGGTGACGTTGGTTGGATTACAGGTCACACATATGCTTTATACGGTCCTTTGTTGTTAGGTATTCCAACTATAATATTCGAAGGTACTCCAGCATACCCCGATTATGGAAGATTTTGGCACATTGTGGAAAAGCACAAAGCTACTCATTTCTATGTTGCGCCAACTGCACTTAGATTATTGCGTAAAGCAGGTGAACATGAAATTCATAAATATGATTTATCTTCATTGAGAACCTTGGGATCGGTTGGTGAACCAATCTCGCCCGATATTTGGGAATGGTATAATGAGCATATTGGTAAAAATGAGTGTCATATTTCTGATACTTATTGGCAAACCGAATCGGGTTCACATTTAATTGCTCCACTTGCAGGTGTGACTCCTAATAAACCAGGCTCCGCATCATACCCATTCTTTGGTATTAAAGCAGCCTTGATTGATCCTGTTTCTGGAGTTGAAATCAAGGGCAATGATGTTGAAGGTGTGTTGGTGATCAAGGACCACTGGCCATCAATGGCAAGAACTGTTTATCGTAACCATGCTAAGTATATGGACACCTATATGAACCCATATCCAGGATACTATTTCACAGGAGATGGAGCAGCAAGGGACCACGATGGATACTACTGGATCAGAGGTAGGGTTGATGATGTGGTTAACGTTTCAGGCCACAGATTGTCTACTGCTGAAATTGAAACAGCATTAATTGAAGATTTAAGAGTTGGAGAAGCTGCCGTTGTTGGTATCAACGACGATATAACCGGTCAATCGGTAATTGCGTTTGTTGCTTTAAAAGAGGAGACTAGAGACTGTGAAGATCAAACTCAATTAAGAAAAGATTTGGTGTTACAAGTTAGAAAGTCTATTGGTCCATTTGCGGCACCAAAAGCGGTAATCATAGTGTTGGACTTGCCAAAGACAAGATCAGGTAAGATCATGAGAAGAATTTTGAGAAAGATAAGTTCTAATGAAGTTGATCAATTAGGTGACATTTCTACATTATCCAATCCTCGATCTGTTGAAGGTATAATAAAGTCATTTGGCTCTCAATTTGGTACAAAGTAATTGGGAGGAAGCGAGAGAACGAGGACGACGTATTTGATGCTAGATATTTATAAGCATATATACATACCTCTTTTTTTTATATATTTGGTACATCTTTCTTGAACAAACCATAAAACTGAAAAGAGAGTGCCCTGTTAAACTTTAGAATATCAACTAATAATTTATTTTTTTTTTTTTATTTATTTTTTTCATTTTTTTCATTTTTTTTTCCATTTTATCATTCGGTATTGATAGGCTTTGTCCTCTAGATGAAACGGCCAATATGGACATTATTACGCTCATTTACTATTCTTAAGCTATTCCAATTGGGAATAATATATTTCACGCTGTCGCAATTTGATACGTCGTCACAATTGATAATTGAATCACTCGAGTCTCCGTATAATGCAATAGTCACTGAAATTCTCAACAAATTAATAACATGGGATTCGGTTTACTTTAATGACTTATTTGTCAATGACATAGCATACGAACACCAATTTGTCTTTTGTCCCGGTTGGATCCAGCTAATTCGGTTTCTTTCCCCCCTGAATTATTATCAAGCACAACTTTCTAGCATTATTCTATCAAACGTTTTCCATTTTGAATCTTGTGTGCTACTCTACTATCTCACATATGCTATTTTCAAGAATAAAAGAATGAGCTACATATCTGGTTTAATGATGATCATATCTCCAGCTGGCGTGTTTCTCACTACAAACTATTCCGAAAATTTGAGTAATTTGTTGACACTAGCTTCATTATATATATATTATCAAGCTGTCGATTTCCAAGATATCACTACACGAAGCAACAAATCAATAAAGAGTATTACCTTGTATGTTATCAGTGGGATACTCATTGCATTAAACTATACAATCAGAGCCAATGGACTATTATTGGGTATACTATATATCTTTGACCTATATGATTTTTTCATAATTGATAACAATCGCAAGATGAGTCTTGTTACTATTTTCACAGGAATGATACTATTCGTTACTTTTGTTGCTCAAAACATTGTGCATTATTTGACTTTTTGTCCTGCGAGGAAAGGTTGGTGTACTTATACAATCCCGTGTTTATTCACTTTCGCACAGGGCCATTATTGGAATAATGGGTTCTTGGCTTATTGGACAGTGAACAATACCTTTAATTTTGTTCTTGCCATGCCCATAATTGTATGGAATTTTGTCTCTATAAAACAAATCAGCCTCATCTTACCACAGTACAAAAAACTCACATCGTTGGTTGTGCTTAGTTTGCTAATGATATTTTCGGGGTTATTGTTCTGGAATGTCCAAATACTAAACCGCGTGACTAGTTTTAACCCACTAATCTATTGGTGTCTTGCCATAAACTTTGATCATTATTGGATGGATTATGTTTTGGGGTACATTATATGCTGGAATCTTATCCAGACAGGACTATTTGCAGCCTTTTTACCCCCTGCTTAGAATATCAAACTCAGTGGGGTGAGGTGTGAAAAGAAAGTGAGCGGCGATATCGTTTAGACCTCATCCCATTTTATTTATTTTTGGACCAATGAAAAGAAAGACCTGGAAAAACCTTTCTCCACAAGTCGTGGTAATTCTACAATCTAATTAGAATCTTTACTTTACCTTAATTATACATTTTATACGAAATCTACTTACCCACCATTTCATTGAGTAACCAAACTAAGGAAAAAGGAGAAGGAGGAAAGAAAGGGCATGGTTTATCAATTTTATCGCTACCGTATTTCACATTATCATCAGGTAGCATTCACTTTGGTGGAAAAATCTTAATTGCAAGATGTTGTATGTTAATTTTAACCTAATTCGGTTAATTAATGCGCACTCTTCTCCTCCAAACAATGATTAAGCTAGATAAGGACGTTATCTCCATACACAAGGCAATAGCTGGGGAGGCATATATATAATGGACTGTTTATCAAAGGAAGGGAAAAAAAAAAGGAGGAAGAAGAAGAAAAGAAAGAAAATCAAAAAGTACTGACATTGGTCTTTTATCGAAATTTTAACATAATAACAGATGCTGGTCATAATGTCTGAAGGAGTGTGGTTGAATTTGTTCGCCGATAATCAGATTTTACTCTTTGGTATTTCTGCAGTTGCCATTGCTGGTTTCATGGTTAAATTGAACTTCCAAGCTGATAAGTCGCAAAAAAAGAGTAAATTGGATCCAAAAGCAGCAGGTTCAAAGTTTGTTTCAAAAACCGGCTCAAAAACCGGCTCTGCTAATGCCGAGAGACCTTTTGGACATTGGGATCCTGACTATACATTCAAGACACCTGTACCTGAAGCCTATCCAAACTGGGATATAAACAAGACCAAGCCAGTGCCATATCGTGCTTTTAAGCATCATTATCATGTGACCATGGGTATTAGAAACATGGACTGGCAATCATGGATTGAGTTGGATAATCAATGGCAATATTATCATGATTTGAAATTGAAAAGATTGGGAACTTTGGGCAAGGAAATTTATGGAATCAGTGATAAAGCTCTAGATGCATGTTGGGAGTTGTTGTTTGAATTGTGTAATTTCTTACCAAAAAGATATCCAACGTTATTCTCATATGACGAAAACACCAAGATCCTAGAAATCAAAGCTACAAATGAGATTTTCGATTTGAAAGATACGGAAAATCTCAACCCTATAGTTACCGCTGGTAAATTAATTCAAGACGATCTTGCTGTGTTGGTTGAAAATGAGCAAGGCTCATATAGTCTTGAAGCAGGGTGTGTTGCCCTTGCTGGATTTTGGCGTCTCAAGGATAAGTATCAGATGACATTGGATGATCTTCATCTTTCTGCAGATGTTCCAGTGCCAGACTATAAGCAAAAATTGGGTCCAGCAATGAATAGGTTTTTCAGAAGATTACCAGTTGGACAGCCTGTTTTGAGAAATAACTATTTTATTCAAACTGATAATGACTTGGCTTGGTCATTTTCCATTGGTAAAGAAACAGATGAAAAAGTCGGTTGGTATACTGCAGCCGAAGCAACCGATATCAACCAGCTACATCTCCGTAGCGAACGTCAAAGTTTGAGAAGATTACCAATTTCAGGAGCCATTGTGTTTACAATCAGAACTTATTTCTTGCCAATCACAGAATTGTGTAAGGAGCCTTACGTACCAAGAAGATTATTAAATGGAATGAATAGCTGGCAAGATAACGTTCAGGAATACAAGGGGTTTGAGAAGTATAAAAAAGTCTTGTTACCATATCTTGAGAAAATGGCAGAGGAACAAGAAGCCAATGGATTAGTTTTGGAAGAGGAACCTCAAACGTATCCTTATTGATTAGTAATGATGGATAGGAGTAATCAAGTTTTTACTTTTTTTTTTTTCTTTTTTTAAAGTGTAATAATAGTGTTTGGACACTGTAGGAGAGCGACATGATTCAACCAACATATCTCGACCGACATTGCTTATGGAGTTTGTTTTTTTTAGTTGCTTAGTCATTTTGGAAATTTACACCCATATATAAAGTGTAAGTTTCTGAATGACCCATTTATACTTTAAAGTGGTATCAATATATTCACTATGCAATCTTGAACAACATTTGTAAGGCTTTCATTTGGTTTACAGTGGTGTTTTCAAAGTTTTTTGGGGAATTTAGATTATATAAGGATAATATTGTAAGTGTATGTGACGACATTGTCGTTGAAGTATATATACTCTTCACGACACCAGTAAAAAAAAAAGAACCCTTTTCGCATAAATGTCTAAACGACATTGTTCACACCATACGTTGAAAACACGACATTGCTGTTTCCTGAAAATGCATCTTCAATATGAGAGTGATACAAATCTAAACGTTGGGATTGGATCAGACTTTTGTCCAAGTCATATCTACTTATCCACTGAACAGAACTGAATATCTTTTATTAGAGTACTCTAGTTGTTGTAGAAGTTGTTGTGCTTGTATTTTTACGATTTTATTATTGGATTGATCATGAAACTAGAGGTTTTGTTTCAGGGATATTTTATATACATTATCCTCCTTCTCTTCAAGGTACCGTTGTAAGCTCTAGTAATACGAAGTTCATATACAGAATGAACGACAAGAGTATTTTGTATTGGACTGGCACTCAATCCGGGATGCAATCAAACATGCGCTAGGAGAAGGTGAAGCTCGTTTTTGAAAAAGGGGAATGTAAACCTAGCACTATTTTATATTGGTTTTTTTTTTTTTTTTTTTACAGACTGCTAGAGCAAGATTTTATACAGTTTCTCTCCCTGGTGATATACGAGCCAGATCACATAACCAGACCCGGATATTTCTCTACTCACCGCAAAATGTATTCAATATACATCTACCCCAAATACACTTTATGAATTTGGTGGGGTTTCTTTTTTTTTTTTCTTTTTTTTTTTGGTTTGTCCGACTTTCCGGCTTGTCGTTATTTGTGTTTCTTGTTCTGAAGCTTCACGTTTTTCAAATTCAATCATTGTACTTTGGAAGTAAGATGACCAAGCTTATTGAAAGAAAGTAAGTAACATTTGTAAGAGCATCAAGGTGTTTAAAAGGGTGTATTAGTGAGATTTTTCCAAAAAACATGTTTCAGAGAAATTTTGATTTGAGAAGTTATTATTGACATTTTTGTATCTCTAAATGCTAAACTTTATTTACTTCGCTGGACCCTCTCTATTCAAGAAAGTACCTATCATCTAGTATCCATTTGAGAGTTGTCTTATATCTACCACACTACATGATTCAAAGCATTATTATTAGCATTTTAAAGACAAATAGTGAGTAAGACGCGGTTCTTGTGTCAGGTGATCTCCTGTCTAAGATGATTAGATAACATACGGGTTTGAGAGTTTTTCTTCAAATTTACTAACTAGTTTACCTTCTCAATGTATTTCCATAAAGTTGAGGTTTGGGAGCAAACCTCAACTACCGAATTATGAGTACATTTTAAAGAGTAATTGAGGTAAGAACCTCACAATTAATAATTGTTTGTTTAATAAACCAAATAATTAATTTAAAAACTAACTAATAATACAAATGAATTGAAAGCAACTCCCCCCTCCCGACTCCCGACTATGATATTCAACATACAAATACACGCATTTTCAACATCTATGATCTTTCACCTCTTAATCTTCTAGCTAATTGGATATCCTTCTTCTGGATGGTAACTCTCTTTGCGTGAATAGCACATAAGTTAGTGTCTTCAAATAATCCAACCAAGTAAGCTTCAACGGCTTCTTGCAAAGCACCAATAGCACTCGACTGGAACCTCAAATCAGTTTTGAAATCTTGAGCAATTTCTCTGACTAATCTTTGGAAAGGCAACTTTCTGATCAATAACTCAGTAGATTTTTGGAATCTTCTAATTTCTCTCAAGGCAACGGTACCTGGCTTATATCTGTGAGGTTTCTTAACACCACCTGTTGATGGTGCTGATTTTCTAGCGGCCTTTGAAGCCAACTGCTTTCTTGGAGCTTTACCACCTGTAGATTTTCTTGCTGTTTGTTTAGTTCTAGCCATTGCGTTTGAATAGAAGAAAAAGAAGAATTAAAAAGAGTAGGTAGCTAAATCTATAGGGATTATCAATACAATTTAAATAATTAGATTTGTCCGTTTGGCTCTCTTTTACAAATCTGCGACCCGACAAAGTTTGGGGAGAGAGAGCCTCCCTCCCCCCTCCCCAAAATGTTGTGGTTTCCCAATCACAATGGCTACGACTTATCTCTCCTTTCTTTTTTTTTTTTTCTTGTAGTATGCTTATAGGCAGCTCCTTCTCTTTCCACTAGGTGAAATAAAGGATCCTTTCTTACCAAGAGAGTATTGACTTGATCTTTTGTGCCACTTTTACTTGCCTTATAGTAAGGTAACTTAGGACTGAAAATTATTGATAACTCTCGGAATGGTAGCGGTAAGGTCTCTCACAACAGGAAAGACGTAGGCTTCTTTCTTTTTTTTTTTGTTTTGTTCTCAGAGTTCCGTTACAAGAGCGTACAAAAAGTAATTTTATACGCTACCATGTGTTATTCAAAGAGAAGAGGCGATGGGACCTTTAAACTAAGTTTTTCTTCTTGACTCAACAGAAGAAACGTACTTACTTTTTTAACTGGCTTATCGTTGCTTTCTTTGAGTCTTTAAGCAGGGAGGGAAGAGGAAGGCGGACTATTGGTAGTTATATTTGTTACAAGTGCACTACTCGGTAATACTTTAGGACCCGATCTTTTTCTTTTTCTCTTTCTCTCTCTCTCTCTCTCTCTTCTCTCTCTCCCCACCCATGTCTTCCCCAGGTCTTTGCGTCATTCTTCTCTTCTCTTGTCGCAAACTGGCCAAAACAAAGTCCCGCGTATTTGCCTCTCTTTCCTTTGTTCGCCTGAGTAATTACAACAACAACAACAACAACACAGCATTAATACAATACGATAATTAATTCTTAGCGCCCCGGCCTCCCGCCTTCCTCCCCCCCCCTCCCTCACCTCATTCTCTCTATCTCTCCCTTTCTTCCTTTGTTTCTCTTCCTTCGTTGTACATTGCTGCCCACCAAAATTTTCTCTACCCTTTGTCATTCACTATATATAACTATTAATTCCCACATTTTCAACATCAACACTTTTTTCTCCCCCTGTTTAGACTTTCTTTTTATTCTTTTCTTTAGAAGGCTAATAAAATATAATCAGTAATAATGTCAGGAAGAGGAAAAGGTGGTAAAGGTTTAGGAAAAGGTGGTGCTAAAAGACACAGAAAGATCTTGAGAGATAATATCCAAGGTATAACAAAGCCAGCTATCAGAAGATTAGCAAGAAGAGGTGGTGTTAAGCGTATTTCTGCTTTGATTTACGAAGAAATCAGAGTTGTTTTAAAACAATTTTTAGAAAATGTCATCAGAGACGCCGTTACATATACCGAACACGCAAAGAGAAAGACTGTTACTTCATTGGATGTAGTTTATGCATTAAAGAGACAAGGTAGAACCTTGTATGGTTTTGGTGGATAAATATAAGATTGTGACTATCATTATTAAATATTATTTCGCTTGTGGTTGAGGCTTTTCAGTTCTAAATTTTGAATTTTGTATAGTATTTTAATATATTAAAAAAAAAGAAGATTTTCGTCACTATAATTGGTAGAATTCTCTGACGGGGATTTGGTGGTTTTGAAGTTGGTGAGAAAAAAAAAATCATCAAATTTTGAAGAGAGAAAAATAAATACAATTTGTTCACTAGGACAATAATATTTCAAACTTCTCTATTAGCTCAGTTTATTAGTGGTCATTGTTCTAGATAGTCTCTTCTCTCTTTCGACTAGACTCGCTTTGCTCGTCTTATGACCCGATATCGGTTATCCTTATTTTATCGCCCAATTCCCCCTGCTCAACTATCTTCAAATCAACATTTTCTTTCAATATACCTTGGTCTTTACAAACATCGACGATTTTCTCAAGTTCAGCTGTTGAAAATTGACTATCTAAAGGGATTTTACCCTGGGGTATCTCCAATCCGTCTTCGTCTAAATTCGTATCCAGTTCAAACTCATTTTGCTCGTTCCCCACGTACTCTTCGATTTCATCCTCGCCCACTTTTTCTTCACTCTGCTCGTTTCCCGCTCCTCTATCAATTTGATTGTTGAAATATGTTATATATTGAGAGCGCTCAACATCTTTTAGAACTTTTTTTTTCGCTATTTTCGAATCATTCGCTGTATCATCTAGCTCTGGTGGTACAATTGGGTGTTTTTCTATTAGCATTTCTATTTTCTCTCTAGCTGATTCTTCAACTGTTCGTCTGGGTAATTCTTGCCCTTCCGGTTGTGTATATAAATCTATTTTATCCTTACTCATGGTGTAATTATTAATTTCTATTTCTCTCTATATATAATTATATACATGTGTGTGCGCGATAGGGTTCAAGAGTTTACCCTTGTGCTGATACTCGCTTATATATGTACTTGCGAGTAAAGTCAAAACCAAGTAACCAACAGTGTGTATTTCTTTTTAAGCAAATTTCAACCAGAGATGTTTATGTCAACGTAATTGTTATGTATGATGTTCGAGAAATTATCTCTGCGTCTATCTCTGTCTTTTTGATAAACATCAAAGCAAGTGTGATTCTGATGAGGATGGTGACGTAATTTGACAGGCCCGTTTTTAGCAATCGTTTTGCGGTCGTCGTGTGATTTGCCCGAAAACACATTGCAAGCCAATGTAAGTTAAATGGTTGCAAATCAGAAATGACGTTCCCGACACTAGGGAGCGAAGCGAGCTAGTGGAGCAGCACTGACTATCGAGCAAAGCGAGCTAAGCGAGCTAGTGAAGCAGCACTGACTATCGAGCGAAGCGAGCTGGTGAAACAGCACTGACTACCGACACTATTGAGCAACACATGGTAGCTTGGTAGCTCTGTTACACACTGACTAGCTGCCCACTATCTCGCTCTGCTCGATAGTGGAGCAATAGTTAGTAGCTTGTTACAACACTATCTCGCTCTGCTCGATAGTGGAGCATGCGAGAGAAGTAGAGATGTTATTGAGCAGAGGGCAAATTACCCAATAATTGTTTACCTATCGTGAATAGATTCCTCGTGGATTGCATCTGACTTTTATGATTTTTCCTCCTACTTTTCCTCCTTCTCCTTCTTCTCTTTTTCAGCTACATCTCTAATACCATTCAAAAAATTCTCAATTCCTTCACCTTGGTAATCGTATTTCAAACTTTGCGCTAAAAGATATCCAGCACCATTACCTCCAGTTAACAGTTGACTTAATTTCTGTTCACATTGCTGGTAAAACCCACTTCTTATAACATCATTGATTATCTGGTCCTTTGTTGGATTTGATGCGATTGAAGGAGGTAAATAATCAAAATACTTTTCTTTCAACTCTTTAGTGGACAATTTGGATAAATGAGCTTCAATTGTAGGGATATCCAATACCGATGATATTGAACCTATTGGTGTTTTGATTTGTGACTGTGACTGTGACTGGGTTGAATCCAGCTCATTCTTTTTCATCTCTTGTCTACAAAAAATAAATGAGGGTTAGCAAAATCAAATAAAACATTCTGTATTATAAAAAGTAGATTAAACAAAACAGAAAAAGGATAAAAGATTTACTTACGTTTTGATAGGTTCGCCCATTTCAATATCTCCTGGCTTCCGTTGCTGCTCATCGTCATTGTTATCATCCTCATCATCCTCATCCTCGTTAACGGTTACAAGGTCGGAGATCTGCTGTATTATCTTATTATCCTTTTCAGTGAATTTGTTCAAATGATCGATATCTCCTACATCCTGCAACCAATAGAGATACTTGGCACCGCTGGACATAAACGTCAATGCAAACACCCTGCCCGTATTACATGATTTGATGACCCTAATAGTTACATCTCCTGGCATTAACAATAATTCATCCTTTTCCACTGCAGTAGAACCATTAACTTGAGATAATGATGATGAGGACGATGGATGGGTACTGGGGAAATTGAGTTGGTTAAGCTGTTGCGTTTGGTCTTGTTTTGGTGTCCATGTGAAATCTAGAAACTCGGGATCTTCTATACTGGGTTTTATTGAGATTACTCCCTTATATGGTAATGGCGTGCATCGATTCGTCTCTTCGTCGTATTGAACTTTGCCAGCATGAAACTTTAAGGACTTTGTAGGTGCCATTCTCTTAGTACCAAATATCAACTTATTATCCAATTGCTATCCAGTCTGTCTACTCAGTTGGCCTCAACTGTTGAATTTTAAGTCTTGGTTGGTATTGTTCAATTTTCTTTTGCCACTAAACAAGTGCCGAAGAAAAAGTGGAAAAAAAAAAAAAAAAAAAAAAAAAAACTCGCGATTTTTATTTTCAGCTATGCACGAGTGGTAAGGTTGTTCTCAAGTGATTAGGTGACTAAACGGCGACAACAAGTTCAATGACATTCCCACCGGATGATATCAAAGAAACAGTCAATGAGATAGCGAGGATCCTACGATTGAGGAAGCAAACTCTCGCAATTTCCGAAGCAGCATGTGGTGGTTTAATATCAGCTTATATTGTCACGGTGCCAGGAGCATCGGATTTTTATATTGGTGGTAAGCTACTATACTCGTTGAAGCAGAGATTGAAATTGTCGGGCTGGTCCAAGGATGAGATTTCAAATTATATGGGTCCAAGTGAACAAGTTGCTTTGAAGTTAGCAAGAACTGCCAAATACGAATTGGGTTCAACGTTTGTTTTATCGGAAACAGGATTTGCCGGCCCATCTACCAATTTGTCAATTGATGATGAGGAGGAGGAGGATAAATCTGAGGGTAAACCCAAGGAGGGCAAATCCAAGGAGAAGAAACCTAAAAGCGCGGATGTGGGCACGGTATTTATTGGGTTTACTGGTCCAAACGGCGATTCCTCAACAAGTAAAAAAATGGGGAATTATGAACGTGCTCAACTTATGAGTGATTTTGCCAAGTTTGCTTTGGAATTTTTATTAGAACAATTGAAGAAGAGTTGAAGGGGACATGGGAAGAGATGTGGGAAGAGATGTGGGAAGATATGTTGCGAGAAAAATTTGAGAAAAGTGGGAGAAGTTTCTGAGAAAGGTTGATTTTAGTGGTGTATAATCAATAGTAGAGAATTGGTTTTTTAGTGTTGGTGGCAGCTAGTGTGCTCCACTATCTCGCTCTGCTCGATAGTGTCGGTCGATGGTGTCGTTTTCTAAATCTATATTCTACCATGCAGATGATGTTGCAACTTTAACGTAGTGAATTGGTAAAGTTTTGTTTTTAACAAGAAATTGGTATGTTTTTCGCAATAAATCTTTAAATTATTTGAGGACTCAAAGAAATTTGAAAAATAACACAAATCAAGTGACACTAGAGAACGAGGCGAGCTAGTGGAACAGTATGTAAAGAGTACAGGTAGTAGAGAGTACAAATAGTACAGGTAGTAGAGAGTACAGATGGTACAGATTGTAGAGAGAGTATAGTACAGAATATACTGCAGCTACTAGCGCGAAAAGTATCTCAGTTTAAGTAAACATAATTCTAGTGCCATAATTCACATACAACTTGTACAAGCTAAAAAAAAAAACACAGCCCCAAGCAGACCTAATAGGTCGCTACTATCAACCTTTGCAAACAAGGCTAAACTACTCGCTAAGCCAGGAAAAATCAAACTCTGTCTAAATTTGAACATCTCTGTTCCTTTACTCACGTGACTAAATACACGATTACATTTGTTGGCTTTACTCACGTGAGTGAAGGAGTGTGGTGTAACGTAACAGATAAAGGGGCGTAATAGAGGGATGGGATCGTGTATTTAGTCACGTGAGTAAAGGGGGTGTAATGTAACAGATAAAGAGGTGGTAATAGAGGAATGGGATCGTGTATTTACTCACGTGACCAACTTTTATCGACAATTCTCGCTTTCTCTCTCGCCCCCCCCACTAAACCAGAGACCTTATAGGTCGCTACTACTATATCAACCTTTGCAAACAAGTGCTAAACTACTCGCTTAGCCAGGGAAAAAAAAATCCAACCCGTGAACATCCCTTCTTCTACCCCTATTCACACACATGGCTAAATAAATACACAATCACATCTCTATTAACACCTCTTTATCTGTTACACTCCTCCACTCACGTGACCATAATCGTGTATTTACACACGTGACTCTTTTTCTCCTTTGCACACGTCGTCAATTTTTTTAATTTTTTTAATTTTTTTTTTTTTTTTTTTTTTCGTTTTGGAATCAAAAGACACCACACAAAGAAAAACAAATCTCTTATTCTCCTATAAGAGTTGGAATAGTTTTTATATGAGCCATGAGTACTGGTATGTATCTGAGTTGAAGTTGTATATACAGGTTTAAGAAATTTTATTATGGTGTTACTAACAGACAATGCTCCCCCCTCTTTTTCTTTTGACTATTTAGTAGCTGAACACCACCATACACTGCATTCTGCAGGTAACTTACCACAAGATATCAAAATAATAAAAAAAGTTTTGAACGGATATGTTGGGTTTGCCAATTTACCCAAGCAATGGCACAGAAAATCAGTGAGAAGAGGCTTTACTTTGAATGTTATGGCTATTGGAGAGGCGGGTTTGGGCAAATCAACATTAATCAATACGCTTTTCAACCGTGATATGATGAATAATAAAAATAGAAATGAGTTTGATAGTAATGGTTTCGGTAGCAATGGCAATGACGCCGAGGACGATGACGTTGATGAAAATGGTGGCGAAGACATTGAGGGGACTGAAACAGCAGAAACCAAATCACTGGCCCGAAACGGTGATGGTATCAATAGCACCAGCAGCAATGTCAGGATCAAAACAACACAAGCCGAGATTGAAGAGAATGGCGTTAAGCTAAAGGTGAGTATCATAACCGCTCCAGGATTTGGTGAATCTATAAACAATTTTGATTCTTGGAAACCAATAGTTGATGAAATCAATAGTCGATTCGATTCATATTTAGAAGCCGAGTCAAGGATTAACAGATCAACAGTTGTTGATAATAGAGTTCACGCGTTTTTATATTTTATTGAGCCAACAGGACACACGTTGAGAAGCTTGGATATCACATTAATGAAACAAGTTCATGAAAAGGTTAATTTGATACCAATCATCGCAAAATCAGACACATTGACCGATGAAGAGATTCAACAGTTCAAAAAGGCCATATTGCAAGATATTCACCACCAAGGGATCAAGATTTTCAAGCCTGCTGATTTTGAAAATGATGACGAAGAAAATATTGCTAATACTAATCAAATTATTAACAAATTCCCATTTGCTGTAATTGGATCAACCAAAGAGGTACAAACCAGCGACGGTAGATTAGTTAGAGGCAGAAAATACCCATGGGGAATAATTGAAGTTGACAATGAAGACCACAATGATTTTGTCCAGTTACGCCAATTGCTAATCCGTAACTTTTTGGAAGAATTGAAAGAAACAACTTCGAATAAGTTGTATGAGAACTACCGAACCGAGAAATTGAAGAGAATGGGTATCGAGCAAGATGATTCAGTGTTTAAGGAATTTGATCCATTAACCAAACAAGAAGAAGAACGAGCATTACATGAAGCGAAATTGGCCAAGATGGAAGCAGAAATGAAACTGGTTTTCCAACAAAAAGTTAGTGAAAAGGAGAAGAAATTGCAAAGATCAGAAGCTGATTTATTTGCTAGACATAAAGAAATGAAGGATAAATTGACTAAACAGATTAAATTATTAGAAGAAAAGAAACAACAATTGGAAAAACAAAAATTATTGCCTCCAGAACAACCAGCTCCAGTTTCTGCTCCAACCAAGACACGTAAAGGGTTCTTACGTTAAAAACATCTAGCCCCATCGTTTTCCCTTTTTGTTTTTACCTAACCTACTACCTTTTTACCCATTTTTTTTTTTTTTTTTTTTACTAAAGAGAAAGAATGATAAAGTGTATAGTTAGTTACTTGTATAGTATATGATTTTTACTACAGTGAATTTGATATCCAGAAGCATGTGAAAAGTAGTAAGACCACAACGAGGCTGGTAATTAGAAAAAGGACTAAACGCTTCTCTCCACTAGATATCAGGACTAAACTGAATATCACCTGATTGATCTAAGCTGGAAAAATCATTCTTTGCTTGAAATTGAGCTGACCTTTTTTTGCCGAGTCCTATGACAATTGAAGATTACTGCAAGTGATTCTATGACAATTGAAGATTACTGCAAGTGATTCTATGACAATTGAAGATTACTGCAAGTGATTCTATATTGCAAGTGAATCTACATTGCAAGTGATGGCGTTACGTTACTCTTTGTAAGTGAAGGACTGGGGGGTATTAAAGGACACATGGTAGCGAAGAAACAGTAGTAAGTGGTTTCTTCTTCTTGCTTAGTTTGCATGAGGTAATGAACACTCAATTGGTTTGCATGAGGTAATGACCCTCAATTGGTTTGCGTTGATGGTATAGTGTGGCTATGGCGGTAGCGGTTGTAGTGTTCTGTTGAACTGAAATTGTACCAGTTGACAGGAGCAAACAAGAGAACAGAGACGAGCTTTTTCTTTATTATTGCTACTGTAAAGTTGCAAGAGGGGTGGAAATAACACTTTGCTGGGCGAAAAAAGGAAAAATAATGCCGTGGGGGGTGGGGCGAGAGAAGTAAAATTAATGGGGGGTGGGGCGAGAGAAGTAAAATTAATGGGGTGGAGGGGCGAGGGAATGGCAAGGGCGAGGCCGAGGAAGAGAGTTTTTCAACAAAGGAAAGTTGAAGCAAAGGGGGTAAAAAAAAAAGGGCAATTAATTTTTTTCTCTCAATTTTCAATTTACTTTCTTCTCCTTTTAATATCGCCATTTAATCATCAAGGTAAGTTGTGTCTAGTTGTTCAGTACAAGCTTGATTGTTAAAGTATAGGGTAAAGAGTATACGGAATACGGAATACAATATACCAGACTTTTTTCCTGGCTCAATTTAAGCGAATTAGAAACTGACCCATTGAGGAATCATATCTATTGGGTGGTATTACTAGTTCTAGATTTTGGTTTTTTTTTCTTTTTTTCAATTTTATTTTGATAGTGTTAGTCGGGGGCCCACAGGTTAAATGACAGCTGAACCATCTACGGAATCTAGTGCAAGTGCGTCTTCATCGCCAGCACCTGCAATCAAATTTGAGAAGGGAAAGCTACTTCAAACAGTACAAACCACCCAATTTGCGTGGTTTGTAGGTAATGTCTTGACCATATTGGGATTCTTGTTGTATTCATTGACATATTTAGATTTTTTTCCATCATTTTATAAACCATTTTACTTTATTACATTGATCGGGGTCTTGATATCTTTTGGTATATTAATTTTCCAATTGATTCAAACTAATGGATTTAGATTTACATTATTGATCAAGGATGATAATACTCATTATTTGTTGTTGGGTGGATTCTTGTTATTTCTCAGGCCCTATGTTTGGATAACTTTGATTCCTTATTTTGTGTTTTCGATATTTCACGTATTGGCTTATACAAGCGGTAACTTATTGCCAATATTTGGATTAGAAAAAAGCATTATATCCAAGTATATCACTAGTTTTGTTAGTGCTAATAATGCGAAATCTATTCAAGTTGCCAGTGGCATTGAATTGATTACATTGATTTGGCTCTTGATTAGAATGTTTACATTTAGAAAAAGATCATTAAGTCCCGTGTTGGTTTATTTGGTATTTACTAAAAAGAGATACGAAGTTAGTCCATTTACCAGGAACTATCTTAAGGTGATTAAAAATGCAATTGACCAATTTGTTAATGATTTGAATCAGCCAATCATCAAGGAAGGCTGGTCCCATATTCAAAAGGTTTTTGCTGTGATTGATAGCTATAAATTGGTTAATGATTATACTCTTGAGAAAGCGGAATAGGATTATTGTGAGTAACCCAACTAAGAGAGAGAGAGAGAGAGTAGTAATAGTAGTGGCAGCAGCAGTAGTAGTAGTAGCAGATAAAGGAGAGGAAGGGAGAGAAGAGTTTTTGAATTGAGATAAAGTTAGACAGATAATGAGAGGTTTGTATTTATATATGTGAATGCATATACATTATTACTTCCCAATTGAGCGCGCCTACTGGTGCCTGTGCTTGTGCCTGTGCCTGTGCCTGTGCCTGTGCCCATCCCTGTGTTTATACCCATCCCTGTGTCTATGCCTGTGCCCATGCCTGTGCCTGTGCCCATGCCTGGTTCAATGATTGTTTATCATGTGTCTGTTTTTAGACACATGGTAGCAGTGGAAATTTGTATTGTACGGCATCGCATACAATACAAAATTCTTTCACAGGTTTGTAGTAGTAGTTGTTGTTGGTATTCCCCTCCCCCCAGTGACAATTGACCTTCTTTTCCGTCCCTTTTCTCCCCTTTAGCAAGTGAAGGGCCCCAATATAGTGTAGCTGCCCCAATTGGAACTACAATGAAGATGCTGCGACCGTGTTTACTACGAAGTAACAAGTATTTTTCTTATATTTTTTTTATCCTCGGTGGATTGATAACTATTCTAACCATATTATCCTATAATTCAAAGTTGAATGGTCCCGATAAACCTAGTTGTCGGGTAGTTTGGATGTATCCGTCGTATGCACGAATCAAGTCGTTTGATGAGTCATATACTTCCTATGCTAAGAAGTACTCCTTTTACTTGTATAGAGAACAAGGCAAGGATAAGCTACCAAAGGATGATGATGGTAGTATTGATTTAGAAGGTGTTCCTGTTTTGTTCATTCCTGGAAATGCCGGGAGCTTTAGACAAGTCAGATCGATAGCTTCAAGAGCCGCTGATCTATATTATCACGAGAGGAAAGAGGAGGAGGAGGAGGGGGGTAAATTACCAGGATTGGACTTTTTCACTATTGATTTTAATGAGGATTTCACCGCGTTCCATGGACGGACTATATTAGATCAAGCTGAGTTTGCTAATGAAGTGGTCAAATTTATAATTGGCTTATATAAAAAGCGGCAGAACCAGAAAGACACTGCTCCCAAGTCAGTCATTCTTATTGGTCACTCCATGGGCGGCATTGTGAGCAGGATAATGCTAACATTGCCCAATTACCAACAAGATTCAATAGAGACTATTATCACGTTAAGTTCTCCTCATTCTGCTTCACCGTTGACTTTTGACGGCGACTTGATCAAGATTTACTCAGCGGTGGATAAGTTTTGGCAATTGGGGTTCTCGACGAATAAAGAGTTATCATCATCAAAAAAAGTAGACGAGATTGCACATGAGAGACTAGCTAATATTGCACTAGTTTCCATTACGGGAGGAGCATTAGATTTTACTTTACCTGCAGATTACACTACTTTGGGATACATTGTCCCTGAACTGAATGGATTTACTAGTTTCACTACTGGGATTCCATTAGTATGGACACCTATTGATCATTTGGCTATTGTTTGGTGCCAGCAATTGAGAACTAGAATTGCTTATGCATTACTTGATATTGTCCATTTGGAGCGAAATGAAAAGGAGAATTGGTTAACGCAGAGGATGAATGTTTTTAAACTGTATTTTTTAAGTGGGTTTGAGCAATATGTTCACGAAAATCAAGTGTTGGAAAAACGCCATCGATTGAGGAGTCTGGGTCAGGTATTAAAATTGAATAAAAGGTATACTCGAGGAAAAGAGTTGGGCAAAAGGAGTATATTCCAATGGGAAAAGAATGGCAACAAAGAGATACATTTTTCATTATTATCATCAGTGCCGATTAAAGAAGGAGGATTTTCTATTCAATTGTGCTTGACAGATAACACTGATGAAGAGCAGCAGCGTTTATTTTGTTCATCGATGGAATCGAGACAAAACATAGTGCCGAATTTCTCCAAGGGTGTAAATGACATATCTGACTCATCGTATAATGGTGATAAACAGCCATTTTACAGTGTAGAATTGGATTCTGAACTTTTAAAAATGTACAACTGTATCATTATTGAGAATGTTGAAGATACCCAGTTTATTAGTATGGAATTGTCTACATTTGAAACAAAATACACAATGCGTGGAAATACATTCAGTATGTTAACCACAGGCAACTCAATTAAGTTACCTTTCAATAGGCCACAAATGATTGATTTGTCCATTCCTCAAGCTTGGAACAGTTTATTAGTATATAAAGCTCATTTCGAAGGCTGTTTGGAAGGTGTCCAGTATAATCCATTCATACGACAGTATACACAGGAACCATTTGAAAGCAAATGGTTTCTCAATGTCAGGGAGTCGATTGAACTAACAATGCATGGAATAGCGCCATATGTGCCATACAACAATACTCATGATAACCATGCGATGAATCTACAAATTTGGTCGTCGAATTGTGACAAAAGAGAAGAGTTGAAATTATTTATACAGGTTGATTATCTATCTAGTTTGAAATTGCTAATCTTGAGATATAGATTAACGATAATTGCATTCAATATAGGCATATGTGCACTCGTGCTTTCCTTGCAATTTTATCAAGTTGAGAAAATGCCTTCATTTTGGCATACTTTAATTTATTTGAACCTGAATTGGTGGTGGTTGATTGCACTTGTGTTGATGTTTTTTAACGTTTTGGTCAATATGCCTGGTATTAAGCAACTTTTGTTAACCTGCAATCCTGCTTTATTACAAGTTGGAAAGTCACCAGCATTGAAAGGCAGTGTATTTGATGTAAATCTATTATATTTGGGGTTGAAGGAGAGTTTCACAGTAGTTGGTATAATCCTTTATTTTGTTTCCAGTTTTGTTGTTGCCATGTCATATTTTGCGTTGATTTTGATAGGCGAATGCATCAACTTTGTACGCAATTTGGATTTGTTCAAATTGCGCTTTTTCAAAGCAAACCCACATGTGATGATGACGACAAGGACAAAGACGAGAACGACGACTTGTTTGCAAATGTTTATAATTTTCCTTGTGTTGATACTAATTTCGTTTTACATTCCATATCAAATAGTCTACTTATTATCATGTTTCATTCAAGTTATCAACGTGCTTAAAGACTGGCCCGGCAAAAATAATACACACCTGACGATATCCAACTATCAAATAAGTTGGTTGATGATGATGCTATGGATTTTACCTATAAATGTGCCGATATTAATTGTGTTTATTCACAATTTAGCGGTGAATTGGAAAACTCCATTTAGTTCTCATCATAATGTCTTGCTGATACTACCGATCCTTATTCTTGTTAAATATAATGGATCAATCAGAGAAATGAAGGCGGGGGACAAAAAAGTTGAGTTAATGGTGAAGTTATCAATGAAGTATTTGTGGATATTTGCTTTTGTTTATGGTAGTAGATATACGTTTTTCATTCATCATTTGTTCAACTTGTTGAGTTTCTTGGTCTTGGTTTATTTAGGGGGCTCGCTAAGTATTGGGGGTATGTAGACAATTAGAATATAGATTATAGAAAGCGACACTATCGACACTATCGAGCAGAGCGAGATAGTGGAGCACACTAGCTCTCAGCTCTCAATACTAGCTCTCAGCTCTCAATACTAGCTCTCAGCTCTCAATACTAGCTCTCAGCTCTCAATACTAGCTCTCAGCTCTCAATACTAGCTCTCAGCTCTCAATACTAGCTCTCAGCTCTCAGCTCTCAACACTATCGAGAGCGAGATAGTGGAGCACACTAGCTGCCACCACTAGCTATAGTAATTTCGGAATGTCAAAGATTATTGAAAAAAGTGAAATTAAGTAAAGACAAGGTTGGTTGGTTGTTGAGAAAATGAAAAAAAAAGAAGTGTTTGAAAACATTGGTATATTAATATACATAAATAACTAAATAAAAACATATATCATTAGCTAGATAATTTAAAGAAGTGAAAATAAGGTTGTTTTTGTTGTTGTTGTTGAGGTGATGATGAAAAAAGAGTGTTTTGATTTGATGATGAAAAGGAGTGATTTGATGATTATGGACCTGTGTGCATGAGTGTGAATGTGTGCATGAGTGTTGTGCGTGAGTGTATGGATCAATAATGATTAGTTAGTAGCTGATGAGTATTTTGTCACAGCTCTAGTACCTTCTGAAACCGCGTGTTTAGCCAATTCACCAGGTAAAATCAATCTAACTGCAGTTTGGACTTCTCTTGCGGAAATGGTTGATTTTTTATTGTAAGCAGCCAATTTTGAAGCTTCACTAGCAATTCTTTCGAAAATATCGTTAACAAAAGAGTTCATAATAGACATTGCCTTTTGAGAAATACCTGTATCTGGATGTGTTTGCTTCAAGACTTTGTAGATATAAGAAGAGTAAGTTTCCTTTCTCACTTTAGATCTCTTTTTTCCACCATCGGTTGAAGAGGAAGTCTTTTTAGCGGCTGGTTTTTTTTCAGCTGGAGCTTTTGAAGCTGGTTTCTTTTCTGCTTTTGGTGCCATTGTATAATAAACTTAGTATAGTAAAATAAATCTAAAGAGAAGGATTCAATTTTGGTTGTAAAAAAGAAAAAGAAGTGATGTTTTTTTCCAAAGAGGAATTATTCAATTATTTATAATCCTCAATTTATAGCGCGCGAAAAATTGAGAAAAAAACAAAAGAGAAAAACAAAAGAGAGAGAGAATAAAGAGAGAGAATAAAGAGAGAGAGAAAAGAATTAAAGAGAGAAAGAGACAAGGAGGAAAAAAGAGAGAGAGAGAGAGAGAGAGAGAGAGAGAGAGAGAGAAATGCAACAGGCGAAAAACAAACAAACAGGAAAATAGAATACCTCGAGGGTAGGAGGGTAGGAGGGTAGGGGGAAGGGAGGTAGGAGGTAGGTGGGTAGGATGTAGGAGAGTAGGAGGGTAGGTGGGTAGGTGGGTAGGATGTAGGAGAGTAGGACGAGTATTGTGTCAATGTTGTGACTTCAGAGGAGAGTACTCGAGATGGAGGACTATCATGCCATCCTATTCCCAGAATATGTCTATTTCTTCACAATCTTCTTCTTCTCTCTCTATGATATTTACAATTACAATGTAATATTTTGTTTTGCAAAACAAAATGGTGGCGATTCAATGAGTCGTGTAAACGCGCACTAAAAAGAGACTTTTTGAAATTCAGAGAAGAGAACATTAGTGGGAGTAACTTTGAGACTGGAGAGAGTAATTTTCAGTCCAACACACAAAACAGCGCGAGGCCAAAGAGAATTTAGAAGAAGAAGATAATAGGAGAGAGATACTTCAAGAGAGATACTTCAAGAAGAGAGACTACTCGTAATACTACAAGAGATATTACAACAGATACTACTCGTAATCTTGTCCTATTACACGAAACATCAACTATTTTGTGTATTGTCATTATCCTCTTTTCTCAAACAGCTAAAGCATCGATTGGCATAGACAATCCCTCTTTTGTATAATCTTTTTTTCTCATATAAAATCAAATTGATTCCCATAAAAAAAACATCAAAATCCTCTTCTCTTCTTCTTTTTGTTTTACACTAGTTACAGTAGTTACAGTAAGAAAAAAATTCATAATTCACAATGTCAGGAGGTAAAGGAAAAGCAGGCTCAACAGAAAAAGCTTCAACTTCAAGATCAGCTAAAGCTGGTTTGACTTTCCCAGTAGGTAGAGTCCATAGATTATTGAGAAAAGGTAACTATGCTCAAAGAATCGGTTCTGGTGCTCCAGTTTATTTGACTTCAGTCTTGGAATATTTGGCTGCAGAAATCTTGGAATTGGCCGGTAACGCTGCTAGAGACAATAAGAAATCAAGAATCATCCCAAGACATTTGCAATTGGCCATCAGAAATGATGAAGAATTGAACAAATTATTGGGCCACGTTACAATCGCCCAAGGTGGTGTATTACCAAACATCCACCAATCATTGTTGCCTGCTAAAAAATCAAAACCAGGTGCTTCTCAGGAATTGTAAATTAACCACACACCCTAACACTATCGAGCAGAGCGAGATAGTGTTGTAACAAGCTACAGAGTTTACAAGCTACCGAGTGTTGTTACAAGCTACCGAGTTTACAAACCACTAAGTATTGTAACAAGCTACACAGTTTAAAAACTACCGAGTGTTGTTACAAACTACACAGTTTACAAGCCACTAAGTATTGTAACAAACTACCGAGTTTAAAGCTACTGAGTATAGCTCCACTATCTCGCTCTGCTCGATAGCAATCAACAATAACCAGCTAACAACTATAAACCTCCATCAAAGCCACACCAAAGTCGATTCAAAGTAATCTACCTGTATTACAACCACACCCCTTTAATTCTTTTTTATTATTTGGTTCTAATTACTTATGAGCCAGTGTATAGTATTATTTCAATAAAACAGCTTTTATTTGTGCTCTTGCCCTACTTTGTAGACACTCAGACACTATAGACACTATCTCGCTCTGCTCGACAGTGTTGTAACAAGATACTGTGCTAGTAAGTGTTGTAACAAGCTACTGTGCTAAGTGTTGCTCCACTATCTCGCTCTGCTCGATAGTGTCTACAAAGTGTAGCTCGATAGTCATAATGTTCAAGGTTATTTTTTATTTATTTCATGGTGAAAAATTGAAATGGTGAAAAATTTCAATTTTCCTTATACCTCATCAGTCTTTGAATTATGGAAAAGTTTTCAGCATGGAGAGATAGGGCGACGGGGATATCCCCATTTATGCCCCAAAAAGTCCCAAACAAACAAACTAGCTTCAACAAATATCTATTCAGTTTAGTACGAGTGCCTATATTCATTCTTAAATTACCATTTTTCGCAATCTGTGGATTACTCTACAGTATTACCGGGTTCAATTTCCTCTTGAATTTTATATTCACCTTTTTATTGGCATTTAATCCTATAGAGTATTCAGTTGATGGGGTAAAAAAGTCTCAAACATTTCAATTACAGCAATATAAACCTCAAAAATCAGACTTGATAATTGCAAACTATATATCTCCGTTAGATGGGTATATAATGGCATTGTTATGTCATAGCAATTCCAATATGGTGATTGTAGCACCAGACAAACAGGGGAAACTATACAAGTACAATCCTTGGACATTGATGAAGTTTTGTTTCTCCAAACAAGCTCATGGTGATGGTGTTCCAGTAGATGATCTTTGCAAGTATCATGATAAAATTGTCTTTTTATTGTTAGAAGGAACAACATCAAATAACACTGCATTATTGCCATTTATCAAGCTCGACTCAAAGTACCAAATTGATCAGTTTGAAATCAAGGCCTTGGTGATGAAACTATATCCTCAATTTTTCACATTACCTATAGCCAATTATACTCCCTTGTATTATTTATTTCAACTATTAACTGATTTTGGTAAGAAAAATGTCAAATGTAAAATTTACAAATTTGATGGCAAACAAACTGATGAAAAATTGAATTTGAATCAGGTGAGAAAAGCATTTGAATTGAATTCGTTGAATCTGGTTCATGGAGATTTGAGTATCGAAGCTAAGCAAAAATTCATCACCTATTATACCAATTATGAGGTAAAAAAGTAATCAACACGCGACGCTATCGACACTATTGAGCAGAGCGAGATAGTGGAGCACACTAGCTCTCAACACTAGCTATGGTAATTTCACAATGTCAAGATGTTGCGTAATTTTCTTTCAGGCGTTTAATTTGATCATGAACGTTCTGACACTATATTTTACGAGGTGTGTCTTGGTGATGCTGGTGAAATAGAGCTCAAGGCGAGGGCGATATTGGTGAAATGGAGCTGTCGGCGAATGTGATGCTGGTGAGCTGTAGGAAGATAAAACACACAGTTACGGTTTTTTTCTTCTATTGAGTGTGTGAGAGTGTGAGTGCGCGTATGGGCTGTCACTCGATGCCCTTGAACTATTTTAAGTCCTATCTCTCGACGGTGACCTCGATGGTGTCCTCAATGGTGACCTCGACGGTGATCTCGACATGTCTCTCCTCCTCAAAGGTGACCTCGTTCTTTCTCTCTTGGTACCAGACGACCTATGCGATTTATGCCGACGATCTTTTCGATTACTTGACTGTTTCTTGCTATCCTTTATAAATTGTTCCATTGGGTCAGCAAATTCATCCTCCTTCTCCTCCTTCTCCTCCCTTTGATCCTCGATCAACAACTTCGTATCTCCCTCTAGAGCCTCCCTCTTAACCTCGCATTCAATCTCTCGATAATCAATCAAATAATCGTCTTCTCGTTCGTTAGCATGTAATTTGTAATAATTATGATCTACTCTCAATATTCGATCACCAAGTTTAATACCGTTAAAATTGTCAATCGCCAATATACAGCTTTTGAAATTGGCATATTTCAAAAACGCAAATCCACGATGTCCTCCTTTGCCTCCTTCGCCACCTTCGCCTTCTTTTCCACTATTATCACCTACCAAATTAAGATGTGTCGGTACTCCATATTGACTAAATATCACAATTAATTCCTTAGCAGTTATTGATTGAGGTATGTTCCCAATATAAATGTAATTGGTATCTCTGTAATCGTAATGCCATGAGGATTTATATGATATCGATTTCGAGGCCAATTCCTTCTGGTTTATCTGGTTTATCTGTTTAATCTTGTTCATCTCAACGTGCTCTTCTTCCTTTTTATTATGGAGTAAAGAACCAAAGAGAAAAAAGAATCTCCACGAGATGAGATGAGATGAGATGAGATGAGCTTATACAAACATTTTTTTTTTTTTCACAAGTCTTTTTCCCATTAAAAGTTGAATCAACGACGTTTTCACACCGTTAGAGATACCTAACAAATGGCAAGAGAGGGTAAGGTAGCTGAGTCTAGTATTCAGAAGAAGAATGGTATAGCTCTGAAGAAGAGAAAACAAGAACAACAAGAAGTGAAAGGAGAAAAGGAAGAGGAAAAGGAAAGGGAAGAGAATTCTGAAGATGAGTTTAAAGTAGAAGGTTTGATAGAGGTAGAAAGTGACAACGAAGAGGAAGAGGGAGAAGAAGAAGAAGAGGGAGAAGAAGAACAACAACAAGAAGAAGAAGAACAACAACAAGAAGAAGAAGAGGAAGAAGAAGAAGAGGAAGAAGAAGAGGAAGAAAAAGAAAAAGAAGATGGCGATAAAGTATATAGTGACGATGCTTCCAGTAATTCAGAGTACGACTCTGACCAAGAGTTGAACAATCTCATTGGAGAAGAAGACGACCCAAGCGATTACAGTTCGGTTGACTTTCAAGATGATGAAGACAACGAGTTCGACGATGTAAAGATGAAAAACCTATCGGTGAACGACGACTCCTTACAACAAGCAACCAATATACGTACGAAATTCTCGGACGGAACACCTAGAATCATTAAACCTGAAATTGAGCCGGTTTATGATAGTGATGATAGTGACGCGGAAAACTTCAACACTATTGGTAATATCCCTATATCTGCATATGAAGAAATGCCTCATATTGGATACGATATCAATGGGAAAAGAATAATGAGGCCAGCAAAAGGTTCAGCATTGGACCAGTTATTGGAAAGCATAGATTTACCTCAAGGATGGACTGGACTATTAGACCAAAATACTGGTGCACCTCTTAAAATCACCGATGAAGAATTGGAATTGATACGTAAAATTCAACAACAGGAAAACACTGACGAAAACATCAATCCATACGAGCCATTAAACGATTGGTTTACCAAGGATCAAGAAGTAATGCCGTTAACTGCTGTACCCGAACCAAAGAGAAGGTTTGTTCCTTCAAAACATGAAGCAAAGAGAGTTATGAAAATAGTTAGAGCTATTCGTGAAGGAAGAATACTTACACCTGAAAAGGCAAAACAGCAAAAAGAACAAGAAGAAAGGGAACAATTGAATTACGATCTTTGGCAAGACGAAATTAAAGTTCCCGACCATATAATGAACTTGAGAGCTCCTAAACTACCTCCACCAACAAATGAAGAAAGTTACAATCCTCCAGAAGAGTATTTATTCAATGATGAAGAAAAACAAAAATGGCTTGAACAAGACCCAATAGATAGAGAGATTAATTTCATGCCCAGGAAATATAAATCTTTAAGACAAGTTCCTGGATATCAAGATAGTGTAAGGGAAAGATTTGAAAGATCGTTGGACTTATATCTTGCTCCTAGGTTGCGCAAGAATAAATTAGATATTGACCCTGAAAGTTTAATACCTGATTTGCCTTCTCCAAAGGATTTACGACCATTTCCTATTCATTGTTCTACAATATATAAGGGACATACAGGTAAGATACGAACATTGTCTATTGATCCTCAAGGGATTTGGTTAGCTACTGGTTCAGATGACGGAAGTGTCAGAATATGGGAAGTATTAACCGGAAGACAAGTTTATCAAATACAAGTAATAAGCAAAGAGCAAAAGCAAGATAGCGATAATGATAATATAGAAAGCTTGGAGTGGAATCCAGATCCGCAAACTGGAATTTTGGCTGCTTGTGCAGGAGAGTCTATATATTTGATAGTTCCACCTATTTTTGGATTTGATATTGAAAATACTGGTAAGTTGAGAATTGAGAGCGGTTGGGGTTATGATACATTTGGAAATAATAAAGGTAACCTTAAGGTGAAAGGTGAGAAGGAGGATGAGGAGAATGATGATGGTGATGATGATGATGATGAAGATGACGACGGCAAGAGTAAAAACACCACCCCAACTGTTAAAAAAGATGTTGCCAAATGGATAATCCCTAATTTAGCCAAACAATCGCAGGGGATAGCTGCGATTATTCAATGCCGCAAATCGGTCAAGAAGATCTCATGGCATAGAAAAGGTGATTATTTTGTATCGGTATCACCAGAAAGTAAAAACACAGCGGTATTGATCCATCAATTATCAAAACACTTATCACAATCACCATTTAAGAAGTCCAAAGGAATAATAATGGATGCAAAATTCCATCCGTTTAAACCACATCTTTTTGTTGCATCACAGCGTCAAATTAAAATTTACGATTTATCTCAGCAAGTTCTTATCAAGAAACTTCTACCTGGAGTTCGATTGCTATCAACCATTGATATACATCCAAGAGGTGATAATTTATTAGCTGCGTCATACGATAAACGTGTGTTATGGCATGATTTAGATTTAAGTGCAACGCCATACAAGACTTTAAGGTATCATGAAAAAGCAGTGCGTCAAATTAAATTCCATAAGGGTAACTTACCGCTTTTCGCATCTGCTAGTGATGATGGTATAATTCACGTTTTCCATGGTACCGTGTACGATGATTTAATGACTAATCCATTACTAGTGCCATTGAAGAAATTGGTTGGTCATAAAGTGACTAATCAAATTGGTGTTTTGGATATCGTGTGGCATCCAAAGAAGGCTTGGTTATTTAGTGCGGGTGCCGATGGCACTGCTCGTCTCTGGACGACCTAGGTTTCATCAAAAATAGTGTCGGTGGCCAGCTAGTCCACTATCGAGCACAGCGAGATAAGCGAAAAAGTGACGATAGTATCGGTTAGTGTGCTCCACTTACTCGCTTTGATGGATAGTGTCGATAGTGTCGATGGTAAAACTAGATTTTTCTATCCTACATAACGCTTTATAACCTTGTTTCTATAAATTGTTATTTCTCACACAGCAACGGATTCTTTCCCTGTAGATACTCAGCATTTACCAATTCTGTGTCGTTATACTTTACAGTAAACAAATCATTCTCATTTGCTTGAAACAAGTATTTAAAAATAAAACGAACATTATCAACTATACCATAATTATACTCATGAGTAATCCAGGCGATGTCTTTCCAATCCAAAATGCCCTCGTCGTTGTAGATTATTGGGGTATTATAATTCTCGTACTGTTCAATTGTTATGTCGGCTGTAAATAAGTATAATCCTTCGGTAATTGGCATATGTGTTTTGTTCTCATTTGTATCTTTAAAAACTCGTGGTTTATCCTTAGTGACGTGGATCTCCCACGTTAGAATTCCTCTACTTTTAAAATTCGGTAAATCGAGTCCCGTTTCTTCTATTGCTTCTCTTCTCATTGATTCCATTGACGTTTCATTAGGCTCAATCTTGCCGCCTATTCCGTTCCATTTACCCATCCAAGGAGCCTTTTCACGATTAAGTAGTAGGACTTTGTTATTTTCCTTGCATCGTACAAATCCCAATGTATACGAGACTGCAATAGTCATGATTTTCGAACGAGCCGTGGGGTTATATATTCTTATACCGGCTTTGCGCTTGGGGGGAATAAGGATGGTGAGATGAGGTGAGATGTGCATTTTTTGTGCTAATTCCACGAGATAAGAAAATTTCATTGAATCGAGCGCGCGGAAAAACGTTTTTCCTTGCAAAGCACTCTCTTTGGCTCTTAGCATGGGTTGGTTTTCAAAGTTGAACACATTTAAACAATTCTTCTAATTCCATGATTGTGCCAGACTTCATCTCGATATTCCTACCGTATTCACTAATAACGTCTCTTTCCAATTCACTCAAATCGGATTGATTTCTAAACATCTTGTAGTCCTTGTTGAAAAAAAATAAAATCATTATAGATTTTTTCAACTGGTTTAATCTCAAATTTGATAGGTTCAAATTATATAGAAAGATGGCCAATATCATAATTTTTGTTGAATCGTATTCGTTCAATTTCCCATATCCTGTGCCCAAACCGGGTATTATTAGATTATCTACTTTGCGAGTTTTATCTTTTTTCAAATGCGTTACCAAACTCCATATTGCTTCAAAGATATGGCTATGATCGATTTTTTCTGGTATTACCATTGTTGGAATTTGGATCATTTCAACCAAGTTCAAATTCTTATATGCCAATGTATCTTTATAGTTGTAAGTTCCCGAGACAGATAGTTCTAACAAATCTAGCTTGTATATATGGTTGGGTATAAGATATCCGTGAAATTGATTCAATTGCCGATTTTGAATGATATTTTCGAGATACTTGTAGTCGGTGACTTTTGTACCTAGTAGTAGCCCCAATAGGAGATGCTTATCGAACCCGCCTCCCATATACGACAATGCGTTTGTTGGCGTTACTACGGATGTTTGTCCATTTCCAATTTGATGATGCTTGATGAAATTTTCAATCGTTGTTGAATGGAATTCAAAATTGCATGCTTGAATGAGGGTGAGGTTATACTGGTTTAATAGCTTTAAACAGGTTTGGTAGTGCCTTTCCCAACACTTGACTATTAGAGGATTGGAGTCTATGAATATGAGTCTCATAGCTGTAGCAGGATAATAAAGCTAAAAGGTTACAGCTTGCTATGAACCACTGGAAAATGGTAATGTCGCAAAATGTGCGACAAAAACCCTTTTTCTCACTAGACACTATCGAGTGGAGTGAGATGGTGGTGGCACCTAGTCTACTATCGAGCAGAGCGAGATGGTGTCGATAGTGCCTATAGTGTCTCTAGTCAGCGCTGCTCTACTATCGAGCAGAGCGAGATGGTGTCGATAGTGCCTATAGTGTCGCTGGTCAGTGGTGCTCCACTATCTCGCTATACTCGAAAGTGTCGCTCGATAGTGTCGATAGTGTCGGTGGCAGCTAGTGTCGGTGGCAGCTAGTCTCGATGGCAGCTCGTGTCGTTGTAGTCAGTGTGCTCCACTTTCTCGCTCTGCTCGATTGTGTTGCTCGATAGTGTTGCTCGATAGTGTCGCTCAATGGGACTTTTTCTACAATAGGGATTAAAGAATCATAGTAAACCTATTATTAATATAATAAAAACTATAGAATTGAAGTTAGAAAAAGCAAAGAGGTATTACCAAATATACAAGTTTGCCTAGGGAATAAAGACCTCCTTATATACTCACAAATAACAGAGTAAACTATTGCAAATCCTGTATCAACTGGCCTATCTAACACATGGATTTGATACAATTGTATTTGCCCAAAATTGTTATAGATAATAATAATAATTTTCCGACACTATCGAGCGACACTATCGAGCAAAGCGAGATAGTGGAGCACACTGACTACATACGACACTATCGAGCCAGATAGTGGAGCACACTGACTACATACGACACTATCGAGCCAGATAGTGGAGCACACTGACTACATACGACACTATCGAGCCAGATAGTGGAGCACACTGACTACATACGACACTATCGAGCCAGATAGTGGAGCACACTGACTACATACGACACTATCGAGCCAGATAGTGGAGCACACTGACTACATACGACACTATCGAGCCAGATAGTGGAGCAACATTTAGTACCTTGTTACAACCACGAGAGTCAATACTAGCTTATTAATTGTCTATGATGTTAAGTACTTACTGTAGCTTCGAAACTATTGAGCCGAGATAGTGGAGCACACTGACTAATTATACATAATTATTTTCCGACACTATCGAGCGACGCTATCTCGCTTTGCTCGATAGTGGAGCATATTGACTACTTACTACACTATCTCGCATTACTCGATTAGTAACGCTTCTCGCTTACTATTAAATTAACAACTACAACAAATCATACATACAAACTCAACTACAGTATATAGTAATTGGTCAAAATGCTCCACTATCGAGCAAAGAGAGATGGTGTCGCTTCTCGCAATACTCGATAGTAGCGTAAGTGGTCAATATGCTCGATAGTGTCATAATTAGTTAAAATGCTCCACTATCGAGCAAAGAGATTTGGTATCGTAACGAGTCAAAATGCTCCACTATCGACCAAAGAGATTTGGTATCGTAACGAGTCAAAATGCTCCACTATCTCGCTTTGCTCGATAGTGTCGCTCGATAGTCGCTTCTGAATATCCCCGGAAATTCACCACAGATTAGGGGCATACTTTGTAAATCATACCACTCGTATAATACGGTAGCACAATTATATTCTACGAGAATGGAAATGCACGCGGCTTTTATAAGAAAACGTACACGACGATCCACCCCACGTTTTCATAAAAGATCTAAGAAATTGAGATTTATGACCAGAGATTTAATAAAGTGAACTATAATGGATTATACTATAATGGAGTATACTATACTAGAGTATACTATATTAGATTACACCATAATAAAGTATACCTTAGTGGAGTATACCTTCACTAACAACGGCATTTACACAATATTTATACTCTAAACATCACCACTGCATTTTGCAATGGTGATTACCCAACATAAAAAGTCGGCAAAAAAAGAAAATGTCGCACCAAATTTTGGTGTTGGGGAATGAATGAAAATTTCTCAACAGAACCTTAGCATTAAAAATACAAGATAAACAAGATGGAAAAGCACGCCACGTAAAAAACTACTCCATTATGATACACATGGAGCCATACCACGTCACGTTTAATAAAACTTCTTTCTCCAATTAAACACGATTCTTTCTCCAATTAAACACGATTCTTTTTTTCCCACTTTTAGTCCGTTTTTTTTTTCTACTCTTTGTTTTTCCACCAATTATTCCTCTTTATATCGCTCACCCTTTTTCTCAATTTTCACTTGCCACCTATTTTCTTTTTCCATCAACTTAAACCAGAGAAATCTATTCTTATACAATTACAATTGATACAAGAAAACTAGGGAAAAATGGCTCCAGCTGCATATTCAGATTTAACCAAGGCTTCCAATGATTTGCTAAACAAGGATTTTTACCATTTATCAGCTGCTGCTGTTGATGTCAAAACAGTTGCTCCTAATGGTGTAACCTTTACTGTCAAGGGTAAAACTACCAAAGACGACAAAATCGCTGCTTCCGTTGATGCCAAACACGTTGACAAAGCTACCGGTTTAACCTTGACTCAAGGTTGGAACAATGCCAACCTCCTTTCCACCAAGATTGAATTGGCCGAGTTGTTGACACCAGGTTTGAAAGGTGAGTTGGATACTTCGATTGTCCCCAATGGTGCTAGAAATGCAAAATTGAACTTTTTTTACCAACAATCAGCCGTTAACGCTAGATTGTTCTTTGACTTGTTAAAGGGCCCAATCGCTACTGCAGATTTGGTTGTTGCTCACGATGGTTTCACCGCTGGTGCAGAATTGGGCTACGATATTTCGAGCGCTAAAGTAAACAAATACTCTGTCGGTGTTGGTTACTCAAACTTGACCTACAACTTGGCTGCTACCGCTACTTCAAACTTGTCTGTTTTCTCTGCTGCTTATTACCACAGAGTTTCCCCATTGGTTGAAGTTGGTGCAAAAACTACTTGGGACTCTGTTAAATCCTCAAACGTTAATGTTGAATTTGCAACTAGATACGCTTTGGACGGCTCAGCTTTTATCAAGGCAAAGATTGCTGATTCAGGCTTAACTGCATTGAGTTACACTCAAGAATTGAGACCTGGTGTTAAGTTAGGTTTGGGTGCTTCCTTTGACGCATTGAAATTAGCAGAACCAGTCCACAAATTGGGATTCTCCTTGTCATTTGTGGCATAAAGGAAAACGAAAACGAAAACGAAAACGAAAACGAAAACGAAAAAGAACACTATCTCGCTCACCTTGTAGCTTATTACAACACTATCTCGCTCTGCTCGATAGTGTTCTTCCAAGACCCCTTTAGATACTTACATCCTTAAACTTTTTTATAGTTAGAGTTGTTGTAGTTATTAGAAGAAGTAGACAAAACATTTTCAATACAAAAGAGAAAGAGAAAGAGAAGAGGAAAAAAATAAATAGTCAACTATAAGAACAAGTATTCTAACTCTTCTTTCTTCTTAAGGTTAGGGGTTAGGCTAGGCTAGGATAGGTCAGGATAGGATAGGATAGGATAAAATCTCTCTAGGTTTTTAAGGTATGTCGAAGGAGAGTTCGCCGAGTCATAATGATAGTGGGGGCTCTTCCTCTCTCACGCCGACTCAGAATAATCACCATATCCCGTCAATAACGCAAATTTCTAGACCATTTTTCACTAGTCGGGAACTCTCATATCTTCATAATCAAACTATACCAACTTCGTTGAAACTACAGTATGGGTCAACAAAGACCCAGGTTTTCCAGTTTCTAAGTCAAGCTGTTAAAATCTTAAAGTTCCCTATTAGAGTGCTTGCTACAACCATGAACTATTATCAGCGGTTTTACTTATTTAACAAATTCGATGTTAATGGTGTTTCACTAGCCAATTCGCTGCTGCCGAACCAGTTTGATGGCGATCCTTATACTATTGCAATAACCTGCTTGTTTTTAGCTAGCAAGATTGAAGATTGTGTCAAAAAATTGAAAGAAATACAACAAGTGTGTAATAAGTTGAGGGACATTGATGAAACAAAACTGATTGGCTCGGGTGGAGGAATCCAATATATCGATTATCAACGGAAATATATCCTAAGCACCGAGTTCAAACTATTACAGATTATCAAATTTGATTTCAATTATGGCAATAATCCAAGTTTCAGAATCAACGTTGATGATATAATCATCCAATTTTGTAAGCAAATGGATATCAATTATAAAATTTCTATATTGAGTTGGCTCGTGAATTGCGATATTATTCAAACACCTTTGAGTTTGGTGGTTCCTCCTCATTGTATAGCATTGGCTATCATTATAATAAGCTTGAATCTAAATCCAAAAGAAATGAGTTTATCTCATAAGGCTATGGCAAATCTTGATAAGGAGGAGGAAACACTCAAAGTCAAGAAAATCTTAGATTCTATTGATTGTAGTGATTTCAACTGTCCCGAAGTCCTTGTTAACGAAGCCATCATTTATATTTTGGACTATTACACTCACCAATATGCCAACAGTACCTTGAGTAAATATCTACCAGAGACTGATTCAAAAACAGGTAAAAACCAAACATTCAAGATTATGGATCTAAAACAAAGATTCAACGATGTGGAACTATTAAATGAAGCAAGCTGTACTACGGAGTTGAATACAAGTGACGAGTATTTTGAAAACTGGGACTACAATATCGCATTGAAGGGGTCTGCTAGATTCATGTTGGGACACAAAAGAAGACGGTTTAATACTGAGCGAAAACAACTTCGACAACAACAACAACAACAGCAGCAGCAGCAGCAGCGGCAACAAAAAGCATAGACCATATATTTTAACAGCAGCAACAGCGGCAACAAAAAGCATAGACCATATATTTTAACAGCAGCAACAGCGGCAACAAAAAGCATAGACCATATATTTTAACAGCAGCAACAGCGGCAACAAAAAGCATAGACCATATATTTTAACAGCAGCAACAGCGGCAACAAAAAGCATAGACCATATATTTTAACAGCAGCAACAGCGGCAACAAAAAGCATAGACCATTGTATTTTAACAGCAGCAGCATAGACCATATATTGTTTCAACAGCAGCAACGGCAATAGTGGAGCAAAGCATAGTAGCAACACTGACCGACACTATCGAGCAGAGCGAGATAGTAGAGCAACAGACTAGTTAGTGTTGCTCGATAGTGGAGCACAATGACTACACCGACACTAGGGAACGAAGCAAGATAGTAGAGCAACAGGCTAGTTAGTGTTGCTCGATAGTGTTGCTGCTCGATGCAACACCATCTGTACATAATGTACAACATATAACATATAACATATTGTAGATAGCTCCTCCCATTTATTCCTCTTATATGCTGTTGCACAGCATATAAGCTTAGCTCCTCCTCTATACTGCTGTGCTCCATTATCGAGCAGAGCGAGACGGAGCACACTGACTAGCTTGTTACAACACTATCTCGCTTTGCTCGATAGTGTTGATAGTGTCGATAGTGTCGATAGTGTTGTAGACCGTCTCCCGTTTTATCCAAATTTATAGCTAACTGAAGTATTCACTTTATGTTTGTCGGTGCTGAAACTTGCAAAATCAATTTGATCCACATTATCGCCTTCTAGAGTCCTGCCATCTCCATTTGTATCACACCATTGTATCGGAATACTAGTTTTGGGATCGGTGTATACCAAGACATTGAAAGTATAGTCGTCGTCTTTCAATACAGGCAAGTAACTTACAGATGACGTGATTTGACGAATAATCGCCCTGATTTCCTTTTGTATTTCCTCTTTACTCTTGCTCTGCTCCTGCCTTTCCTCTTTACTCTTGCTCTGCTTTTGTATTTCCTCTTTACTCTTGCTCTGCCCTGTTGATACTACATACTGTTCCACTAGCTCGCTTCGCTCCCTCGTGTCTTGGTCATCCATCTTTGCTTCTATATTAAATTCCCATCTTTCGATATTTTCACCAGAATTTTTGGATAAGATAACAACAATAAGTTTAGTAATCTTACGGCCGTATATCCATTTCTTCAATTGTTGCATTATGTTCAGTATGTAGTTCTTCACATCCTCATCGTTATTAACAAGCATTGGTAAATCATATTTTCGCACAGTTATGAAATCTTCAACAGGGTATATTCCTCGCTGGAATAGGATACTATTTATTGCGAATTCAAAGTAGTCTGCTACTATTTTGGAAGAGCCTTTGAGCGCTAGCTTCGATGTCGACATAGCTCTAGTAGTAGCAGCAGCAGCAGCACCCAGTAACACCCAGTAACACCCAACAGAAGCAGTAACAGTAACAGTGAAATATTTCAGTTTATAACGCGCGCTCTAAATTTTTCACTGTTACTTACCCGTTTAGGGTTATACAATTACTATTCTTTATATTGAGCAATGGTATGTTTTGGAAGGGGATTAGGGGGGGATTAATAGGGATTGGGAGGGGACTAGGAGGGGATTACATCTAGTACTAACGCTTCTTACAGCAACACGAGGTTAAAAGAGTTCATTTATCCAAAAATCAGCTTTTACAAAAGTATGAAAAAGATTTACCAAAGATTGCCCATTATAAAGAGTTAACCTCTTATTTATTCAATAAAAGAGATTCACAGACTTATGACGAGGAAACGTTCAAGTTGACTACTCGGTTGTTGCAATTGAACCCGGAATTCTATACTATGTGGAACTTTAGGCGTGAAATAATCGACAAGGTATACGCGCCACATCTGGAAATATACATTGAGATATTAAACGATGAGTTGAACTTGATTCTTTCATTATTGAAAAAGTTTCCTAAAGTATACTGGATATGGAATCATCGAAGATGGTGTTTGTTTAAACTCGTTGAGTTGAAATCAGTTGATTGGGAGTTTGAGTTCAAAACAGTAGGGAAGATGTTGGAATTGGATCAACGTAATTTCCACGGTTGGCAATACCGACGGTTTGTAGTTGAAAACCTCGAAATTCAAAAAACCGGAAACGATAAAGAATTGGAGATATTGAATTTGAATTTGAAGGAATTCGAGTATACCACTAGCAAGATTCAACATGATTTTCTGAATTTTTCAGCATGGCATAATAGAACTAAATTAATACCAATAATATACAATTTGGTCAAACAGCTAGGAAAAAGGCTGTATGATGGCGGTGTTGATAATGACAAAATTAAACTATTTGAAAGCCCATTATCGATACTTTATAATGATTTGGAGATTCTCAAAACGGGAATATACATGTGTCCTGAAGATAATTCAGTATGGCTATACTTTTGTTGGCTACTCTCGGATAAATTCTTTGTACTGGCATTTGATTCAATAAAGGATTACATTGAAGTTCTCAATAACCAATTAGAACTCATTAAGGAAGTAAACGAGTTAGAGAAAGAAGACACGGGGAACGAAAATGTAGGATGTTTGAGAAGTTTGGTATATGTCCATGCATTAATCAATAAAGCTCAAAATGAGGATATCTTGGAAAACAAAGAGGTGGTTACCAATTTGAAAAAATTGATTGAATTGGATTCGTTAAGGAAACATCGCTACGAAGACCAACTACTGGGTAAAGTGCTTATTATTTGAAGTCATTGAGTGGAAGGGAGAACAAAAGTAGCCTTTTCTTTTTTACTACCAGTAGGTGTATATCAATAAGCTATGTTTTATATTGACGAGGAAAGCAGGGTAATAGTATTTAGAGCTTGAATAATGAAATACTAATTGACCAACGACAAACAGATTTTTTTAATAAAAAAGGATTCGATGTGGATCTGTTTCACGATCAAGGGGTAAAAAGGGGAAGAAGGAGGGGGAGGGGAAGAGTTAAAAAGAAGTTTCCACTGGTTTTGAAATCAGTACTTAACATTCCTTAAGAAGTAGCCAGAGAAACCAACAATGAGGAAGCATGGATCAACGTGACATTTCTGGAACACTTGTGGCTTGGGAAGTACATGGTTTTGCAGAGGAAACTTGTTTCTTAAAGCCGGTTCCCTTTCAATTCAATACCTTACTATCACTATGCATTAGTTGCGCTAATCATCTTTGACACCTCAAAAATAAAACTATTTAATCAATTTTGGCACTACCGGCCATTTAATCAAACCCGCCACTTTTCAAGATTTCTCAAGATCCAGATACTAAAAGTATGCCAAAAAATTATACTCATATTACAAGATGATTTGAAGAGAGATATAAATAAAGAAAGAGAAAAGTTTTTAAAGTTTTGGCTCAGTCTGTAGCAGCTAGGACACTATCTCGCTCTACTCGATAGTGGAGCACACTGACTAGTTTCGACACTGTCTCGCTCTACTCGATAGTGGAGCACACTGACTAGTTTCGACACTGTCTCGCTCTACTCGATAGTGGAGCACACTGACTAGTTTCGACACTGTCTCGCTCTACTCGATAGTGGAGCACACTGACTAGTTTCGACACTGTCTCGCTCTACTCGATAGTGGAGCACACTGACTAGTTTCGACACTGTCTCGCTCTACTCGATAGCTCGATAGTGTCGCAGTCTCTACTTACCTACCAAGTCAATTTCTTTTTGTATTAACCAAACTCTATTGCATTATGTTTGGAATATTGAAGATTTGTGCCCCCTTCACTTAAACAGATATTACCTTTTTAGTCTTTCAAAGGCCTTCTACCCTCCCCCTTCGTGTTAAAATTTGTTTTTAAGCGTAAGCGCTAAAGTTTTAGTTCAAGCTTTAGATTTTTTTCGCAGCCAAAAAAAAAGTTGGATTTCTTTTTTAATGCAAACATTTCCCATCAATATCGATCCAGGGCAAATAAAGAAACACTTTTAAAGGTGCATAAAGAAGCTTTGAAACATCTTGTTTTATTACCAAGACCGTTAGCAAGTTAGTGGGTCCTTTTCTTTTTCTCTTTTTTCCCCCCTGGAAATGTTCAGCTTTAATGATACAGAATAAGAGTTGATCCAACTATAGCCCGATTTGGATACTAAAGGAATAATTCAAATCTTTCAAGGAGCATTTGGTCCTTGTATTATTAAGAAACAAGGGAGAAATGTATGCAACCAATACCATCCAAGAGAGACAGAGATGAGAATTGAAAGGAATTTAAACATATAAATATTACAACAATTTACCTTGTGTTCGATAATATATTGATTCTTTAACCAACTATTAAACTCAAAGATAATAGCTTGTACACAGTTTTATAATAAAAGATGAGATTTTCAACAGCAGTACTTACTGCTATTGCTTTCACTTTGGTTGCATCTGCTCCACTTGATTCCGCCGCTGTTGCTGCCACCACTACACTTGCGCTTCCAGCCACAGTTGCTGAACTGACTGATAAACCAATTGCTCAAGCTGTGGATGTTGAACAACCAGAAGAAAATGAAGAAAGAGGAAAAGAAGACTTGACTGAAAAACCAACTCAAGAAGAGATTGAGGTTTATTTGGAAACCGAGGAAGAAGAGGAGGGGGGGCACGAGAAGAGAGAAGCCGAAGCCAAACCACACTGGACAAAGTACCAGAAGTACCAACCATTGAAAAGAGAGGCAGAAGCAGAAGCAGAAGCCGAAGCTAAACCACACTGGACAAAGTACCAAAAGTACCAACCATTGAAAAGAGAGGCAGAAGCAGATGCCGAAGCAGAGGCGGAAGCTAAACCACATTGGACAAAATATCAAAAGTACCAACCATTGAAAAGAGAGGCAGATGCCGAAGCAGAAGCCGAAGCTAAACCACACTGGACAAAGTACCAGAAGTACCAACCATTGAAAAGAGAGGCAGAAGCAGAAGCAGAAGCCGAAGCTAAACCACACTGGACAAAGTACCAAAAGTACCAACCACTTTAATCAAGGTATTCTCAATATTAAAGGTTTTTTTTTATTTCTCTTTTTCATTTCAATTTCAAGTTCGTTGCGGTTATGGCAATTCCATTGCACTCGACTTGATTCTTACGGTTACTTTTTCACAGATATAAGAATACATATATTGTATAGATAAAAAAGCTTATCTTGGCTCCAACACAGCAGTTCCTTATTTCTATGTAGAATCTACTCCTTTCTAACATGACAATCTTATCTTCTCTCTACTACTCAGAAACTTGCAAGCTTTCCCTCTTCTCTCTACTACTCAGAAACTTGCAAGCTTTCCCTCTTCTCTCTACTACTCAGAAACTTGCAAGCTTTCCCTCTTCTCTCTACTACTCAGAAACTTGCAAGCTTTCCCTCTTCTCTCTACTACTCAGAAACTTGCAAGCTTTCCCTCTTCTCTCTACTACTCAGAAACTTGCAAGCTTTCCATCAGAGCTTGTTTTATTATTTGCAATATGGCAATGGAACAATAAACTGCATATAAGTCAGTTACATAGTGAAAAATTAAATTTATCCGCATTTGCAATATTTGCGATGAGCATCGCATCGCATACTTTCTTTCCAGTAGATACAAGTTTTTAACGTTAATTAAGCTTTGAGCATACAAAATGGGTAAAGCAAAAGTAAGAGGGAGAAGAGCCCAAAAAGCTGAGAAAGCTGAGAAAGTTGAGAAAGTTGAGAAAGCTGAGAAAGCTGAGAAAGCTGAGAAAACAGAGAAAACAGAGAAAACAGAGAAAACAGAGTCGACAAGCGAATCAGATACACTACCTAGTAATATTCCCAATACGTTTTTTGGACTTGTTGACTCCAGCGAAATTGAGTATTTCAAACAAGCCGAGTCTATCTTAAATGTGAATGTATTTGCAAGTGATGAAGAGAGAAATGGGTTCATAAGCTCTGTACTTGAAGAAGCGCAGGGAAAAGAGTTGAAGTTAGTGACTAATCAAATATGCTCGAAATTAACGGAGAGGTTGATTTTGTTTGCCAATATGTCTCAATTGAGAGCGATATTTGAAAGTTTTAAAAGTCACTTTGTATCCCTTGCATTTCACAAGTATTCATCACATGTTTTAGAGACTTTGTTGGTGAGATCAGCTGCGTTGATCGAGAAGGAGCTTCTACAACCGGAACAAGTAGCAAAATACGAAGAGGAAGAAGGAGTCGTAATTGAGGACCATCAAAATAGCAAGACCATTGAAGAGCTATTTATCAGTATGGTTGATGAATTCAAGCCCTATTTAAAAACAATGATTGATCACAACTATGCCTCACACGTATTGCGACTTTTGCTATTGATTCTCGCAGGAAGAGAGCTTCCTTCAACAACCACATCAAATTCGACATTAAGGTCCAAAAAATCCAAAATTGCCAGGAAAATGATTGAAATTAAAGATAATGAAGATTTCAATAGATCTTTTCAGACACCACCATCATTTAAGAATGAATTACGTGATTATATTGAGATTGTAATCAAGGGTATAAGTGCAACAAGCGCACGACAATTAAGTATAGGGAAAGTATCATCACCAGTAATACAGCTCATAATTCAGGTTGAAGGGCTTGTGGATCGTGAACGGACAATGTGGCACCTCGTTTTTGCCAAGCAGTCCGAGGGGAAAGTATCAGAAGAGGAGTCATTTGTTGAATACTTACTCTCCGACCCCGTTGGATCTCACTTTTTAGAAACAATAATCAAGAACGATGGTGCGAGACCACAATACATAGAAAGATTATACAAATTATACATGAAGGATAGAGTGTTGAAATTAGCCAAAAGAGCCACTACAGGAGTATACATAATACAAGCATTACTATTCAAATTGAAACCAGTTGAAGTTGAATTTATTTTGGATATTATTATTCCAGAGCTAGCAAATTTGATATCTATTGCTGATGACAATAACCAAAATTTGGGACTAGCACAGAGAGTAATTGACGCATCAATACTACGAGGCAATTACAAACGTGACGAGATTATTGAACAGTTATTTCTAAAGTTTGCGCCAAATTATGATTGGTCAAACTCTGAATCAACAAGCACATCTACTACTGAGTTTATTGAAAACGTATTGCGATTGACTGGATCAACTTTGGGCAATACAAGAGATGATTGGCCAACGGCGGAAGAGAGGAGACGTGCATTGTTTTTAGAAAAATTAATGGAGTTGGATTATAGATTTGTCATTTGTACATGGTTGAATCTTATTGCTTTGCCAGTTGAAAGATTTGCTCAAATGTGTTTCCATGGTGTCTTTTCACACGTAGTAGAAAGCTCTTTGGTGGTGATGGAAAAGGATGAGCCGAAACACATACAAGTACTCCGCAAAAGATTGTTAAACATTTTCCAAGGACAAATCGTTGCATTAGCTTGTAATTCTTACGGGTCACATATAGTTGATAAATTATGGGATTTTACAGTATTATTGCCCATGTACAAGGACAGGATTGCCGTGGAGTTAATGAGTGATTCATCGAAAGTCAAAGATAGTAAATACGGTAAGCTAGTTTGGAAAAACTGGGGGATGGAGCTATTTGCAAGGAAGAAATTTGATTGGAAACAGTTAATTAAAGAGCAAGAGGAGACGTTTTTGGGGACCGATGAAAATAATGAAAGAGTTAAAAAGCCAATTGAGTTGAAAATGGAACAATTAGCTCAAGAGAAAAGGAAACAATTGGAAAGAGCTGAACAAGCACAAAATGGGTATACTAAGCGTAAGCTTGAGGAATTGACCAGTAAAGATGAAAAGAAACAGAAATTGAGAGGCCGTAGACGTCAATAATGATAACAGAAAAGAAAGAAAAAACAGCTACAAAAGTTGTACTGTTTCATTTTATCTAATCTCTATTTATTTACAGGAATTTTTGTTATATAATACTCATTCAATGTTTGTTGGCCAACAGTAGTGGGGCTCTCAACCACGGGATCTTTCCCTGATTGATTCTTAGGAAAGGCAATCACATCTCTTATACTTGATGTACCGACAACCATGGCACATAGTCTATCAAAGCCCAAAGCCAAACCAGCATGAGGAGGACATCCCATACTCAATGCTTTTAACAAATGTCCAAACAATTGTTGATGATTTTCAATTTTGAGAATGTTGTCAAACACGTATTTTTGCAAATCCGGATCATGTATTCTTCGAGATCCACCACCAACTTCAACTCCATTGATGACTAAATCATAATGCTCTCCTCTTACTTTTAATGGTTCCGACTCGAGGAGTTCATAGTCCTCAATTTTACACATTGTGAATGGATGATGAGTGGATTCGAATTTGTTGTCTTTGTAAGATGGATATGGGTCATTGATATCCAGAGTCGTTGACTCAACAGGTGAAAATAAAGGAAAGTCCACGATCCAAGATCCTACAACCACATCCTCTTGCTTATAATTTTCTAGCAAGTTTCCCTCTTTTGTTTGGATGGCACGCTGCCATTTCCCAGGAAACTGTTTCATTGCTAGTTGTCTGAATCTCCCCAATGGTGTTGGATTCTCATACGAGACCTTAGATCTATTTGAAATAGCAAGTATATCTCCAGGTTGCAAATTGCAAAGATCTCTTAATTTGGCTTCATTGAATTGTTCAGTTTTACTTAAATAGTGTTTTTCCAAAAGGACTTTATACCAAGAAGTAGTGTCACTTTCCTTTTGAATTGCCCACACATAAGGTCTTCTTCTGGAATAGTTTGTCGTGTCAATTAATGCCTTTGGTATCTTAAATTTCCGGGATTCTCCTGGTTCAAACGCATTTTTCAAAATACACGCTTCTACTATCGGGAACTCTCGGTTTTCCTCTCCAATGAAGAAATTTTCAAGGTTGATGAATGATAAATTTGATCTCATATCGGGTTTATCAATTCCATACTTTTCCAAAGCTTCTGAGTAAGAGATTTTCTCCAATTGTAAATCCCCCTTTTGAACATCTTTGATTTTTTGTAAAAACCCCTTCAGATTCACAGTAAAAGTATCTTTGAGTCCAATGTTTTGCCAAGTTTTCAAGATTATTTCCTCAACAACTTTCATAACCTGGTCAGCACTGCTAATATAGCTCATTTCCAAATCAATTTGAGTGAATTCTGGCTGCCGATCTGCTCTTAAATCCTCATCTCTAAAGCACTTTGCAATTTGAAAATACCTTGTAAATCCCGAACTCATCAAGATTTGCTTATACTGCTGAGGTGATTGCGGCAATGCGTAAAACTGATCATAAGAACGCATGGGCACCAAAAATTCACGAGCTCCTTCAGGTGTCGACTTGAACAACAATGGCGTTTCAATCTCGACAAAACTATGGTTTTCTATCAAAATGTTTCTCACTAATTGAGCAATTTTGCTTCTTGTTTTAAGTGCGTTTTGGTAAAAAGGTGTACGAAGTTGGAGGTATCTAAATTGTGGTGGGATATCCTGAGGATTCGTTTGCTTCAACTTCTCAAGCCTAGCAGCGTCCAAATTTGAAGAGTTTAATACTTGAAGTTCTTCAACAACCAATTCCCAAGGTGGTGGAAGTAGGTCGCCCTTCTCCGTGTCTTTGACTTCTGTATTCTTGACTTCCTTACGCTTGACATACCCTGAAATGCTCACTGAATCCTCAACATTGAGATGTTTAATGGCGTTCCAGATCACCATATCTGTACCTGTATCAGCATCGGCATCTACATCAGCATCAGCATCGGCATCTACATCAGCATCAGCATCGGCATCTACATCAGCATCGGCATCAGCATCTGCATTTGACCCTTGTTTTGTAATAAATTGCACAACATTGCCCTCTGTATCTCTTAAAAACCCAAAACTTAAGCTAGGCCTTATCCTCGACTTTCTATGGATATGCCCTTGTAAAGTGACTTTCCTATTTTTATTGTTCAAGAGCTCATCTATCTCATTATTAACCTGGCTTACCGTATGTGTTGAAAGCGGGAACTTGAATTTCGCTAAAGTTAGCGCTTTATCGGGTAATCTAGCATAATACCTTTTACTGCATTGGAAACACCTTTGAAACATACAAAAATTGACTTACTATTAGTAAATTGTGACGTGGTTCTTTTCTCACTCTGGTCTATTTTAAATAGGCTGGCCCCTGTCTTTTGACTGGTTTTTGGCGAGACATACACAATTTTTTTTTCCCTTTGAAAGATGGCACCCATTTCATCTCAATCGATTGGAACAAGTTTGAAGATAGCCCTGGCAAGGCATTTCTCGACCCTTGTTGAGATTTACCAGTTAGTAAGTAGATGAAAGAGAAATAACGCGACTAACCATAACTGGAATGGAGTAGAGCAGTAGGTTACGAGCTTGATGTCAGTCTTTTACACAGAGACTATTGGTAGCAGCTTATCAGCTATTTGTCGTTTGATAACTTTACTCGTTAATTCGTTTCTCTATGATGTAAATACTATTAGATATGGTTTCAAGGTGCGCGCAACCACACTGGCCACTTTTGCAACACAATAGATACTGATACAGCTATTTCTTACTCTTTTCAGAAAGATACGCAAACCTGATAATGTTTTATACAACTTCTTTTTCTTATACCCTCACCAAAAAGCACCAATATCAATAGAAACACCAAATGCTATACAAGAAGGTTTTTCTATGTACTCGACACGACACTATCGAGCAGAGCGAGATAGTAGAGCACATTAGTCGACACTGCTCGATAGTAGAGCACATTAGTCGATACTGCTCGATAGTAGAGCACATTAGTCGATACTGCTCGATAGTAGAGCACATTAGTCGATACTGCTCGATAGTAGAGCACATTAGTCGATACTGCTCGATAGTAGAGCACATTAGTCGATACTGCTCGATAGTAGAGCACATTAGTCGCTTCCCTTGATAAAGGTTTTCATTCCTTTCTAAGGCTTTCAAAGAAGCTCCCACCTGGTAAAGTAGAATTGTAAAGTTTAATCTATTTCAGTAAATTTTCTTACCAATTTAAAGAGTATAGTACTTTCTGTTTAGCGGAACTGAACACTATCAAGCAAAGCGAGATACTGTTGTAACAAGCTACTGAGTTTGCTCCACTATCGAGCAGAGCGAGATAGTAGAGCACACTAGTCGATACTGCTCGATAGTAGGGCACACTAGTCGATACTGCTCGATAGTAGAGCACATTAGTCGCTTCCATTGATGAAGCTACTCTACAAGATAAACAAGAGTTAGTTTGGAGTTGGAGCTACGCTTTTCTGAGCCCCACTATCAGCAAAGCTACAGCACATACTTCAACTAATCAGCTAGCTCCATCTCTTACCTGAAGACTAGTTAATATCATTTGCAGCTAGTAATCTAAAGACTAGTTAATATCATTTGCAGCTAGTAATCTAAAGACTAGTTAATATCATTTGCAGCTAGTAATCTAAAGACTAGTTAATATCATTTGCGGCTAGTAATATAAAGACTAGTTAATGTCGGTTGCAGCTAGTAATGCTCCATTATCTCGCTCTGCTCGATAGTGTCGTAAGGAATGCCTTTTACTAGTTATCAAGTCTTTACTAGCCTTGTTTACGACGGTCACGTGACCAACTATAGAAGCTTGCATGTCCAATAGCTGTCCTATTACAAACCAACATACAGTCTAACAAACTAGATAATATCTATAAAACTTTTTTTTTTGAAAAATAAAAACCTAAAGAAGGTTGATGATAGGAGGTAAACGGTAAGAAGTAGATGACAGGAGCTAGTAAGAGATGGTAGAAGATGATAGGAGATGGTAGAAGATGATGGGAGATGGTAGAAGATAGAAGGTAGACGGTAGGAGATGGAGATGGATGGTATTAATTCATTTCACCTAATCCCCCTATCGCGTTGTTGTCATCCCTTTCATTACGATAAAACAAGGCTTATAACGTGGCGCAAGGGCTCACACTACTTTACGCTTACTATAATAGGACCCATCTTACATCCCACGCATCCTTACAACGCTAGTTAAAGCCTTAATAGACCATCGCTACCAAATGCTATTTAGACCCAGGTAAAAAAGAAGAGTGAAATTTCCAATTTCTCATAAATGGAACTAATTGCAAATCATTTACCGTGTAACCCGTTTATTTTTGGTAGTTTTGTGTTAAGGGGAATCTTTCAAGTTAGCTGCAGTACCCCCCTCCCCCCCCTGAACAGAAAGATTTATTTCAAATGTGCTAGCTGGTTTAAACTTTTTTTGTTTCCACTTTTGTTTTTCCCCTTTTCACAATTCAATAATTTGCTTATAAAGCTATGCTCAAACTAAGAAAAAGAACAAGAATATACATTATTCTTACTATTACATTTATAGTACTATTTTCTATACATTCAAGAGTAGTTGGTACTAGTAGTGTCTGGTCCTTGCATTCACTTTGGGAGACTTTCCATTCCTCGCTTCTACCGAAGATAAGTGATAATCTAAAGAGTTCGTATAATCTGGTATACTTAAACCCCCTCAATTCAAAAACTAGCGTTACATTAAAACAAAATAATGTCAAATTCGAGTTTGCTTTTAAAAGGAAAGGCACCACTCCTGAGGAGATTGTGGATGAAAACATGAAAAAATATACCAAAATGATGCAGATGGAAGTAAACAAACCTCAAGATGCAATACTTGTGGCGCCACCTCAGAACCTTGCCACTTACAAACATGCTAATGCAACAATAATAGCTCTTGTTAGAAATGCAGAGTCTGGTAAATTAGGCCAGAGTATAAAAAGATTCCAAAAACTGTTTAATGACAAATTCAACTATCCATACACTTTTATCAATGATCAGCCATTTACCGATAAGTTTAAAGAACGGATAAAAAGATACACAAATGATGCTCCTGTTGAGTTTGTTACAATAAATCCCAAGAATTGGGACAAACCACAGTTTATAGATGAAGCCAAAGAAGCCAAGGAAATGCAGATTATGCATTCGCATGATGTAGCATATGCTCAAAAGGCCTCGTACCATAACATGTGTCGCTTTTACCTGGGTCTGTTTTACAATTTACCTGAATTGCAAAAATACAAGTATTATTGGAGAATAGAACCACAAGTTGATTTTTACTCAGATGTCACCTATGACGTTTTCAAGTATATGGAAGCAACTGAAAAAATATACGGATTCGTTATAGGACTTTACGATATAGAAGAGACTGTAAAGTCTTTGTGGCCAGAAACATTGAAATATTTAAACACGGGGGACAATTATAAATACGTCAACGAAAACGGAAGTTTCCAATGGTTGATTGAGGATCTCCAGAATCCAGAAAGGAACAAAGTAGCCGGCGGCTATTCAACATGCCATTTTTGGTCAAACTTTGAGATTGGTGATATGGATTTTTTTAGGAGTGAAGCTTACAATAATTGGTTTAAATATTTAGACTCTACTGGCGGATTTTATTACGAGAGATGGGGCGATGCACCTGTACATTCAATCGGGGTTAGTTTATTTGCCGATAAGTCAAAGATTCATTGGTTTAGAGATTTGGGATATAGTCATGACCCTTACTTTAATTGTGCTAATACGCCTTTTACAAAAGGATGTAGTGTTGGCAAATTCAGCAAATATGAACATTTGAATAATCATAATTGTCTTATGAACTGGTTGGAATATGACAATATCAAGGACGTTTACAAAGAAGAAGAAAAGAAGGAAAAGTGAGAATAAAAATAAGGGATAAGGGATAAGGGATAAGGGATAAATGATAGAGGATAAATGACAAATGATAAATGATAATTGGTAAATGATAAGGGATAAGGGACAAGGAATAAAGGCTTTTTTTATATATTTATACAACGCCTCTAACTAAGTATATCGTATCACCGTTTTTCAATATGCTTGATTTTTGTGAATTTTGAATCAAATTGGGTTTACCAGAATCGTCTAATTTGAAAATGCGCAATTTTTCATCCTCCTTAGTTGTTGAATTGTTTTGATTCAGGATCTTCAAACAGTCAGCAATCGAGTCTAGAGATTTGCCTATAACCCAATTTTTGGAAACATAAAGTGCCTTTCTGTTTTGTTCAATATCGTTTATACCCATATTAGAGCTTTCTTTTACATAAACACACCAGATGTAAATTCGATCCAGTGCAGTCACTTTGGCATGCCCTATAGCTTCCTTTTTCAATTTCCCCATCTCAACAATGGTTGAGCTAGATTTGGATTTCCCAAATAGTTTTGAAATGGACTTTGTGCTCGAGTTTTTCTTTTGTATATTTAAAAATACCTGGAGTTTACCAAGAGCGTTAACACCATCTTTATTTCCAGCTCCAGCTTTTAATACAGTTTCTTTAATCGTGGTAGGCTTAGGACTGTTTAATCTCTCATCTATCAATCTTCGATCCGCAGCTCTATCAGGAAATAGCGTCTTTGAAGAAACAGTATTACTTGAAGGTGTAGCGGCAATGGTGGTGGTGGTGGTGGTGGTGGTGATATTAGGTGCCTGGTTATAAAACTTATCCTTAAAAGGACACTGATGCTTTTCCACTGTTCTGTGCAGAGAACAAAACGTTTGTTTGCAAAACTCACATATAAATGGCAAAAAATCAAGCTGGCTGCAAAAGAAACAATTCTTACCAATGTCCATAATGCCTTGGTCTTTTGTTGGTCTTTTGTGTTTATCTATGAATAAATTGGCTACTGACATGGCAAAACAAAAACAAATAGGGCAAAACCGCTGGAAAAAATGGGGTAAAACCGCTGAAAAAACTGGATAAACAAATAAAACGAAAAGGCAAGGAAATGAATGAGCGAAAGGCGTCCTTCTCTTTCTTTTATACTCGTTAAAATCAATGTTAATGTTCCCTTTGGTGGCAAAATCCATTTGTAATCTAAAACTTTTGTGGAGTTTGCACCGAGGAAAATATACATATGGTAGCACACGGGAACAAAAGGGGCCATCGCATCGCATCGCATGGCCACCTCATCTCATCTCATCTCATCTCATCTCCATGTTGAATGGCATAGGTCAAGGTCAAGGTCAAGGTCAAGGGTAGGGTTCAATTGGGCGTAAACTAGCTGGCGATAGAAGAAGAGTACAGTACTTGTTGATATTAGATGTGTTATGATCTCAATTTGCCATGGCCTTCGGACAGATACGATGTCCAGCCTACGGAGCAGCAAATGGTAAATTTGAAAAATACAATAGTTACCAATTATCTACTTGGAGTTACACACCAAGTGATCAATTTTACGGTTCAGGAGGTGGCAAAGATTGCGCTGGGTAAAGCTGACACTATGAATCCTATACAGAAAAAGCTGATTTTATCTAGTTTGCAAAGCACGTGTCCGAATCTACGATTGTTTACGAGAATCACCTTGGTAATAAGCGATACTTCAAAACTACAAGGGTTGAGTAAATTACAAAACTCCTTCGATGTTGTAGCAATACAGCCATTGAACGAGAAAGCACTACAAATGACAATATTAAATATAGAGTGTGATTTGATCAGTTTAGACTTGGCTACGAAACTACCATTTTTCTTGAAATTCAAAACTATTGGAAGTGGAATTCAAAAGGGAATAAAATTTGAAATCAACTATTCTCAAATCGTGAGTGGCACCGGAGGATTTGTCAATGATTCTATAACTGTAAATTTAGTAAAGAAAAACTGGTTTAACAATACGCTACAATTAATTAGAAGCTCAAGATCAAGAGGGTTAGTGGTATCTAGCGGTGCACAAAATCCTCTTCAATTGAGGAATAGCAATGACATTTTGATTTTGCTTAAAACTTTGGGACTTGACAATAGTAGAGCCAAAGCTTGTATTAGTATGAACCCAGAGAATGTTTTGGTCAGTGGAAGATTACGAATGAAGTCTCATAAACAAGTAATAAGTATCGGTAACGAGGAATTTGCCGATAATAGCAAGGAGGATGTTGATAAGAAGAATAGCGCTAAGGGATATAAGAGAAAGTATAATGAGACTTCTACTGGTAGATTGTTAAAGAAGAAAAAATACAATTAGGCTTATCTTTCATACGTCTTGAATGTTTCTAACTGAAAAGGGAGGATTTGATGGGCTTGATTTTACTTGGAGCTTCTTGTTTGCGAGGCTCTGGTAGTTTATTTACCTTTTTTATCGGGGATGTACTTGGCTTTCTTCGTTTGTGAAGGAAAATAGATGTTGATTGCTGTTGCTGTTGCTGCCGTCGTCTTTTCTTGATCGTTTCAAATTCAGATGGTGGTGGTAATGGCAATGGTGGCGCTAATGTCTTTGACTTTGTCTGCGTCTGTACCTGTGCTTGCTCTTGCGTCGACGCTAGGGTTGAAACGTTGTCCCTTTTTGAAGTATCTTTTGAGACATTGTCCCTTTTTGGGGTGTCTTTTGAGACATTGTCCCTTTTTAAAGTATCTTTTGAGACGTTTTTTGAAATGTTTGAGATACCCAAAGTTGATTTCTTAACAGGCACTCTTATCAAAGTTTCGATGGGCAAATTTTTGATATCAAATGCACTATAAGGATCGTATCGTCGTTGTGGCAGTTTACCAAACATCAAGGACCTAGTCATCACATCTCTCGTAGCTCTTGCCATAATTGTATTCTTATTTACCATGCGTCTTCTTATTTCACTGTGTTGAGGTCTTGTTTTCCTCGACGGATCTCTCAACACGCCGTTCACCGCAACAACTTTATTCTTTGTTTTCTCCTTCATTAATGACTGTTGCATATGTCGAAGTCTTTTTACCGAGTTTCTTCTAAACTCATCTCTTTGCTCAAAGTACTTATAGTACAATGATTTATAGGGCATATCCATATTTGCATTTGCAAGACCCAACTCAAGAGGCCGGTCAGAGAAATCCTTCTCAATCAAATACTTCCATAACTTATCGCTTTGTGGCATTAATTGTGTGGACAAGTTTTCAAGTTGGTTTAGTTGCCTCGATGACATTAGCAATAAAACAGGCTCCAACAAATGATATGGCGTGGCTCCTACATCTTGTATTTGGGTTAAATTTCTCTTTAGACAAACTTGCGATAAATGTAGTAACGTTGGTAAACCGTTCGGGTGCTTATACCCCAGTTTCATCTTTTTTACTCTTTTAACCTTACTTGGCCTGCCGTTGGCGTGGCGTGGCGTGGACCTAGCTGCGACTTGATTCGATCTTTTCACTAGTAGTAGTAGCTTCAGGTGACTAAAAAAAACCGCGCACTAACAAAAAAAAAAGAGGAAAAGAAATATCAAAGATGATAGAGACTAGATGAGTGAAACGAGTCTAGTCGAGAGAAAAGAGAGTGTGTAGAGAAGAAGAGAGTGTAGATAGAGAGAAAAGAGTGTGTGTAGAGAAGAGAGTGTGTAGATTGAGAGATTGTAGACAATGCTATCTCAATTTGTTCAATAGTGTAGAGGTAGGGTTGTTTGTAATAATATTTAAAGTAGTACCGAGTTTGAGCCAAATAGATGCAAAAAAGACTCGACTAGAGACTGGACTAGAGACTGGACTAGAGACTAAACCCGTTTCACTCGTCTAGTCAAAAGAGAAAATAGATAGAGAGAGTAGATAGAAAGAACTCGATTTAAGATATAGATGCTATACCTCTACGGATCACATAAATGTGGGCGGTTTAGTAATACTTTCTCACTCTGATGATTAGCAAAATTTGGTTCAAATATAATCGGTACTATCGAGCAGAGCAAGAGACAAAGAAAAGAGACAACTTTGTATATCACGTGATAGCAGAAACAATGCCAATTTGAATTTCTTTCTTTTACTCCTCTAAAAATAAGCCTGCAAAAATGCAACATTTAGTATGCCTTTGCAATATCTTGACATTGAAAAATTACTATAGCTAGTGGTGGTAGCTAGTGTACCCCACTATCTCGCTCTGTTAGGCCATTGTAGCAACACTATCGAGCAGAGCCACTACACTACACTACATTACACTACACTATTCTACTCTACACCATCTCGCTCTAGTGTTTTCTCTACTTTGACGAGCTAAACACCAGGGGTTTTGTTGATTATTTTGGAGAGGTTGGAAAGAAAAGTAAACCTGATACGCTTTATTGCTAGTGCAAAAACAAAGTGACAAACTAATTGTGTAAAGCCCAATTGGACAAAAAGCTGTAAAATCCAGAATATAAAAGAAAATTAATCTCTATTTATAGCTTTGTTATTATAGCTTTAGTTATTATAGCCTTAGTTATTATAGCCTTAATTATTACAGCTTCTGCTTTTTCTGTTAATTCAGTTATAATAAATGAGCTATAATAAATTCAGCTTATTTTTTACTATATAGTGAAACACACGAAAGATGCGACACTACCAAGTGTCTCATCTTTAGTGATTTGAAAAAATTTGTTGTTGCAACAGGAATTAAATTTACCCGATTTGGCATTTTGCGTGGCATCACTCTACAAAAGCAGAAAAGTGAAAAAAAAACATTGGTGAAAGAAAAGAGAATATTGGCCCCCCCCCAGGTGGGAAAATATTGGCCCCACATTGGACATTGGAGGGGGGGAATATTGACCTCACATTGAGTCCACTAACCAATGACACTAGTGTCTACAAAGTGTTGCTCCACTATCTCGCTCTGCTCGATAGTGTTACCCACTTTAGAGAAAATTATGCAGCGTGACAGAAAATAGAGAAGATTAGACCAAAAAAAAAAAAAAAAAGAAAAAAAGTTTATTTTTCTTTCGTCATGTATCACGTGATCTCGCATCTCGAGAAGAGACAGGGCTCCATATAGAAGGAAACAATGAAGCAAAGAAGGAAGGAAAGAAAGAAGGAAAGAAGGAAAGCAAGTAAGAGTGTTGTAAGTCAGAGCTGTGTATATTTTGAAAGGCTAGGTTTGTTTTCTTGAGATACTTCTTTTCATGTATAACATACGCAAGAAAAGCCAGAGCCAGAGTCATCTTGATGAAGGTGGTAATTCAGAGCTGAGCCAAAGACTGAGAATACTACACGTATGCGCCACAGCTTCATCAGAAAACATTATTTTATCTCCGAGAGCAAGTGTAACCACACCAATCCGGCTCAATAGTCCTCACATGTCTGTATTAGACTTGAATACTATTAACCGTAGTATTGTCAATGGGCCACAATATCAGCAGTCTAGTCTACTGAGTCATTGTGAGTCGTCTCAACTTGCAAATGAGACCCAGATTTTAACTGCTAATGCACCCACAACTGCACCCACAACTGCAACCTCAACCTCAACCTCAACAATAACAATAAATAATCCAACACCTACACATTTTACTCAAATGCCACACTTGACAAATTTGGAAAATGAAGTTGAGTCAATAACTTCACCACCTCCTTTATACCCATCAACTCCTAATTCAGTGGGTTTAGACCTTGAGGTTATGCCGACTTCATCATTGTTTGATTTACCTACTCTTGTACATAAATGGACTCATCGATATTCCATATTATGCTGTATTGCATCACCCAAGAATAACTTACTATTTGGTGGAACTCAGGATGGGAAAGTCTTGGTATTTGATATGTTGACATATAGTTTGAAAATGGAGATCAATCGAGATGGGAAAGGAGTAGGAGTAGGAGCAGGAGTAGGAGCAGGAGAAGCAGGAGAAGCAGAAACAGAAACAGAAGTAGAAGCAGAGGCAGAGGATGAGAGTCATCATATAAATTCGGTCTTGACAATGACTTTGAATAAGAACGAAGATATTCTATTCATTGGCGGTTCGGACTCCTTGGTCAAAGTATACAGCATTAAGAATGGATTTATATGCACACATGTCATTTACTCCTTAGTGGATATTGGTGATATATTCTCCCTTGTATGGTGCGAAAAGTCTCAAACTATATATATTGGTGCACAAAACGCAAGTATACTATGGTGCAAAGTTGGTAAGAATGAAGATATAAAACACGCCAGAAATTTAGAAAACTTGCCTAGGTTTAGATACGATAAGTTTTTTGATTCAAAGGGACCGGGTGGATCTCAGAATACCTTACAAACGAAACACGAATTGCTCAGAAAAAGAAGTAACGCAACAGCAGAGATCAAACATAATAGCAACGATGGGAAAAATGGAGGATCACGAATACAGAAATTTGTAGAGTCTAAACATGAAGATATCGTTAGATTTGCACATAATGGGTACGTTTATTGTTTGGAAATTGTCGTTGATACAGTTATTGGACATTTCGATGAGTGCACATACCTCATTTCAGGGGGCGGCGATGGAGTTGTGAATATTTGGTCAATGGGGAAAACTTTAACCAAATTAACATCTTTACAAAATGACGAGTCTGTTTTATCAATGACCATTCAAAATTCATTGTTGTATGTGGGATTAGGAGACTCTTTTATTAATGTCTGGGACTTGATGACATTGCAAATGATTAGATCTTTTCAATTTGAAGATTGTGGTATGAATGAGGTATTGAGTATTGGAGTTCACAATGACTCTTTGTTCAAAGCATGCACTACTTCAGGATTGGTCAAACTCACAATGAAGTATAAGGACGTTTCAAACAGCGTTTTAATGAGTCGTCAACTGGAGGATGGCGTTACCAATACAGTATCTATATTCAGGGCTAATAATGAGACGTATTTACTTGCGGGTGGGAACAAATCGTTGACTTTGTGGAACATTTCCGAAAAAGATGATAGTAATGAAGAACTTATACAAAGTACTACAACAAGTAACCTGAGTAAATGCACTCGACTAACAGATAATGACCTTTTGTCAATGTTAAAGAAGTATATTTCTTACAAGACCATTAGCAAAAATCCCGAATTATACCTAGAGGATAGTCGTCATTGTGCACAATTCTTATCCAAGTTATTGAATAATTTTGGTGCTTATCAGACTAAATTACTACCCGTGCATCATGGTAATCCAATAGTATTTTCCGAGTTCAAAAGAAATGCCAATGTCAAAACAAATGGCGAAAGAAGAGTAGAAAGGGTTTTGTTTTATGCACATTATGATGTTGTCGACGCGACTCGACACGAGGCTAAGGATTGGAGTACTAATCCGTTTTTATTGACTGCAAAAGAGGGTAATCTATATGCACGAGGAGTAAGTGACAACAAGGGTCCCACGTTAGCTGCGATATATGCTGTTGCAGAGCTTTATTCAAAGGAAGAATTGAGCTGTGATGTTGTGTTCGTTATAGAAGGTGAAGAAGAATGTGGATCCATTGGGTTTCAAGAAGTGATTCAGCAGCATAAATCAAGTATAGGAGATATAGATTGGGTTCTACTTAGTAATTCATACTGGTTGGATGATATTACGCCGTGCTTGAACTATGGATTAAGAGGTGTAATTAATGCAAACGTTACTATTAAATCGGATAGACCCGATAGACACTCGGGAGTTGATGGGGGTATTAGTCGAGAACCTGTAATGGATATGATGCACGTCCTCAGTACATTAATGGATCCGATTACACAAGAAATTAAAATTGATGGCTTTTATAATGATATTCTTCCGTTGACTCAGGCTGAGCAAGAGTTGTATAACCAGATCAAACAAATGTCCAACACAGCGATTGATGTTGATGTACTCAAATCTAAGTGGAGACAACCATCACTAACTATACACAAGATTCAAGTTTCTGGACCGAATAATAATACTGTTATTCCCCAAGTTGTTAAAGCAACAATATCAATGCGTATCGTACCGAATCAAGATCTTTCGATAATCAAGCAGAAGTTAATTGACCATTTAAATATTAAATTTAACCAACTTAAATCCGATAATCATTTGCAAGTTGAGATATTTCATGAAGCGGAGCCGTGGTTAGGGAATCCCAAGAATAAAGTTTACCTGATACTTTACAAGAAAATCCAGCACCATTGGCAACAAGAGCCATTATTCATTAGAGAAGGAGGATCAATTCCTTCAGTGAGGTTTTTAGAGAAATGTTTTAACGCACCAGCGGCTCAAATACCGTGCGGACAATCAAGTGACAATGCGCATTTAAAAGATGAGAAATTGAGAGTGGTTAATTTATTCAAATTGAGGAGTATTTTAGCTGATACATTAAGAGAAATCGGATCTTGAGGATTGTGTTATTATTATTGTTGTTATTACACCCGTACCTGTACTCCTCCTCCTCCTCCTCCTGCTGCTGCTGCTGCTGCTGCTGCTGCTACTATTTATATTATACAAGCATTCAACTCTTTTTTTACTCGCCTTCTATTGAAATAACAAATACGATGTGGTTTTCCGTCTCTCAAGTTTCTATTCATTTGTCGAAGAGATTTCCGTTCCCTTTTATCATAGTCATCCACATCATCGATACTTAGATCATTGAAATCCAAATTTGTTAAATCTACATCATCATCACACCAAATCCACGAATAATGTCCATCGCTATGACTGTCACTACCATGTTGCAGAGGTTGCACATGTTCCAGATGTTTATTGTGCTTTGATTTCAAGGACATGTTGGAACTAGTTAAACTCAGCGAGGACAATTCATCATCACCACTAGATTCTGTAGTAGCCATCATACTATCGCGTTCAGCGTTTTTCCTACTCGTATTCAACTCAGCCATAACCCCCAATAATTCAATGCAGTCCAGTTTATTCTCATATGTCAATCTCATTTGATGGCAGGGTTTATCACTTGATCTACTTACAATTGGAAAATTTGTATAAAGTGAATAATAACCACTCAGCAGGATCAGGATCAGCCCCCCAGTACAAACAGATTCAGCAAATGGCAATAATTTAGAATCAAAGCAAAATACGCATTGGTATCTCTTGTTGAGATATCGATTAACTTTTGATCCATCAATAATTGAAATCTTTTTTTTGCTAGTTCCAAAATGATTCAATACAATCAACACCTCGTTTAATTCCTTTTTCAAATCATTTAGTATTATACAAAATGAAGAATACTTATTTCTTACTGATTTGTAATGGACATAAAAGGGTAGCAAAATATCCCATAAAAAGCAAACGTCATGAAGACTAACAATTTTTGGTATAGGAATTAACAACTCTTGTGGGACCAAAAGTGAGTTTTGCAAGCCACCGTCTATATCAATACCGTAAACCAAATCACAGCGACATTCACATTCACTACCGTTTTTACTCTGATGTAATTGTTCCAATTGACAATTTGTATATGGATAAACAGCATAGCGCGTTGGATTTGCTCTTTGCTTTACAACAATTCTCTTACCCGGTATAATGCTTTTGTTCTGTTTGCGACAAAATGCAAAGGATTCATGAAAATCCTGGGGAAAAGAAAAGGCTGAAATTTTTACATTTACCTTTACCTTTTTATTGTTTTGCAAAAATAGGTTATTAGGCAAATGTTGAAATTTGATACGTTGAATTATTCTGTTTCTTTCAACGTCATAGATCCGTTGTGTAGGCAAGATTTGTAAATGCTGCGAGCCCACTAACGTCGAAGGCATTGGCTTCTCTAGTCTTTTGAACCTCAATAATTTTTGGAATCTCTATTGGTAAATCAAAAAAAATACAACCCCCTAGACCCTTTAATTTTCAGGGTCCTTCCAAATTAAGACTAAAAAAAAAAATATATATACACGAAAACGTACAAATTAATAAATTTGCTGATAAAGGTCTATCAAGTGAAAAATTGAAAATATGTATTTGAAAGTCAAGTGGTGGAATTTGATGATAATTTATAAACCCCGGATTTCAAACACACAGAATCACCAATTCACACAATTCCCAACACACACAATCACTAACACACACAAACACACACAAACACACACGGGTTTGACTGTTGATTCAGAACTGGCTATACCCCCTATACCAAGACTAAAGTATCTCTATATAGAAGAGAAATCACATCACTTTCTTACAGCATAAAATAATATCTATCTATTTATATATATATATAGGATATAGATCAATAGACTTCTCTAGCAACCAAACAGTATAACTCACTTTTCAGTTTTATTGTAGGGTGATTCAAATGAAACAGAAAGCTTCTTCTAATTCACGCACCTTCTCAAACACGATCTAACCATAATATTCACATTATTTTTCCTGCCATTCACAAACTTCCAAACAAAGCGGAAATCACTAAAAAAATCCGTTTCTTTGTTTGGAATGAATAAACAAAGTTCATGGTTTGTCTTTGCAACAAACCATAATTTTTTTACAACCACTTTCTTGGTCAACCTGTGAATTTTTTGTTCCTGTTAGAAATCTGTGATGTGGCACACGACCCCCTTTTTTTTTTTTTTTTTTTTTTTTATAGATTTGTGGTAAAGTACACAACCTCCCATTTTAAACAAAGATAAAACAAAAGGAAAGATAAAATAAGAAGAGAGAACGTTTGGGTGCAAAAATTGCAAAGGATTAGCTTTTATTATTGATTAATGTTGAGGTAAGAAAGGGGTGTAAGCGGGAGGAGAGACTAGAAATGCACATAAATAAGTTATTTACGAGTTATTAAGTAGTATATATTGTAATCTTCTGGGGAAATAGGAGTAGGGTGGGCTTTTTCAGCTCTCATAGTAGATTAAGAAAAAAAAATAACAAAAAAAAAAGGTTTGAATATAAATAATACTAAAGATGAAATATAAATGATAATAGAAGAAGACTTAATTAACCCCTGTGAAGCTGGTGACAAAAGTGCATTGTATTGCCTAAATTTACCTATATTGCCTATATTGCCCAGTTTTGTCTTGTGATAGAGCTTTTGTGATATAGCCCCTGTCCTATAATATAGTGGGTAGCCACTAGTAATTAAGGCATTATTATCAAATGATCCTTATTTACTACAATAAAAAAGGAGGTCCAACATTGTTTTGTAAAATTCGGATTTCTGGAAAGTCTTCAAAACTCACCAGTACCTCTCTGTGCCTGACCATCTTCAGTAGCTCACCTTCCCATATCCACAAATACCTTCAATATCTACACTACCCCTCAGTGCTTTTTTGGTGAGCCGAGCACACTTTCAATATACCCCAGCATTCCCCCCCCCAGACCAATAATTCTCCAAGTCACAATTCTTTTCATACATAATTTTTTTTTTATTTTAATTTTAATTTTTTGCTTGATTTTTCTTCTAATTATCAAACATATCTACTACTTCCTTCTGATTTCAGCTAAAAATAACAACAATAAACAGTAACTACTATTTACTATTGTTTGGTAAATTACCCATATTATTATTATTATTGTTGTTGTTGTTGTTAATATTATTATTTATCAGCTTTCTTCCTCCTTTCTTCCTCATCAATTAATGATAATCTCATCGCTTCTTCAATCATTCGTTGTTCAACTGCTGCGTAGCCAATTCCACTATTAGATCTAACTCTACTACTATCATTGTTCGAGCTATTACCTTCGATTATCAAATTACTAGCATGTATTGCACTTGCTGTAGCTGCTTTTCGAGCCAACTTATTTCTGGCCGAATTCAAATTAATCTCCCAATCAGGTCTAATCATGTCAACAGCAATTACCCCTGGTGAATCGGCTGCTATTGAGCCCCTCCTTACACCCTTTTTCCTTTTCAAAACTTTGGTCATCATAGAATTAGCTGGTGGCGGAGAACTAATACTAGTACGTCCCGGACTAGGACTTCCCATTGACTCTTCGTCACCATCTGTTAGATTGTTATTGTTAGCATTACTACTACTACTACTACCACGACCTTCCTCTTCTAAAATTAAAGAAACCGTCTTGTATTCACTTGGTGGTATTCCATTAATTCCTGTACGAATATCTGGTGGAGGATCATATGTTACTCCAAAGTTTGGCATTGCGCAATAAGGACAACTTGCTGGTTCCGATATCAAAGAATGAGGCTGTTCTCCGGCTTGCTGGTTTGACGGATCATCATGCGGCGGATGAGGATCTAGTCTCTTGATCTGCACAAAACACTCCGAACAGATAGGCTGCAAACAGCACCGCGATACATTCAAGAATGGTGGATAATATAGGAAACATATAGGACACTCACATGGACTTCGATATAATTTAAGCATCAAGTCTTTACTAAAGCACTGCTTACCATGATTCTTCTTGATTTCCAAAAACTTGTTTTCCTCATCCTTTTGAGCTTCCTTCATTTTTGAGATCAACAGCTTGAGTTTGGCTTTTTCTTCTTGTCTCTTGAAATAGTTGTTACTTTTATGAATCTTGTGCCTATCTACGTCATCTTCTTCAAAGTCCTCATTTAGCTCAGTAGGTTCTTCCAATGCATGTAATGTCAATTGCGACAATAGTATAAGCAACTCTTGGTCTGTCCAACTATCGTCAAAATCTTGTAACGGGGTGAAAAATGGCGATAATTCACGATTAATAATCAAGGACCTAACTATATCGACATCAAAATCCAAATTTGACTTGTATGTACCATAGGGAGCTAAATATCCGCCATCAACATTTTCGTCATGTTTGACAATAAGATGCAGGTAATGATGCAATTGTTTCTGGTCTTTTTCTTCTTGCCGTTTCTGTTTCCTTAAATCAGAAGAAACCGTTCTTTGGTGGTAATGATGATGGTGGCCGCCACTGTTACTACCTCCACCTCCAGCAACAGCGCCAATAAAGCCAGAATTCGCAGTGTTCCTCAAGTATCGACCGCCTCTGTTACCAGAAGATGTAGTAGAGGCTGAGGTATTATAAGTATTCGCACTGCCACCGGAGTGAAAGTCAGAGACTGCTGAATTAGATCTACTTCTTGACTCCTTAGCTGGTACATTTCCCATCCTTGCCGACTAAATCTTCTTCAATCTCTCCAATCAATCAATCAATATATATATAAATATACCAATACAATTTTTGCGGAGGTAATCAACTGGGCCTTTCTCGCTCGTTCTCTTTTTTTCTTTGATTTTATTAAATCGATTTATTGCCTAATTTTGGCGGAAGAGAAAATAGTTAGGAGTTGAGGCTTTGAATAAGTTTCTGTACCTTAGTTGCTGAAATAGCAGGTTTTAGTTATATTAATTAGAATTTTAAAAGTGTGTAAATTGTCAAACCTCCCCTCTCTCTCTCCTGTTTATCTCCAATTAGCTTGAAAGACCCGTCCTGAAGAGAGAGGGGGAAAAAGCAGGACCAGGGGGGAGGACGAAACAGAGGAAAAGATTTCTTACAAACCTTAGATGAAACATGGTAGCGGAAAGACACTTTACTATCACTATCGAGCAGGGCGAAACTTCACTATCGAGCGAAGCGAGATAGTGGAGCAACATTGAGTAGAAAAGCACTATCGAGCGAAGCGAGATAGTGGAGCAACATTGAGTAGAAAAGCACTATCGAGCGAAGCGAGATAGTGGAGCAACATTGAGTAGAAAAGCACTATCGAGCGAAGCGAGATAGTGGAGCAACATTGAGTAGAAAAGCACTATCGAGCGAAGCGAGATAGTGGAGCAACATTGAGTAGAAAAGCACTATCGAGCGAAGCGAGATAGTGGAACAACATTGAGTAGAAAAGCACTATCGAGCGAAGCGAGATAGAGGAACAACATTGAGTAGAAAAGCACTATCGAGCGAAGCGAGATAGTGGAGAAACAGTGAGCAGAAAAGCTGTTCAATGTTGCTCCACTATTGAGTAGAGCGAGTAGAAAAGCTGTTCAATGCTGCTCCACTATCGAGTAGAGTGAGATAGTGTTGTAAAAGCTTACTGAGTGTTGCTCTACTCTATAGGTTGTAAAAGCCTACTGAGTGTTGCTCTACTCGATAGGTTGTAAAAGCCTACTGAGTGTTGCTCTACTCGATAGGTTGTAAAAGCCTACTGAGTGTTGCTCTACTCGATAGGTTGTAAAAGCCTACTGAGTGTTGCTCTACTCGATAGGTTGTAAAAGCCTACTGAGTGTTGCTCTACTCGATAGGTTGTAAAAGCCTACTGAGTATTGCTCTACTATCTTGCTCTGCTCGATAGTGAAGCTCACTAGAGATTGATCAATATGAGGTCCCATATCAAGGTCACGTGAAAAACACCAAAAATAGAGATTGTTCTAGTGTCACAGTAACATTAAGTTCCAATGACGATATATGCTACTACAAAGTGTTGCTCCACTATCTCCCTCTACTCAATAGTGTCGCCCGATAGTGTCGCCCGATAGCATCACTAATTTGCAAGATGTTATCTTTGATATCTAGTATAGACAAATACAGATAAGCTACCTACAAATGACGATACAAGCTACAAAGTGCTGCTCCATTATCTAGTTTCAATGACGATACAAGCTGCAAAGTGCTGCTCCATTATCTAGTTTCAATGACGATACAAGCTGCAAAGTGCTGCTCCATTATCTAGTTTCAATGACGATACAAGCTGCAAAGTGCTGCTCCACCATCTCTTTTTGCTCGATAGTATCGCCCGATAGTGTCGCTGCTCGATAATGTCGTTGTTTTTTCACTTTTTAGTCAAGCCTACTCCTAATCCAACACCAATCATAGCTAAAACAATAGTAATCCAAATAATTCCCACTATTAAACTAAGCACTTTCTGAGCTTTTGTAAATTTCTTCAAGACTACCAAATCATTAGGTCTCTTTTCTTTGTAAGATGTCATGCCTCCATAATATCCCACCTTGCTATTCCCATCAAATACACCTACTGTGATTAAGATGAATATCGGCGGAATGACTAATGCTAAACACAACAACCCTGCAAATTGTATCATTGGATAATACTCAATGCGATATACATCGTCTTCGTTAGTTTGTTGCTGTTTAGGTATGAATGGTAATCGTGAATTATCAATTGGAACCGTATACAATTGCTTTTCCAATACAGTCATACTCCCTGGCTGTTGTTTATTCTTATAAAGTAAATTACGTTGTGGTTGGGATAACACCAAAGAGTTGTCATCATCTGGATAAATTGGGTCTTGCTGCAGCTGTTGGTACTGTTGTTGATCATATTCTATCAAGCTTTCACCTATCGTGTTATCGAAATGTCTGTTTACCAAATTTCTCGCCATTTGATTGAGTGATTGATTTGATTCTGCTGAGAAGGAAGAAGGGGATGAAGAACGGGTGTTGGAAACTCTTGATGTTATGCTATCACCAATACCGACATTGGAAACAGAGTTTAAACCTCCAGAATACGATCTTTCAGGTCGTTTCAATTCAGCATTTGGAGGAGTTAAAGAATGATAGCTACTTGTTTGATTCAACTTTGCACCTACAGCAACATACATGTTTGAATTTTGACTATTTCTATGTTCGTAAACTGACCAACGATTCTTGGAATCATCAAAATCCTTATTATGCACTTTGAAAGTCATTACTGGTAATTCGTTGGTTGAGTCTAATCCAGCAGTCATATTGTTGACTGCTGGATTACTGCCGTGCCGCGGAATATGAACACCCACTCCATCTGTTTTAATATTGGTCCCGAATAGTTCATCAAACCCAGAAGGTGCTGATACTGGCTGCAAGATATTTGATTGCAATACAAAGTAATGTACTGGAATTTCCTCTCCTTCTTTTCTCTTGTCCTCAACTATTGCATCTTCTTCTTGAATTTTCAGTTGCAGCTTGTTAAAAGAGTCTGTATTAGTACTACTTCTACTCTGATTATATGAGCCTTCCAAGTTTCGCAATAGTTCACCTGATGACATGGATGAACGTGCAACACTCTCGTGCTTTTGGTCACCATCATTTTTCAACATTGTCTCGTCGTCGAAAGTGGCTATTGACTTAACGAAGCCTGTCTCGTCATTGAGATCGGCCATTGTTTCCTCCATTGCTTGCTCCATTATTTCTTCCATTTGTTGTTCTTCTAACCTTGTATATAAACTTTGCTGCTGTTTTTGCGACAGTAATGGATGTGTTTCATTTTGCTTATTGTCATATTGAAAGTTGGGTACCAGACCTGCTGTTGTCCCGATGGTATCAAAAATACTTTCATGCTGGGTATAATCTGTTGAGGATGAAACATTAATATGACTATTATGGCTCTGAGTGACTCTTGGTGTGTGCAAAGGAGTAATTGTTGGGTCGGGGTACTTACCATGGCCACTATCGTTTTCACTATCATCACTAAAAGTTATAGATGCACGAAATGAGGCTCTATTCATGTCAACGTTTGTAGAAGAGCTCAAATGTTTGCCCACTGTTTTTAATGACTCAATTTTATCGCTAGGCATTCTAAATCGAGAAGACATGCTACTGCCTGAACTACTCCTATTTCCCAGCATGGCAATGTTCCCAGTACCGTTATTCAATAACAAGGGAACTCTTTTTAAAATCGTTGGCGATGGCTGTGAAAAACCAAAAAGTTTTCCTTCAACATCTTCTTGCACTAGAGGATCATTGGATTTGGCTTTCAATTCTTCACTTTCAATAACTGATAATGGTCTACTAACGGCGGGCGACTCGATCTCAGCAAATCTACCTTCTTTTATTTCCCAATCTCTCTTATCATATTCTCCTAAAAGTATATTGATGGAGTCATCTACGTTTGTATCATTTGCATTCAGATTGATACCCAATTGAGCACGCTCAATATCGTTGCTATTCAATGATTCATAAGATTCCGTATCTACAAAATCTTCCAATTGGGCTTTCTTTTTTTGAGGTTGTAATGCCAGGTGTTTTGGTGGTGCTGCTGATGAAACATTAGTACTTGACTCCGACAAACCTGACGATCTCGAACGTATAAATTTTGGTTTCAAGCTGAAATTCAATAATCTAGGAGATTGACTAGTTGACAGTGAACTGATTTTGTCATGAACATCTAGCTCGGGCTGCTCACTAATACTATCGATTGAGTATAAAGATGAACGGTTTTTCAGAAAAAAGCCTTTTAGTGATTTTGATGGGGAAACTAAGTCCATGCTAATTGTATTTGCGGAAATACTTGTAGATGCCGTTTTAGGTGCATTTATTGAATTGGCATCGTCAAAGATTTGATGTAACGATGATGATGACAGCTTATATTGCAAACTTTCTGAGAATTGTTGTTGTGATGCAGGTGAAAGCGCGGTTGTTGTTGTTGTTGTTGTTGTTGTGTTTGCAGTTGCTAAATGTTTTGGTTCTTGCAAACGTTGATCATCATTATTTTGATCAAGGGTTTGGCCAATATCTTGGCCCTTCCGTTTCATTTGGCAAGGGTATAGCTGAATGGGATGCAAAATGTTTAATGTCAATTAATAATGCTCAATGCTCAATGCTTAATGCTTAATGCCAAATAGCTCTATGATCAAAGCTCGAAGTTCTATGCGTCTTGTGTTTTGTTTAAACGAATGAATCGTAGTTGGTTAATTAGACTGAACTAGTAGTTCAATGAAAGAACCTCTCTCTCTCTCTCTCTCTCTCTCTCTCTTTCTCTGCTTGCTCTCTTTCACAGTTTCCGCTCAAGCTCCTTTTCTCCCTCTTTCCTCTTATCTATTTCCTCGTTCCTCTACCCCTTGGTTAGCCTTGCAAAAAAAAAATGAAATCAATAAATTTTTTTCCTGATAAACTATTCAATTAATAAATAATATAGACCGAAGAGCAGGGTTAAGTTTTATTGTTTTGATAATTCTCCTGAAGCTTAAACTATCGTCTTCCATTATCAAGTAAAAAAATTATTTTTAAAAAATGTAACAAGAGTAATAGAGTTTTCAAGAGGTGGAACCACTTACATCGTATGTGGTCTCTATAAGTAAACGACACAGTACACGGTGTCTACTATAATAGCATCTACTATACTATAAAGATGTGTGTTTTGTTTTTTACTCAACAGTCTCTAATAAAGTTGGTTGGCAAAAGAAAAAAAAGAAGAAAAAAAAAATTTATACGGATGTATTTAGCCGTATATTGGAATTTCGTCAATTATCTGCCCCAAAGAACCCCTAACCTCTTTCTATTGACTTTGAAGTCTTGTTAAATCTTCTTTAGTCTCTAGTAAATCTCTTCTTTGAGATTGGAGGTTAGGGGTTGGGGGTTGTTTATAGGTCTATTTTGATGGTTTTGCTAGTTTGCTCTTTTTTGTCTATGAAACGTCCAAATCGGGATATTTTTTAGATTTTGTGTAATATGCAATTTATCGAAAGTGGTAACCAAACAGGAAAGGAAATTTAGACGACATTTTTATGTACTAGTTTTGCAAGATTGAAATTTTAGACGACAAATGGAATATCGATTGACGACAACACCAATGAACACTATCGAGCAGAGCGAGATAGTGTTGTAACAAGTTACTGAGTGGTGCTCGATAGTATTGTAACAAGTTACTGAGTGGTGCTCGATAGTGCTGTAACAAGTTACTGAGTGGTGCTCGATAGTGCTGTAACAGGTTACTGAGTGTTGTAACAAGTTACTGAGTGGTGCTCGATAGTGCTGTAACAGGTTACTGAGTGTTGTAACAAGTTACGGACTGCTGCTCCACTATCTCGCTCTGCTCGATAGTGTGATAGTGTGATAGTGTCGGTGGTTGTATAAAAGAACTCGTATATTAAAAGAAAATACATATAAACTCGCAAGTTGATTCTTGATTCTGCAAATGTGCAAATTGACGTTAGAGCCACTTTTAGTGCGGCTTTAGCATACGTTACCCCAAAGGGTAAAGTTTTTACCCTCTAGAGAAGCAACATTATCGTAATCCAAAAGAATCAAATTTAAAGCATGTTTGAGATACTAACATATAGAATATCAAGATCAAACGAGTAGACTAATTGACATTGTCTTTTTTTTGGTTTTTTTTTTGGTTTTTTTGGCTTTTTTGTAGTTTTTGGAAATCTGTGTTGAAAGAATTGAAATAGTAATAATAATAAAAAAAAAGGCTGCAAAGAAATCAATGACTTCTTTGATCATCTCAGGTTGAAATAATGCGATACATGGTTCCCTTTTCAGCTTGTAGCATAAGCCTCTGGGATGTATCGTTCTATCTCTTTGTTTCTTTATTGTTGTTGTTGTTCATCAGTAATAAATATTACTCCTTTTACATGGACTTGAAACAACTTGTTTAGAAACAACTTTTTTGGTTGTACTCTTAGAATTACTGTGTCCACTGCTGCTGCTGCTGCTGCCGCCAGTACTGTCACCGCTGGTACTGTCATCGCCAGTACTAGGTTCTGTATCAGGTGCTACAGCAGGTTCATTGGAGGTCGTGTCGGTTGTAGTGTCTGTACTTACAGTTCCTATGTCAATAGTGACTCCACAATCTCCTGAGAATGCTGCAAATGCCGTTTGAGCAACAGTTACCAAAGTGTCAATATTAAGGAATGCCAGGAATAACTGATTAACCAAACCAGATTCGACCAATGCGCTAATGATCGCTGTAATGCTAATCAATTTCTCTTCTAATAATCTAACTACCAATTCTGTAGCAAACGTTATGTAGGCTGGATTGGTCAACACTTCCTGAACAACTGAAGTAGCCAAACCTGAAACGTATAACGAATCTAACAACTCAACAACAATAGTATCAAAAATGCCCAGTGCTCTATTGTCGATTTCACCCATATCATCATCCCTTTTTTCAGATTCAACAAACGCTGCTGCTTGCAAATCGTCTCTCGTAATCAACGAAGAAACACCAGCAGAAATCAATGAAGCAACATTTATATCCAAGTTGCCAATAATCTGGGCTGCAATGTTGAATAAACTAATATACAACTCACAATCGCCAATCAAGTCATTGATAACATTAATAGCCAAACCCGACTCGACCAATGCTTCTAAAAGCGCAGTTAATGAAATTATTCCACTTTTTATAACCGAGACTGTAACATTAATAACAATTGGCTTGAAAGTTTCACTTGTTATAAAGTACGTTATAACTTGAGGTGCCAAATTAGTTTGATTAATAAGTGAAAAAACCAGGGTTACAATAGCATAATCTCTTTCCATAAGCTCAATATCAACTTCTCCTCTCTTATTTCTATAAGCATTGATTTCAGCAAGAAGACCTTCAATGTCTACTTCATCACCTCTTTTATAGAACTCAGATAAAACTGATAATGACCTTTCAGGAATAACTTGTCTGGCAACCACATCTCCTTGTTGAGCTCTTTTGATTGTTGCGGCCGAAGTAGTAGCTAAAATAGCAAGAAGTGTAGTGGCTGGTAATTGCATTGTAATAGGTATGTGATTGATTTATATTTGTCTTGAAGATGATATTGCTGGGATAAAAAAAGCTTTGGGACTGAGGGTATAATTGGAATATCAACTTGCAAAAAAAACCCACAAGTTCATGGGTATTTATGCTAGTACAAATACTCTTCTTTCCAAAGAAGATTCGAAATAGTAACCTCCTAGATCCTAGGTGTGTTGAACAGACATGTCTCTTTATGGGTATAAACAGGACAGTCAGAACCACCAAATCTTCTTGTTTTTTTCTTTATTTTTCAATATTTTAACCCAATACGGAATGCCACCAAAATCATATAAGGTTATAGTTTACAGCTAGCACGTAAAGTCTCCATACCATATCTATTCTAGGAAATTTTCTATAGGGCCTAGGGATATGGGTTACATTGATTGTAACATACAAAACAATATAGCATGAGATATTGTGGAAGAAGGGGCAAAACTGTAGTTTTTGAGACTTGAATTCGGGAAAAGGAAAGTCAAATACACCAGTTTGCAAAATGACACACACGGGCTTGGAAATAGGGTCGAAAGGGCGAATGGAGAAGGAGGAAAGGTGACTCTTTTTTCAACTTTCTCAGCCAAACATGTCTTTGTTTCATTCAAAAATGCTCAATATCTACCCTCTTGTAATAAGGTCGATCCAAAGTTCATGACCATATCATTCAAAAAGAAAAAACAACAAAAAAACAGTTTCCAAAACGGTTTTAGCAGGGTGTTCAGGGTATTCAGATAATATGAAACTTAATAAAGTTTGATTCAAACAGGATATTCATCGATGTTTCACTTTGATACTTTTTTTTTTTTGACCCTAAGGGGGTCAAACCTTATTTTTCTCCTCCTCCTCACGTCTACTCTTACTTTCTTGTGAAATAAAGAGTTGAAATACCCATTGTCTCTTTTCATCCCTCCCCTCTGATGTGCTCATTAAGCTTTTTATCCCCAACTGTAGAGTTCATCAGTGGTAGCATCTTTATATTTTTATTTCCTCTTTTGTATTTCACAAAAAAATATAAAGAAAACCTTAATTTAACAAGCAAACAAGTTGAAAGAAAATACTGAGAAAAGCTAGGTTCTTTCCTCATCCTCATCATAGTCCAAGCTCTTCAATTTTCAACATTTTAAGCATGTATCACTTACCAATTAATTATTTCTTTATTGCAAAAAATCAAAAAAAGGTTTCATATGGGTGCAAAATAAATAAAAAAAAATAAAACCTTTTTTTTTCCTGCTCCAGCAAAAGAACGTTACCAAAATATAACCTATGAGAAATGACAAACAAAATAGAACAATAGCTTTAAGGTACCAAATGACATTGCATTTTTTTTGGTTGCATTTTGGTCTCATTCTCGTTCTCCTGTCCATTAATTGCTAATGCTTTTAGGCGAGAAAATTAGATCAACTAATGGGAAATGGGGGAATACAAAGCAAGGCTCTTGTCTACTTAAACTTTTAAATATCACAAATACTAATTTCATTTTTGCAATCAAACCCCGTGTACAGGGATGTTGTATAATATTTCCGCCTGAGAAATCACAATCCTTTTTTTCCCCCCCCCCCCCCCCCCTCCTCTTTCTCTCCCCCTGTAGACTCCTCTGGGATGTATCTGTGTAATAACGTCAAACATTTGTATCAGCAAACAGCCTTTTCTTTCTTCCTAAAACGGAATAACTACTTTTTCCCAAAAAAGTTCAATAATGAAGATTGGGTTTTTTTCTTGTTTGTATCCTTGGTTTTCTTGGTTTTTACTGACGTTGGCGTTGGCTTGACTATTTTGTTAGGATGCATATTTCTTGAGGAAGAAGAGCTGGGACTTCCCATTGTTCGAGGCTTCCTCCTTGTTACTGTATAGCCTTCTTCGTCGACTTCAGTTATTATCTCATCTTGGTTTCCTTGGTTGGCATTTGCATCATTGTTCCCCTCCTCTTCTGGGCTAGATTCCACAAGATTAGTATTTTCTTCTTCTGGTATGATCTTTTCTGGAAGGCGGGATTCTCGAACGTCATTACTGTACTTGTCATTTTTGTCATTGCCATGCTCGTCATTTGTATCATCACTAAACTCAAATGTTTCGTCCTCGTCGTCAAGAAACATATCTGCTAGTTTGGTAGTTGGCGGACGAGTTACTCTTGGTTTTTCGTCGTCCTCTTCCACTACATAATTGTTATGATCCACAATTACTCTTTCCCTCGGTTGCTTTTGCTCAACTTTTCTTGATTTGTATTGATAACTTGGCTTAGCAGGTTCGGATTCAGGTTCAGTATGGACTCTCTTTTGAGGCACACTCTTTTCACCTTTGCGCGATACGTATGATAGTCCACTAGCCTTTGGAGTTGCTTGATTCTGTTGCTTCCTGGAAACATAAGATGATGGTAAACCAGTATTCTTTACTGAGGTGCGTTTATTTGCTTCCACATTCCCTTCACTCACTTGAGTCTTTATTGGAGACGACGCGGGCATTTTTTGAACTGGTAAGTGGCTAATCTTTGTTCCTATAATAATACCGTTACGTTGATACTCCTCAATATCACTTAGACAACTCCGAATTTTCAATCCTTCACGAGCTATATCATTCAACGTTAAACACAATTCCTTCTTCTGAACACTATACACATGTATTGTTGAGATTGCCTTGAACAAATTCATACTATCCTCAACAACCAGTTCAGTTGCACAAAACTTGATCATTTTGGAACCATCTTGACCCTTCCCCGTTATGACAAATGACGCAGATAAGGTATCTGTGTTCTTTAGATAATACTCGAGAAGCGTCATCTTGGCTTTCAGTATAGGTATACTCAACAGTCTCGATAGTTCACGATACAAAATTGGTCTTGATTTGGTTACAATCTCATCAGTCAAGTAACTGACTTCGTTTGACGGTGCCTCCATTGTCATTCTTTACTTGCTGGCCCCGTCTCTTACTGAATTTTTCATTTTTCAAATATTCAATTTTTCATTTTTATTTTTTATTTTTTTGGATCAGCGCTTAATTCTTTACGCGTCTGAAGAATTCAAAGAGATGATTCATAAAACCATTTACCAAGATACATATATATATGTATATTACATTACTATAGAATCAAATAATAAATAAATGAACAGACCGTACCTCTCGCTGGAAAGGGAGAAAGACAATCAGAGCTCATCTTTCAATACTTCTTTTTCAACTTTCTCAAGTTGAGCAACTTTTTCAGCCTTTTTAGCCTTTTCAGCCTGCAATTGTTTCTTCTGTTCGAAATAAGCTGCTCTCTTTTTAGCTCTCAATTCAAGATTACCTTGGAGCGGACCTTCAATCATTTCAGGAGTAACACCGTTGCTAATCAATGTTTTCCACGTTCTAACATTCTCAAATCCATTTTGGGCAAATTGGTAGTCGAGGATGGCTTTTTGAACATCCTCTTTACGACTAACGACAAATGGACCATACTGTACAACTTCTTGATTTAATTTCTTACCACCAACCAACACGAATTCCACGTCATTTTCGTCTGTGTTTTCAGTAGCCGAGTTTCTACCTATGGCAAAGTCGCCTTCTTCTTCATAAAACACATTTTGATACTGGTTAATCTTTTGATCGTCGTTTAACACTAAAGTATTACCTTTTAAGACGTAAAGGAAATAGTTGAACCCTGGTGTTAATTCTTGTTTGAACTCACCACCAGCCTTAAGAGTGTAGTAGTAATAATCCACAGGTGTGTATGCCAAGTCCTTAACTGACTCGGCTCCGTAACTTCTACCACTGATAACGCGAACAATAACTTTGCCACCTTCTGCTGTAATGACTGGCACTTCCCACTCTCTCAAATCTCTATATCTAGGCTCGGTATCTTTCAACTCGTTGGGCAAATCGACCCACAATTGCAAACCAGAAATTGGCGAGCCATCTTCATTGGGCACGGGCATTTCTGAATGCACGACACCTCTACCGGCAGTCATAAATTGTAAATCACCAGGATACAAAATTCCCTTTGACCCTGTAAAATCTTCATGAGCAAAAGCACCTTGCAACATCAAGGTTATAGTCTCTTGACCACGATGAGGATGCTCGGGGAACCCATTTTTACCAGTACCTGAAAAATGGTCAAACATCAAAAAGGGGTCAAATTTTCTTTGGTTCATTATACCAATTGATCTTCTGACTCTAGCGCCGACACCTTCTGCTTGCTGTCTAGCAGTGATTATTTTAGCAATTGATCTGGCGGGCATCTCTAAATTTGTTGAGTTGTCACTAATGTTGCTGTTGCTGCTGTGATGCTGTTGCGTTGCTTGAATTACTGTAAGCGTTGATAAAAAAACACCAATGATTAGAATTTTAGAGATTGTACTTGATTTGAGGAAACGTTTCATGTATTTATACTTGCATGAGATATATGAGCGTATCTCTCTACAAATACTACGTCCAAAACCTGTCGGGGCGTTAGGATGAAGGAACTTTCTCGAACAAGATGATAATTGGTAAGTGCTTACATCTAAATCGTTATTTTGAAAAGTATTTATACCTTGCTTTGATGTTTCAATATTATATACTAAAGATAAGCTAACAACGGAGTTACAAAAAGTATGATGGCTCTTGTAGTAATCAATTAGTAAAAGGAAAAAGAAAAAAAAAGAAAAGAGTTAGTTTCCAATGAATGTACATATAAACAAAATGCAAGATTAATAATTGCCTAATAGAGCCAGAATGTGTTGGTACATTTGTCAGCAGTCTACAATCACTCTGGGAACTTTGTAATATATTTCTGTTTCCAACACTATCGAGCAGAGCGAGATAGTGAAGCACACCGACCGACACTATCGACAGAGGTGGAGAGATGAGATTGAGATGAAAAGATGGAGATTGAGAGATGAGATGAGATGAGCTTCGGGAAAAAGGATTATATTTGAGCCGCATACCTGGTCCAATTTGTCTTTTTTGGCATCTTGTTTACAAATCTAGTCACGTGTCTAAGGGAGCAACACTATCAAGCGACACTATCGAGCGAAGCGAGATAGTGTTGTAACGAGCTACAAAGTGTTGCTCCACTATCGAGCAACACTATCAAGCGACACTATCGAGCAAAGCGAGATAGTGTTGTAACGAGCTACAAAGTGTTGCTCCACTATCGAGCAACACTATCTCGCTCCGCTTGATAGTGTTTTAATCCGTGTTGCACGTAGCTCATTTGTCTCATCAATATAATTTACTAGTCTCACTTACATAGCTCACTTGTCTCACCCACACCCACTTGACCTTTTATCCATTTATATATTGTAGATTCACTTTAAGACTTTCCATTTGTAGTTGTCTATCCATTGATAGTTGTCTATCTCGCTCTACTCGATAGTGGAGATAGTGGAGATAGTGTCGGTGGCGGTTAATGGTGCTAGTCAGTATTGCTCCACCATCTCGCTCTGCTCGATAGTGTCACTGCGGCTTGTATTTCCCAAAAGAGAAACCCAAAAATTGAGCGCAATTTCACCCAAAGGAAGAACTTAGTTGAGTTAACTTCAACAAGAGGTAACTTCTAAAAGGGATCTAAATGAGCGATAACGGTTATGAGTCGAAGGGAATGGACTCTTCGTCATTTGCTAGTATACTAGCCGGCGTCAAACGAATGAGAGAAGAGTATGGAGGCGACCACTCACATAATGATATCACGATTCAACCGAAACAGAAATCCAATTCAGTAGTACAAACTACCACCACGGAAGCACATGTTCAGCCGTTGCCTTCGCTACAAGTCAGAAACCAGCTAGTGGATGTCACAGTGCCGCGAACAACTTTAGAAAAGCCAACAGCTAAACCGGTACCACCTCATCTCCAGAATCAACCATCTCTGCTGAAAACCATCGCGTCTACCACCACCACTAATACTACTACTCGTAGTACTAGTAGCAATGATGCAGGATCTATAAGACAGCTACAGCAGCACACGCATTCTACGGGTCCGACAGAGGTGCTAGTTCATAAGTCGCAGGAGAAAAACCCCCTACTAGTTGAGTCAATGATGAAGACTACACCATGGGTATTTGATTCGTCGATACTCTCGGATTACTACATTAGTGCCACTTTCCAAATTCTTTTCCTATCATTAAAATACCACAAATTAAGACCTGAATATATATGGACACGATTAAAGAAATTAAACAAAGGGTCTTCTTCCACTGTCGTGGCAAGGAATGATAAGGTATTGAGAGTGTTGTTGGTTGTGGTAGACATAGACTCGCACCAAGAAGCATTGAGAAAATTGTCGGATTTTTGCATAAAGCATGACTTGTCTTTAGTATTGGCTTGGTCTTTTGAAGAAGCGGGCAACTATATTGCATTGGGCAAGCATTTTGATAGCGTGCCACAAAAGTCTAAACAGAGTATTCGAGGGTTTAAGGGAACTGATTACAACTCGAGTGTTGTTGAAGCGTTCACCACTGTCAAGTCAATTAATAAAACCGACGTATCGAACTTGCTAGCAAATTGCAAATCGGTAAAGAGTATTGTCTTGCAAAGCTGCGGGAATGACAATGAGGAATTGGGGAACATAGCCGGATTAGGTTCAGTCAAGCGCGAGAACCTAAAGAAGGTGTTTCTGCAACCTTTTATATTTAATAAAAATTATGACAAGTAACATAAGAGGGGAATTATATATATATATATATCTGCTTTATTGCTCTTGTTTTTCCATCTCAATTACCTTTCGCCTTAAAATGAGATTAATCCCATTTAATATTTCGTTTTTCTGTACCAAGATATCACGAAGCTTTTTACCGTCTTCATCTAGCTTTTTGATCTTCTTATCATAAACTTTTTTTGCTTCATCGGCTTTTTTCTCAACAAAATAACCTGTGCCAATATCAACTAAATAATCCAGCTTCGAAACCGCCTTACCAGGTATGTACAAGGAGCTGGTGAGCGGTACAAACATATCATTGGATTTCGATTTTTCCAAATTATTTATACTTATTATACAATCTTTCAACTTTGTCTGTGCTGTCTGCAATGCCTGAAGCGATTGTTGGAAATGAGCAATTTCCTGATCTATATTCTTCCTAAACTCAACCAATTGTTGAGGCGGAAGAGCATTCAAGTCGATCTTCTGTGGTTGCGACATCACCAAAAAGGTCTAATTTTCCTCCCCAGCTTCTCTTACGCTTAGTCAATGCGAACAGATCCTGAAAGATTTCTCTACTATCCTTCTTTTCCTTCTCTTCCTTTTTCCTTTTTCCTTTTTCCTTGTTCATTTTTCATTTTTCATTTTTCAATTTCTTTTTTTCTTTCAACCTCTTCTCCAACTTTTCGTATGGTTTTGATTCTGGTCTTGATTGTTGATTAGATTGCGATTTCTTTTGCACTGTATTTCTTGCTCTCTAGATAGTATGGGTAATGAGGGGGGCACAATTGCCAAGAGACAAGATATCTTGTCCTTGCATAGTGGAGGCCATAGGTCACGACCAGGTATAGAGAGTGACGATGCTAAGCAAGTACTACTACATAGCTGTGCGTTTTCGGGATTACCTCTTTATCAAAACACGCCGACTGTAGGCGACTACAAGGGTAGACTATATATCAAAGAAAAGATACTCCAGTATATACTAGATAGTAAGTTGGATAAGCTCAAGAGTAAAGCAGAATTTCAGCATTTGAGGTCTTTGAAAGATTTGTGCAAGGTTGCGATAAAGTTTGAGGTGGTTGATGATATAGCACACTTTCAATGTCCTATTACTAAGGAATTAGACGACAAATGTGTATATGCGTATCTAAGACCTTGTGGTTGTGTAATGGCTTACAAGTTTTTGAGAGAGTTGAAACTGACCATTGCCAAAACGTTGAAGTCGCCATCGCAGTCGCTGGTGAAGTTGCAATTTCAGCTGCAGGCTCAGCTGCAGGCTCAGCTGCAATCCCAGCTGCTGTCTCTAGTACCGTTGCAATCCCAGCTGCTGTCTCTGGTACCGTTGCTGTCGCAGTTGCCTTTGCAACTGGTCACGGCAAATTGTCCAGTATGCAACGAGCCATTTATATTTGATTACGACTTGGTCATCATCAATCCAACCAACAATGAAGAATTTGCTGAGATCAATGAAAAGAGTTACAAGTATTTGAGAAATGTCTTACATTTAACAAACTCAAAGGAGCCTTTAAAAAAGAAAAAACATAGAAAGTCATCTGATTTAGAGAGTAGCGGTGGGGACTTTGTACGGAAACGTAAACTAGATCAAGACGGAGATATAGAAGCAGTCAAACGGGCGAAAGCTTGAGCCGCACACACTTTCTCTCCCTTTGCTCTATCTTTTATTCTTATACTGGTTTTTAGTGTATATTTCATTGATATGTATTTCCAAAAATATAGACTTTTGTTACCTCCCCCTGCAACAAAACTATGTACATGTAAATAGTAAAGCGCGCCTCACCTCACCTCACCTCGTCCTCTTTTCTCATGACGATTGTCTGTACCTCACCTCGTCCTCTTCTCTCATGACGATTTGTCTGTACCTCTAGCATCGTGGTATTGTTCCTCTTCGAACTTGAGTTTTTCCTTGTTCCAAGGAGCATAATCGGAATTAGCCCATACATTGAAAATCATACTGCCTGTACCAATAACACAGAATCCAACAAGTCCTAGCACCGTTAACCTGTGCAAAGCATCCGTATAACGAACGTGACGTGGAAGTTGATTGCCTGCCATAATGATCTGATGTAATAAAAGTGATTAATTAATAGCCTGTCGTTTATATGTATATATATATATTTTTTCCATAGATGTATTTTTTCTTTCATAGCTTTTGGTAAAGAGTCAATTTTCGTTTTATATATATATATATACTAACAAAAATATTTTCCTATTTATAAGAGATACTTTAACCAGTGGTTATTTATGATCCCAGAGTCGAGTAATGAAGGATTGTAATAGACCAAATCTAGTATCCAATGAGCGTTGTGGAATTTAAAGAGATTCTTTGCAGTAGCGTCTTTGTCGTGAAGATTACTACTACTACTACTTCTGTCCAGGTCTAAAATTTCACGAACAATGTAATCCAATAATTCGTAGCTTATTTGGTTTATTGCATCCATATGCATTTTGGAAAGCTGGTTATTAGTTTCAGCTGCCAAGATACTTGATGGCTCTTTAGCAACGTATTTTTCAAATTTGGTACAATCGATATGGCCTATTGATAATGTACTGTTGCTCTGTTGTTGAATAACATTCTCGGATAATGGACGTAATGCTTCATAGTTGCCCGTTTCGATACTTGCAGGGAATTGACGTGGCTGAATCCCCTTGATGATAAACTTCCTTTTTGGGGGCTCGCCGCCAGGTTGTGGGATGTTGAGAACTTTGGCTTCGGCATAGGGGAATGCCTTTGTTACATTCTTGATAAACTCCACCGCGGGTAATAACTGGCGTAGCGGACGGTTACGGTGGGGTGCATTTGGATCCTGTTTCCACACTTCTTGGAATTGAGTTTCATATGCTTTCCATATCGATATTTGAGTTACTTCAACTTGTTCAGACATTGTCGGTTCATAACAACAATGCAACCATGTAGTGGCCCTAGCTGGCTCCGGGAAAAGTAATATGATTTTATAAAGGTCACTTGTCAACTCCGGGGCAGACGTTGGAGCACTAACATATTGCGTTCTTTTCGATAAATTGAATACCGGTACCTGTTGCAACTCGTTTGGTTCTTTCAAGGGTAAATTCGACACCAATAATAGAGGAAGCTGCTTAACTAGTGTTTCATAGTTTGCCCTCGTGGACGAAAGTTGTAATAATTTTCTCAATCTAAACCTTTGCGACTCCTTCACTGATGATGGGTAGTCTTCATGTAATGCTTCTGAAAAAAGGTACATTTTCAAAAATTTCAATATTGCATAGTTTAATTCATTATCAGCAACCATTAGTTTTTCTACAATGTGCTCTAAATGCCCGCTAGTTAGCGCGTCAATGCAGTTGTTTGTGATCTTTGTCTCTTCTTCTTCTTGTCCAATATTTGTTCCATCTTCATCGTCGTCGTCATCATTATGAACGCCATTATTATCATTGTCATTGTCATTGTCATTGTCATTGTCATTGTCATTTTCGTCATCTTCAACGATCTTGGCATTCTTATCCCAGGTAATGAGCAAATGCGAAATGCACTTCAATACATCAATAAACAAGTTCTTATCGTTAGTGGCCATCAAGATTTGCAACAAAGTGTTGAACAAGATGTCGTTTTTACTATTATTTATGTAGTAGCATGTTAGTGGCTCTAGCAAGTCAATGACATAGTTCAACGCTTCTGCAAACTGATTTTCGAAATGAACAAGCTCGTGTGCTTGTGCTCCCGGCTTGAAGAACCAACTGGACAATATTTTGAGAATCTCGATAAGTTGTTTTTTGAAATTTACAATTTGAGATAACCATTGCTGGTTGCCCAATTCTTGCGCCGAGTTTCTTAGAATTAAAAGGGCATCTAAACTATGGGTGATTATTCGCTGCGATACCGACTTGAATCTCTTTTCATGGATCAATTGAAACGGCAAGTAAAAATACTTGATTAACTCCAATGCTATAAACGTCTCGTTTTCAAAATGGAGATAGGGGTTTATAGAATTTCTTGCCAAGGTACTCAAAGCCCAATCTATTTCGCTTTCGAGCCCTGACTTGAGGGCCATGGTTATTCTCAGCTTCTCATCTATTCCTCGATGATTAGACCCTATAGTTTGAACTTGATTAAAACCAAAACCGCTGTATAATGGGTAACCTGTGGCTATACTTTGATAGGTATTAGACCCATTCATGTGAAATTCATTCCCATTACCATTTAAGGGAATGACAATCCTAGAATTAGTAGTTACAGGTAGAAGCGTGGGCATTGTAATACTGTTTCTATCTATTGAATCTCTCAACTATCAATACCGTTTCTTTCAATGTTCCAGGTGCCTTGAAAAAAAATTGAATATGAAATGTCGAAAATGGTGGTCGTGTGGAAACCACGACATTGAAAAATGACAGATTACCAATACCAACAACACTATCGAGCAGAGCGAGATAGTGTTGTAACAAGCTAACAAAGTGCTCACTATCGAGCAGAGCGAGATAGTGTCATAACACTTTGGCTTGAATAGTGTCATAACACTTTGTAGCTTGGATAGTGTCATAACACTTTGTAGCTTGGATAGTGTCATAACACTTTGTAGCTTGGATAGTGTCATAACACTTTGTAGCTTGGATAGTGTCATAACACTTTGTAGCTTGGATAGTGTCATAACACTTTGTAGCTTGGATAGTGTCATAACACTTTGTAGCTTGTTACGATACTATCTCGCTCTGCTCGATAGTGGAGCATACTGACTAGTTGCCAAGGACATGGTAGCAAAATCGAATCTCAGTTGTAAATACAAAGATATAATATAGAATTCTTGATATATACAAGTCTCTTTATCTATTGATATGCATGCCTCTTGATCTATTGATATACATACCTCTTGATCTATTGATATACATGCCTCTTGATCTGTTGATATTTCTGAGGTCATTTTAGACTAGCTGAAAGCGAGCTAGTAGTGCAAGAGAGTAGAGTTGTAAAGAGGGTAGAACAACAAAGTAGCAAAGAAAAGGAACATAGTAGAGTAGAATAGTAAAGAGGGTGGATATATAGTAAAGTAAAGAGGGTGTATATAATAGAGTTGCAAAGAATAGAGCAAGAGAATAGATTGTAGAGAGTGCAGAGCTAGAGTGCTGCTCGATAGTGTCGCGGTGTATTCAGTGCTGCTCCACTATCTCGCTTCGCTCGATAGTGTCGATAGTGTCGATAGAGTTTATTAGCGCCGCACGTTGGCTCGGCTCGTAAACGCTGCAGCAATTCCGCATAAATTCCGCTCATCAAATTTTATTTTTTCATTCAATAATGGAACCGAATGAAATATCAAGTTTTATTAATAGTAACTATATATTCTTATCTTTCCCCCCCTATCTTGTTTTCTCTTTCAACTTTTAGTTGTCTTTTCTTTGTTACTGGTTTTAAATAAGGAATTTGTTTAGTTGTAAATGAGAGTAAATACCTTTGTTACTATCTTGACTTTTACGTCAATTATCCAAGCTTCTGATAAACAAGTGGTTTTCAATAATGAAAACGATTCTGAACAGGCTAAAAGTACCTCTTCTTCAGTTTTGGACAACTTTTTTGACCAAATTGGGAAAGACACTCCAGAGCTATTAGTTCATGCATGGGCAGATATGCAAAAGAATTTGTCGCCAGGTACTATTGCCAAGTTGGTTAGGCAATATGACGAGAAGAAGGCTAAACCTGGAACCCAAAATTTACAATTGGAACCACAATTGAGCAACGAGTTTGAGGTATTGACAAACAAAAAGTTTACCGATTATTCATTGAGAATCAAAACTACAAATCCCGAAGCTTTGGGTCTCGACACTGTGAATCAGTATACCGGTTATATTGATGTTCAGAGTATTGACCACCACTATTTTTTCTGGTTCTTTGAATCTAGAAACGATCCCCAAAACGATCCAGTTGTATTATGGCTTAATGGTGGTCCAGGTTGTAGTGATGCCACTGGTTTATTTTTCGAATTGGGTCCTTCCTCAATTAACTCAACTTTACAACCAGTCCACAATCCTTACTCATGGAACTCAAACGCCTCGGTGATCTTCTTAGATCAGCCAGTCGGTGTCGGCTATTCGTATTCAGGCGGCGATCGGGTCACTAATACCGCAACTGCCGCAAAGGATGTTTTTGTCTTTTTGGAATTGTTTTTCCAAAAATTTGACCAGTTCAGGAACAATAAATTTCACATTGCTGGTGAATCTTATGCTGGACATTACATTCCCAAGTTTGCTAGCGAAATACTAAGCAACAGTGATAGGTCTTTTGAGTTGTCTTCGGTTTTGATTGGTAATGGTATAACGGATCCCTTGATCCAAGCAGGCGCGTATAAACCAATGGCCTGTGGAGAAGGAGGATACAAACCTGTTTTAACTGAAGACCAATGCGATCAAATGGAACGCGATTATCCAAAATGTGCCAAGTTGGCCAAATTGTGCTACAAATTCCAGAATGCATTCACTTGTGTCCCTACTGGATATTACTGTGAAACTAAGTTGTTTCAACCGTATGCAAAAACCGGATTGAATCCATATGACATTAGAAAGCCATGTGCTGAAGAAGGAGGAAATTGCTATATTGAGATGAACTATATTGATGACTATTTGAATTTAGATTATGTCAAACAAACTGTTGGTGCCTCTAACATTGATATTTTCACAGCATGTGACGATTCTGTGTTTAGAGACTTTTTGCTTGAAGGAGACGAATACAAGCCGTTCCAACAGTATGTTGCTGAGTTGTTGGATAAGGATATACCAGTATTGATATATGCTGGAGACAAGGATTATATCTGTAACTGGTTAGGTAATTTCATGTGGGTTAATAAATTGCAGTATAAGGACGGCGAGGCATTTGCTAACCAACCATTGAAACCTTGGATTCCAAAGAGGTTGGCTACATCCGATGAGACAAAAACAGCAGGCGGAGAGGTTAAGAACTATAATCATTTTACATTTTTGAGAATTTACGATGCTGGCCACATGGTTCCTTATGATCAACCGGAAAATGCCTTATTAATGTTGAATTCATGGATACAGGGTGACTACTCACTATCGAACAGAGCGAGATAGAGGAGCACACTAGCTGCTACCGACTAGCTTCTCGTCTAAACACTCCCTACTATACTCAAAGAGATGAAGATTTTCTTTTATTTCTCAAACTCGTCAACTTTCAATAGTTTAAATTCTATAAGGGGGAGGGATACTTTGGACTGTATATCGATTTGAATTATACTTTATACTGTAAATCGATTTGAATTATACTTTATACTGTAAAACTATTCATTTCTACAATCACATTCTCTTTGGTAAGTGGCCCACGGGTGTATGAAACAAGATAAATAGACTTTGTGAGAAAAAGGTACACAAACTTGGAACCAAAATGCTTCAAAAGGATTAATGAGGCCCTTTTCCAGAATATTCAATGTCTACAGACAATGCCTACGGGGATAGCGACTACAGGCAATGCCTTCTAGGGATTGCCTTGAAGGATTTGTCTTCTAGGATTTGCCTTCAAGGGTTTGCCGCGGCTACTACAAAGAGATCTTGTCAGGCGTGTAGGTTGCTTATGAAAGTTGTAGGATTCTACTTTTGTTCTTTTTAAAGTTAAGACCCCTATATGCCCTTACATTTCGAGTTAAAACTCAAGATTGCCCTTGTCTTTTTTTCTTGTCTCTTTAGAAACAATTTGTCAAAGTAGTCACAGTCACCTAAACGTCACCGTAGTAGTTACCACAGTCACTGTAAGGTAAGTTTGTCATATCCCAGTAATGGAAAGGTTAAACTTTTTATCTCCTTAATGTAGCATTGTTAACTGCCGCTAGTTATGTAATAAAACCCACATACATTACATAATATTTACCAGATAGACATACCAGCTCTTATATAATATGTATATGAATAATTACATAACTCCTTACATAATATGCTGGATCATTGGAAAAACCAGCGCTGGTTATTTTGAAAAATTGATCAGTTTTGGGCATGATAGAATATAGTTGGCACTTTAAAGACTTGCAGCGCTTCTTCCCATCGTCTAGAAAGGAAAGAAAGGTGTTGGCAAAAGAGTTTTCTCTTCCCCTATATTTGTTATTGTCACATTTCTTGTTGATGCAACATTTCCCGCGAGTTTTTACTCAATTCTTTGAGGTTATGTGTAATAATTATTTAAGCATCTACAATGTAACTATAAACATTTAACGTTTCTGTTTATTGACCAAATTGCATTTTTCTTGTATTCTTTTCCATTGGATTGGGCTTTATCACGGGGCAGGGAGAGGCCTTATTTCAATTTAAATAATCTTCACTTCCCACACCTTTTTCTCCTTTGTAGCTCATCCTGAATCACATCGTTATTTGAACCCCCAACTATTTACACTCGTTATAAATCTTAGAAAAGTATCATAATGCAAGTCCAATCTTTATTGACTGTTTCGGCTTTGGCAGCTATCGTTTCTGCCGCTTTTGAAAATGTCACTGTTACCACCGAAGTCACCGTTACTGGTTATACTACTTATTGTCCCGAACCAACGACAATCACCTTGACTGTTTGTGACGCTAAAGAGTGCACAGCAAGCGAACTTGTAGTAGACGAACCAAAAACAATCACAGTCACTGAGGAGTGTATTGTACCAGTTTCATACACTACCGAAGAGTACACTGTTACTGAAACCGTGACTTGCCAAAAATGTGCTGAAGCTACTCAAGAAGCTGCAGAGGCTTCAAAAGCTCCAGAGGCTCCAAAGGCTCCAGAAGAACCTGCTAGTGTTGCTCCAGCTGCAGAAGAACCTGCTAGTGCTGCTCCAGCTGCAGAAGAACCTGCTATTGTTGCTCCAGCTGCAGAAGAACCTGCTAGTGTTGCTCCAATTGAACAAGCTCTGTCAAACTCCACTGTCAATGGTGAAGTCACCCCATTCGAAAGTTCAGGTGTCAAGAATGCTATTGGTTTAGCCGGTGCATTGTTTGCAATTGCTGTTGCCTTGTTATAATAGTGTCCAACATGCCACCCAATATCCAAAATTTGTCAAGGATCGAGACTACTGTGTTTTCAAACCCTTTTTACCTCGGAGGAGAAGTAAAGTGGTTGGGTTTACACGTATGCTTCTCTCTCTGTATAGCATAAAACAGATGATTCTTTGTATAGCATAAAATAGATTCCTTTGTATAGCATAAAACAGATTTCTTTGTATATTCATAAAACCGTCCATTTCTTGATGTATTCATACCTGATTGGTCATTATAACTAACTGCTCTTACAAACTACTCTTACATGCCCTCTACCAACACCATTAAGTAAAACTTCGGCCATCTTTCGGTTCATTTCAAGCAAGTGGAAAGTTTCGCAGTATGAAATATTTCTTTACTTTGAAAAATCAATGAAACCTAAAAATCCAAATTAGTAGTTCTTTGTAGCTAGAGAACCACTCATTGGTCACTCTACCATTATCGAAGGAAATTAAGTTTCAAGAAACTGGCCTTGAACAGTTGTGAACAGTTGTGAACAGTTTTGACTAGATTTGACTAGATTTGACTAGATTTGACAGGGATCTTTCCAGGTTTAACCCAGCTTTATAAAATATATGCTATAAAAGACAAAATCCAAAAGACAAGCCTGTGTGTGTGTGTGTGTTTAAATATGTCCTATAGCCCTGATTTTGGGTTCAATTCTACTGACTTGTCTACCCCCGTGCCTTTGCTGTCGCTGTCGCCTCCAACGTGTCCCATTTCGAACTTTCCCAAAACATCTAGGTTCTTTGATAAATCGGCATTACCAAGCTTGAAAACGTTCCAAGTCAAGTTTAAAAACTCAACCACTTGTCAGCAGCTTCCCAAACAAGTTTGGTTCAACGGTCAAAACTCAAACTTTAACTATAACCCGTATGATATCCCCCAGCAAAAACTCAAAGTGACAACTCCTATTAATTATGATAATATACCATGTAAATTTAATATTATTCGACCTATAGAGCAAGAGAATAATGAAGTGCCCTTTTTGCAATTAAACGAAGAATTGGCAAAAGATCCTATTAGCTTGATTGACAATTTACTGGATATCGGCCAAAAGTACGGTGCCATAAAATTGAAACTTCCCGTCAAGGATCAATGTCTATTCCATTCCACTAATCAGGTTAATTCTGACTTATTTTGGTTTCAAACTACAAAGTTAGTATCATCACTAAAAGAAGATGAGATATACACGAGATTGAGATTTCAGCAAGACTTGCTAAACTTCCTTACCACAATCGAGAACAATAGCACCCTCAACGGGAAGGGAAACAAAGATAATGAAAGTCAGAGTCAGAGTCAAAGTCAAAGTCAAAGTCAGAGTCAGAGTCAGAGTCAGAGTCAGAGTCAAAGTCAGAGTCAGGGTCAGGGTCAGGGTAGTGGCTACCACTTAACTAAGCTACCCATGATAGATAAAAGACCAATAGATTTATACAAATTATTCCAGTCTGTGTTAGTAAGAGGCGGGTTTGTTGAAGTAGTGAATAAAAAATTATGGGCTCAGATTGGAAGAGAATTGGGCTACAAAGGTAAGATAATGACCAGTTTAAGTAGCTCACTAAAAGCTTCGTATCAGAAATTCTTGTACCCTTATGAATTACATTTAGCGTCGCAAAAGCGAACGCCAACGCCCCAAAGTAGGAAAGAAGATGTAGAAATGGTTGAGGAGCTGCTAAGTAATGGGGAACGGAAACGGAAACAAAATTTCCAGCTGCAAAATGAGGATACTAGTAAGAAAATAAAACTTGAAAGTAACAACTTTTCTGTACCCTTGGTGATTGGTTCGGCAAAACAATTTAAAAGGAATATTGAGACAAAAGTGGCAAAGAGGTTCCTAGTCAATTCTCCCCACTTGGTACACGTGAAACCACCAAACACTTTTACTTTGAAAAACGAAGAGAAGAAGAGGAGTAGACGCAACCAGGATACAAACTACATTACAATTAAACCACAAACTGAACTTGATTCTTGTTTGTCCTATATAGCAAACAGCGATGACGATACTTCATACAGACAACCTTGGAAACTTGCTTCGGTATATAGTCTTCGGCAATTTATGGAGAAGGATTTGAAATTTCAGGAATATATTATACGACATGATCCATCAAAGTTTTCAGCGGATACCGCAACTACGAAACTGATTAAAATAAAGGATTTGGAAGAGCTATATTGGAAATACATTAAAAACGATGGGTTTGAACATGGCTCAAGCGTTGGCTTGGAATTGGAAATGGGGAAGGATACACTCAGTTTTACTAGTGGATCAGGATTTGTCAAACTAGGCGATGACTTACGAAACTACAAGATAGCATTGAATAACTACCAACTTGCCCTGAGTGCAAAGTATACAGGACAGGGAAGGAATGGTAACAGTTTATACCTGGAAGATGGCGGCGATCTGTCGTCAACCTCAACCACAATGTCGCTTCAAAACGACCCAGAGTCTATAAGCCAAACCATTAAACTGGCTCTATATCCTTGGAATTTGCATAATTTTCCCACCCTACCAAACTCATTATTAGGAGCATTAAATGAATCGGACATAAACAATAAAGAATTGCTAGAAACAAAGGTTAATATCGGAATGACTTTCAGTACCGAGAATTGGACATGTGAAGACCATTTTACTCAATTGATAAATTACCATTTTTTTGGAGCTAGTAAGCGTTGGTATTTTATTCCCGAGTCTGAATTTGATAAATTTCAAAAATTGGTGGAAGAAATTACTTTGGAAAGACAGCAACACATCTCAAACATAAACCGTGAGCGTGCTTGTGATGGTTCAATGTTGAAGGATATGTTGTTTCTGCCTGGTCAAGTGGAAATCGATTCAGATATGTTGATGACAACGTTGGAGTATGCAATCAACACCAAACACGACGTTAAACTCAAACACAAAAATAAAAAGTTTGCCGGCCTCATGTGTAACAACTCCTTTCTTTACAATCAAGAGTTTGTTATTGCTCCGGAGATTTTAGACGCAAACAATATTCGATATACAACAACAGTTCAAAACCCAGGAGAATTTATTGTCAAATACCCCAAGACCTATTCTTTTGCTCAATCGTATGGATTTAACTTTACTGAGGATGTCAATTTTGCTTCAAGCTTATGGCTAAAATATGCTCTCGAGGGTGAAAAATGGATCACCAAGCAAGGTATACTACCTAATTTCCTGTTTTTCAAGCTACTTATTTCTTTAGCTGTCATGTATGATAGCGGCAACAATATCTCATTCAATTCGGAAGTATTTGCCAAAGTTGCCAAATTGTATGAGCCCCTTTATTTACAAGAAATCGAATTGAGAAATGAAGTGCGAAAGTTTAAAGTTAAGGAAACTATGATCAGCGAAGAAAAAGGGTCGGATATTATTGCGGATGATACTTTTGAAACAGTCTACCCAACAAAAGTGGTTCTTGTAGATCAAAAGAATAAACAATCAATGATAATGTCTATGGAAAGCTTTTTACAGAATCAAAAGAAGGGAGACTTGTTAAAAGATTATCAGGTTGAGTTGCAACTCTATTACTCAGATGAAAAATTAAAGGGGTTTTTCAAAATCTTGAGCGAGTATTCGGTGGATTTTGAATCATGGATTAAAAATTTCGAGCAAGTTATGACAGAGGGGCAGGAACTCTCTTTAAAGCAGTACAAGCAGCTACTTTTAGAAGGCGACAAGATTCATTCTTGTATCATGTCCACCTCCAAAATCAATGATCTGCTGCTGCTGCTGGTCAATGAGGAAAGGCTCTCTCTATTTAAAGAATATCTTGCTAATTTGAGAAGTTTTACAAATCACTCAACTCAGTTTGTTGAAGATTGTCAAAATCTACTATCGCTTAAGCACCAACAACGAATACGCCATGCTCAAGATACCACGACAAGTGAAAGAACAGCCTCATTGACCGATTTGATTAGCTTGGTTGATCTTATTCCCAAGTTGAATTTTTCATGCCCAGAGATAGACCAGATTTTAGAGTACAAAAACGAAATTGAGAATTTTGACAAAGCAAGTAGAACCCTTGTATCGAAAAAGAGTAAATCGCTACAAGAATTTGATGACTTGATTAGCCTTGGTGAAAGTTTTGGGTTGCACATACCTTCCTTGGACTTTATTATCAGGTTAAGAGATAGAATGAAATGGCTTCGCACATATAGTTTGATTGAAAAGGGGGTTGATCCATATGCAGACCAAAAAGAAGTTTTTACTATAGACAGCTTAAAAGCTTATCATCAAGAAGCAACCAGGATCCTTTCCAAGAACGATCTTCCTTATATTCTTGAAGTTGAGAAAATTCTAAACCAAAGCATTACATTCAATTACGAGGTTACGAAATTCTTGCAGTACAATTTTGTTCACAATTTGAATACCGAAAAGTTGACTGAAATCATTGATAGATTTATGAATGAGAAATTGTTCATATCCATGGAAAATTATACGGAATTGTCCAAGATTCACCTCCACTTGAAATTGATCAGTCAGTATAAAGAAAAATCCTCTCAAAATCCAATAACTTATCCCGAACTAAAACAATTTTTCCATGCAATAACAGAAACCGGGTTGAAATTTGATACCAAAAAATTTGAGTTAGATTTGCAAAATGCCGAAAACTGGATTAGCTCCACGTGGAGACTATTTGAAAAATTGAAAATTTTAACAACCATGACTAGGAAAGTCAATTTGGATAATGTGAATCAAAAGCTTACAATGAATAGTAAATTTGTTGAAAAATTACTTCGGCTCCTCCACAAGTCAGAGTTTAGCTTGTCGCAAGAAGATAAGTTTGAGAAATGCTCGTCATTCTTGAGATTACAGGGTGAAGCTGAAGATCCTACATACTACTGTGTTTGTCGAGAGTATGAACATGGCACAATGGTTGAGTGTGGAAAATGTAATGAATGGTACCATGTACAATGTGTTAAAAATATAAGTGACACCAATGCCGATAGTTACAAATGCCCCATATGTCTAGTCATTGAATCCGAAATAGGCAAGGATCTGTATTTGGACTCGCAAATGAAAGTTGACGAGTTTCGTCGAATTTATGAAGAGGGTTCTGCTCTTGCTTGTGTTCCTGTTAACGAATTAGAAATCATGAAGGAATTAATCGATTTACTTGATGGATATACGAGTAGCATTGAGTCAAAACTTTTTGATATAAGCAAAGAAGCGGATGTCACTATTCGTCTTGATAGGTTGAGGTTCGAGTTGCGCAAGCTCTATGGATGTGGAGTTTATTTCGATGGGTTATTTGTTCGTATATTGAGTCTCTTGAAAGAGACTCAAACAAGTAAAGAAAGGGACTCTGGAATCGAGAATGCTGAGTTGAATGAGGCTACAAAGCCAAAACCAAACTTAAGCAGCGATGATGTTTTGAGTTCTAATGTGGATCAAGCTAGTGTCAATGATGATTCTTTAATTACTTCAGAGACTCGTGGTGACAGCCAAACCTTGCTGGTTGTGAATGAAATGACCGAATCAAAGGATACAACAAAACAGAAAAAGTTACAGAGTCATGGCAATACTAATATCTCTGAAATGGCGAACGGGGCTGTTAAAAACAGGCTTGAAAATAAAGATGTTGATGATGATAATGTATGTGAGAGTTTGCCCAATATGGACAACAAGATGCATGATTTATTGCACTCATCTGCCAATGGCGATACAAATGGCTCTATGGTTAAAATAGAGAAAGTTTCTGAGCCTCATGAACCACTGAGAAATGGTTCAAATGAGATTGCCAAAGATGAAAAAGCCTCAGATTCAAATGGTAAAGCTCTGTAAATGATACTTTACTGATATTTATAACTGGGTAATGATACTGATACGGACAAGTATATCAAGTACAGTATCGTATAAAAGAGAAGGTGAGAGATTTGAGCTGATGTATGTATATTGAACAACGTAGAAGTAATAAAGATGACATAAAATGAGTAACACTATCAAGCGGAGCGAGATAGTGTTGTAACAACCTACTGAGTGTGGTAACAAGCTACTGAGTGTTGTGACAAGCTACTGAGTGTTGTAACAAGCTACTGGGTGTTGCTCCACCATCGAGCACAACACTATCTCGCTCTGCTCGATAGTGGAGCACACTATCGACACTATCTCGCTCTGCTCGATAGTGGAATCAGCCTTTGTAACAAGGTGTCACATCACGTCACATCACGTCACGTGTATCTCATCTCATCGCATCGCATCGCATCTCGTTTTTCGCGATGCGATGGATCACGTGACTCCTTTTTTGTTTGTTGACGCGTCGCAAACACAAACAAGAGCCGATGGGGGGTGGAAGTTGAATAGGTTAAACAGTTTACAGTTTCTCTACTTCAAAGGTTGATGAATAGAGGCGATGACAACGGTTTGCACTAGTACGGACGTGGCGTCGGTTACATTGGACAATTGTCTTGATATTCTTGTTGATCTTGGGTGGGAAAGAAGTGTTGGTTCTATTGAAAAGATTTATGTATCACGAATAAGTTTAATAATTGAAACGATACAAAGTATATTAAAGGTTGGACAAATTTTTTCCAATGATGAGTTGAGGTTTGTTGAAGCGTATATCAAAGAAAGGCCTACACGGCAATTGACAAAACAGGATCTTAAGGCATTCATTTCAAGACTGCTTTATGAGAATTCCATTGGTAAAGTCTTGAGTGAGAATTTCGGCTTTACAAATGAGAGATTAAGAGATTGTATTAAAAATAGAGGCAGCAATTACAAGCCGCAAGGGCTGGATGTGGATGTGGATGTGGATGTTGGTGAGTTGTGGAAGAATGACAATTATCGTGCATATAAAGCCGAACAGATTGAGGAGAAATTGAGAGCAAGGAAAATGGTAAATGGGATTTCAAAAGGGGAAGCTAATGGCCGAGCATCCCGTCATAGTGAACTGGCAAAAGAGAAGGATACTAAAGAGAAATTGGAACAATACTGCAGAGATTGCAAAAACACTTGTGAATTGTTAAGGACACAGATTTCTAATCTAAGCACTACTTTGAGAACTTTAGAAACCACTATTGCAGAGCAAGACCGATTGATTCAAACTCTAAGAATAAAAGAGCTGTCATCTACCCATCTTCTCTTGGATTTTGTCAGAAAGATTTGTGCATATTTTATGGAGTTGTGTTCAAAATTTAGCACCACTAGAGTTTCACCACCTTCTATTGCTCTTTGCAATAAAACGCGCTTGAAAATTCCATCAGGAAAAGATCATCAACATATGCAATACATACTACTAGCTCTGATTTCAATCTGTGCATTCATCGTACTCCTCATTTTGGCATCGTTTTTTCTCAATGGATACAGAAATAGTAGTAGCATGGGCTACATTTATGATACTCACGATCGACCTAGCCTGTTGCCATTACTCGATTTTTGTAGCCGCCGATTCCCCATGCTAGAAGAGAGGTTATATAGATATTTCGAATGGTAATAAAAACACAGAAACACACTTGAAATTACCCGTACTCAATATATTAAAAGAGAAACAATTTATTCAATACATTAACATTAAATATCTGTAATCCGTAAAGAAAAGAAAGTACTCCAAAAAGAAGAAGAAAAAAACAAAAAAACACCTTTTGCTTCTGGTCAAGTTTAGTTCATTTGTTTAACCAAAGCATTGATGAATTCTTCTCTGTTACCAGTATCACCACCTTGGATAAAGTGTTGGAATTTTCTTGATCTGAAACCACCATTTGGGTTAGACAATTTGAATGGCCATAAGAAGTTGTTGACTTGCTTAAAGTTTGGTCCAACAGTGTAGATTTCGTGAATCAAATCTTCAATGGACAAGATATCGTATTTACCCAAGTTAGCTTCAATGATAGCATTGTCAGACAAAGCGATTCTTTGTTTGTTGACTTTACCGTAACCTCTCTTGTAAACCAATTGTCTGATGGTTGACAATGATGGGTAACCGTAAGCAATGTATGGTTCAGCCAATTTGATCAATTCGGATGTAGCTTTGGTTAATCTTACAAAGACACCAGAGTTGATTTGGGTCAATCTCAACAATTGCAAAACTTTTCTTGGTTTTGGTGGAATTTTCATAATACCTTTGATTCTCACAATGAAAACCAATTTTGGTTGAGCATCAACATAGTATGAACCAGAAGCTTTAGCATCTCTCTTGGCTTGGATAACTGATCTTTCAGCATCAGTATACTCCTTTTGGTATTTAGCAGCTCTGTCGTAAATGACACTTCTCTTTTCCTTGTTAGACTTAAAAAAGGGGGTTAGTAACTCACTATTAAAATCATAAAAAAGATACCTTTCTCTCCATTGATATTTTCTCAGTCCCGAAAGATGGTTAACTGAAAGACCTCATAGCCAAAAGGCTAGCCATAACGATTGGTTTGATATCATCATCAAAAATAATAAAAAAAATTGGGATCAAGTGCAAAATGGTATACATACGACTCTTCTAGTCTTTTTAGCAGCAGCTCTTTCAGCAGCAGCCTTTTGCTGTGCTTTTTCCTTCTTCTGTTGGGTTTCTGGTTTGATTGCCTTGGCAATTGAACTTAATAAACTATTGAAGAGCAAATTGTTAGTACTTTGTGAAAGAATAACACTGGTTTATTCTTTCTAGCAACCTATACGTTACATCTTCTCCTCCAAAATTAATTTCGAATATGCCAATTGTTTGTATCTGAACCGGAAAGGCGATACACGGATCTAGAACTGAACGGCCAAGTTCATTCTAATCCACAACTGAAGGGGGGGTGGTAAAAAGCATATTCTCAAAACTCAGAGGAAAACAGATGTATCAGGCATCGGCTAAAACGAAGATATATATTAAAGCTGCAAGATAATCTCATTTTCCCTTGGTTATTCTTGCAAAAAAATAAATGATTGTAGAATCATTGGAAATTACATTATCATATATTCTCCCAAGATTCAACCATCCTTTTTGCAAGTTATATCAACGTCGTAGCTAATCTCTATTTGAGTGCTAGACTTTTAAAAACCATTGGTAGTGCAACATACGAAGCCATCTCGATTTGGTACTGATGATAAAAGATGATAAATGGGAGATGTAAAGTGATTTTTTTTTCAAATATTTCAGCTTATAATTTTTCAACATAATTTTTTTTGTTAAACGGTAGCGTTCAGATGAGAAGGTTTAGGGTTTGGACCTAAAATGTTTGTTTCCACAATATGGAGGTGCAAAGGGACCCGGGCACCTTCCTTTGAAGGAAGTGTACCACCTTTTCCAAATCAGGATGTACTAAATAGAAATGTTAGGTCGAGCTTGTTGATGGACTTAATTAGATAAGAAGAAGGGTTTAAAGGAAACGGACAGTAGATAATGTAACCCATTTGATGTTGTGAATCTCACCCAAGTAGATTGGTATCTTATTGCTATCAGGTATTCACTATTGGCTCTTTGCTTCGTTCAATCTTTTTGCTAGTATAAAGATTGTACGACATTGGAGACTCTAGTTGGTGCCACCTACAAAGTGCTGCTCCACTATTCTCGGCTTTGCTCGATAGTGTCGCGGCAATTGAAAGGAAAGACACAATACGACACGACATCAGCGGAAAATATCTGACGACATATGTCTATATTGACACTTGCGACATAGACATTATGAATCCGAGAATGGCTCACTCTTTCACCTGTGGGATTTTCTTTCCATGACTAGCAAAAGTTATTGGATAGAGGAAAAACCGTAATCATCTAAAGCTCTACTATATGGTATGAAAAGGAAACTATAAAGCCTTAACATCAATGAATAATACTCTTGTCATTAACTTATAAAACAAAATAAAAATTGATAAAACAAAACAAAAATTGATAAAAATTGATAAAAATTGATAAAAGTTGATAAAAATCAATAAACTTGATGAAAAATTGTTGTATCAAGTATTCCTTTCAGTTACCAGTTTGGTTTTTATCTCTCACTCTCACTCTCTCTCGCTCTCGCTCTCTCTCACATACACACACATACACACACACACACACACACACACACACATTTATTAGTAATCAGTTGAGATATCATCATATTCCAACTCCCTCAAATCAATTGGGACTTTCTTTCCAAATGTGTTTTCCCCCGAATACAAAACATACAAAAATCCGTCTTCGTCTTTATGCTCTTCATAAATAGTACTGATCAAAGCCGCAGTTGGGGGTAATATATCATTGACAAATATAAAGATTGCCTTTTCACTTGGTAACTTGATTCTTTTTCTAATCACGTAAACAAATTGTCCCACTGTCAAATCCACGGGTACCAAGTATTTACGCTTATCGATTTCAGGGATATCGGAATTCTCAACTTTCTCACATATAACTGGTACTCTATCTTTGAATCTTTGGGCAATCCTGGCTGCTTCTGCCTGTCTTTTCTCTGTAAAATAAGTGAAAGAAGTTAGTATTGCCCGGTGAAACTGTTGAGGTGAAGAAGAAATACATACCAAAAGGATGCTCGTCTTTGAATTGTGATCTCATATCGGGAAACTAGGAAGCTTGACTATAAAAGAAAAAGTTAGTTTTGAACCATCAAACCCGTGTGTCACTCAACCATCGGCTGTGGGATCAAATCTATCCCTACATACTTTGTTAGGTAAAAACACTACTATTGTAGATGAAGCTGTTGTTGTGTTTTGTATAAGTGTGTGCGTGGTAACAGCAACAGCAGTAGTAATGGAAGTAGTAGAAGCTGTGGTAGTAGAAGCTGTGGTAGTAGAGGCTGTGGTAGTATCGGTTGTATGTTGTAGCACTCGTGATACAAGTTGTAGTAGAAGTTATAGATTTTTCCTTCAATTGTGTTTTGTTATTTTGATAAGAAAAATGACGCCTCCCGCCCCCTAAAAAGAGAAAATTAGTGACTGATTAAAGCCCCTGCTTAATGCTTATCAATCCTTTATCAAAGGCTCGAGGGGGGGAAAAAAGAGTAACGGTATTGGGGAAGAGTAGTGCTAATGTAATAAAACTAGTAAAGAAGAGAATAACTGTTTAAGGGTAAAGAGTTAAGCCGAAAGGTGGGGGGGGGGGGAGAAAACGAAAACGGATATAGGATAAAACCTTTCTATTATTAACAAGAGGTTATGCTTAATCAGTTTGTATAAATATCGTAATTGTTTCTTCTCCTATTTCACGTGACTGATGTTTTTATTGCGTATATTATTTCCTTATAGGGATCGACACAAGCAGAGAGAGATGGTGGAGCAATAGTTTGTAGCTGTCCACTAGCAGGGCAAGATGGTGGAGCAACAGTTTGTAGCCGCCCACTATTAAACCCGTGTATTGTTACAACACTATCGAGCAGCGAGTTTCTTCTCCTATTTCACGTGACTAATGTTTTTATTTGCGTATAGTATTTGGTTAACCCATTAGTCTCGGCATTTACATTAAGCCCCTTGGTTGCAAAATCAAACAATGGGGAATTATATGAGATAAGATGATATGAAATAGATAACATGAAGTAGATGGCTATGTTTGAGCCGGCTGGCATTGTTAGAGAGGATGTAGTCAAAAGGATGTAGTGAAAAAGATGTAGTCAAAAGGATGTAGTGAAAAAGATGTAGTGAGAAGGATGTAGGTGGATATGGTGTGAAAAGAAATGAGGATATAGGTGAGTGTGAGAAGAAGCGAGGATGTAGAGCTGGTGATCCGTGAGAGAGTACAGCTAAAGGTTATAAATCTATAATACGCGTGAGATTAGAAGCTCATTAATTTGGTGCTAGTGCTATCGTAGAGCTATGCTAAAGGTATGCTCAGGGCCTATTGAAGTCATATTTTTCAATGCTTCTTTCGATGCCCCACTCTGCTCAATAGTGTTTTCTACTCTACTCTACACTTTTCTACACTACCTCGCTCTGCTCAATAGTGTTTTCTACTCTACTCTATTCTACACAACACTATCTCGCTCTGCTCGATAGTGTTTACCACTCGATAGTGTTTACTACTCGATAGTGTTTTTCAAAGGCTTGTTTAGTCGCCAAAAGTTGAACCACCAGCAACAAAAAAAATAGATGCAAATTTCAAGTAACGGTTAATTTGTCGCTTCTAGTATAGCGTATTTGTGGATGATTAAAATGCTAGTTGACTAGTGAGATAGCATGCTGTATCACCAAATATGGAATGCAGCTCTCTTGTCAACTTCAATAGCTCTCTTGTCAAACTTAATACTATACAATGGTGGCTTTCTTCAATCTAAAAATGGTCTATTACTATTAGTACTAAAAGCAAATACACGTTTTTACGTGTAACAAGGGGAAAAAAAAATAAGGCTATATTTATAGTATCAACAAACCACTAGTCTACAAACACACAATACTATTGACCACCTCAATTAAGTATGTTGAAATCATTTGCGCGTACATTTTCGTCCACCATTGCTAAAAGAGATTTTGCTCGGACCCAGTTGCTTGGAAGAGTTGGTTTTGTCGAGTTCAAGGAGTCGCCAAATGGAACAAGGTATGTTATGTACAGCTTAGCTGTTAATAAAAAATTTGATGGGAAAGAGGAGACTGATTGGTATAAAATTTTTATTCTCGGTGAGGAACAGGTTGCTGCTGCAGAAAGAGCTCTTAGAGTTGGTAATAAGATGTTTGTTGATGCTAAACTAACAGTTAAGGTTGTTGATGATGTAAGCAGATACTCCCTTGTACAAAAGAAAATGGATATTATACAATGGGGTAAAAAATCAGAAGACGAACATGGAGAAAGCGAACATGCAGAAAACGAAACTCAAGAGAAGTGATCTTGATCCTAGCCTAAAACTCAAGAGAAGTGATCTTGATCCTAGCCTAAAACTCAAGAGAAGTAATCTTGATCCTAGCCTAAACTCAAGATCACTTCTCTTGATCCTAGCACAGTGTGTTACACATATATGTATATGTAAGCCTTTATAAATTGTAAAAGAATAAACAAATACTTGTAATTTTTATGAACTTCATGAAAGAGAATTTTCCCCCATCTCGCAAGAATCTTGATTCCTGACTGAATCATAACTAATAATACCTATAACTAGTGTGCTCCACTATCAAGCAGAGCGAGATAGTGGAGCAACACTTACTAGCGACACTAGCTAAAATAACTGCAATCAAACCCGGGTGGCAGCTAGTGGTGGCAGTTAATGTGCTCCACTATCTCGCTCTGCTCGATAGTGTCGGTGGCAGCTAGTGTCTTAATGCAAATCCTTTGCCAGACTCAATTCATAAGCATATGCAACTGTCAATTTGACATGTTCCTTTATATGGTCCCAATCTAATCTATCAATCGTGTCCATTACTGAGTGTATATACTTGTTGGAGTATTTCATCTCGCTTTCAATGAGAAAAGACGATGGGTATCCATTCTCCAAGGCACTGGCATGATCAGAACAAGCATAGCCACATTTGCTTTCATGATACGGGATTGAATTATAAGCTTTGATGATTAGTTTGAGAAAATTGTTAAGCTCAACACTGGTGTAGTCTGAAATTAAACCAAAATGGGGTTCGACGCCTGCATCGATCGTGCCTTGAACATATCCCGTCATATCTTGCTGCAACATACCAACAACAACTTCAGATGCATTGGAATATCTCGAGAATACATCAATCGATCCTAATAAGCCTCCTTCCTCGGCTGAGTACCAATGGAACTCTAAAGTATTATATGGCTTAAATGAGCCATTTGCGTAAGCTTCAAGAATAAGTCTCAACGATTCCAAAATTGTGATAGAGCCAGATCCATCGTCGTCAGCACCAGGTGCCTTCATTATACTTGGGAGAATCAAATTTGCTGAATCTTGATGAGCTCCAACAACGACTTTATCCTTGACTTCTCCTGGGATTGATACAATAATAGAAAACTGATCCCAGCCATCATGATGGATCTTTTTCACCTGAATTTGCTTAAATTCACCAACTAGTTTAAGAACTTGTCCATGCAACCAATTAGCACTTTCCAGCCCACTCTCGGATCTGTAATATCTCGAATAAAATGAAGTAAATTTTGTCAATTTTTTTAACATGAAATCAACATCAATTAATGCAAACAACTTGTTTATTTCGTTATTGTATTTTGTAGATTTGGGGTAGTTATATATTGGAATTGTCTTTTTCAAACTCGTGATTTGTTTCGATCCAATTAAAAAGACTTTTTGCCACACCGAAAGCACTGGTTTCGTGACAAGACCTTGTTCAACAGCAACATCAATAGGTATTTGACCCGTCATATCGATAAAATTTTGATTTCTTCTCTTTAGGTTCAACTTTTCATCTTCAGAAACCAACCTATACTCATTGGGTGCCAATTTGATTAACCTATTTTTGCAATACAAGGATTGGGGTAATAAGGATAACTGGGGGAAGTTATCAAATATGGGGAACACTAAACATAAGCTGATCAAAGTGGTGAGAATAATTATCAGTCTCATTTTGTCAAGGAGGGGGAAAGGAGGAAATGAATCTCTTGTCTTTTCAACCTTATCAGCTCTATTGGTTCGTATAGAGATATGAAAGTTATTAAAGTGGATGTGAACCTTGGCGTCGCGGTTATTTTTTTTTTCAAATGGCACGACAACTTTTACATCTCCGTCGAAATCGTGCTAAATTTACGGCGAAATCGCGCTGCATCAACATAGATCCGCATCGCATCTACACTATCGAGCAGAGCGAGATAGTGTCGATAGATAAGATGTAGAAGATGGAGGGTGTGAGATGTAGATGTGGCAGAGTAGATAGATGAGATGTAGAAGATGGAGGGTGTGAGATGTAGATGTGGCAGAGTAGATAGATAAGATGTAGAAGATGGAGGGTGTGAGATGTAGATGTGGCAGAGTAGATAGATAAGATGTAGAAGATGGAGGGTGTGAGATGTAGATGTGGCAGAGTAGATAGATAAGATGTAGAAGATGGAGGGTGTGAGAGTAGATAGATGAGATGTAGATGTGGCAGAGTAGATAGATGAGATGTAGAGGGTGGAAGGTGTGAGATGTAGATGTGGCAGAGTAGATAGAATGAGATGTAGAAGATGGAGGGTGTGAGAGTAGATAGATGAGATGTAGATATGGAAGGTGTGAGAGTAGATAGATGAAATGTAGATATGGAAGGTGTGAGTTGTATTGCTCCACTATCTCGCTCTGCTCGATAGTGTATAGTGTTGATTCTGTCCATTGAAGGAGTCTATCTAATAAAAGCTAGTCTACCCTTCTTCAAATTGCAACACACCAAGATAACCGGCTCATTAATTCCCTATATATTTGCTATACTTTTTTGAAAAGTATAGTAATTTATTAGTAATAGAGGATCAATATTAGTATACGTTAAAGTATGGGTTATATAATCACTAACCTTAATACCTGATACTACTATTAATAAATAATTTAATACTGTTTCCAAATCTATATGCTATATAACTCAAGGCTATTTCAACAATCAGGGTACCTACAATAATGGTAGACCATTATGGTAAGCTATAGAGGTAATCTATCATAATCTTAAGGGTAAATAAACAGGATAAGCTATAAGGGTAAATAGGCTAAACTATAAGGGGTAATCAGGGTAAACTATCATGGATGATTATCAAGGCAAACTATAAAGGCATCTCAGGGCAACTTATCATAGACTGCTCAAATTTTAACAGATAATACCAACAAAGCTGCTTGGGCAAATATAAACAGAGGACTTTCCAAACATGAGACGGTAAAGCTGACTTTTAGTATCAAACACCTGGCCCTTGACTGGTTCTCCACTGGGCCCTTCACTGGCTGACTCGCCAAAAAACTGTTGCAAAATACTAATACTGTGCGCTACCATGTATCGGCCTGTTTCGCTCGCTTGCTCGCTCGCTCGTCGCCCCTACCCCAGCGAGTAAATACAAGTCGACAATGCCATACATACAATTTCTGAATACTCCATACACACACACAGAGAGAGAGAGAGAAAAATCTGGGAATTACCACATACTTACAGACTCAAATCTCTCTAATCACCCACAGCTCCATTTTTCTGGCTCCATTATCCTACAAATTACATCAACAACAAAAGTTTGTTCTGATTTTTCACCTTAATTTTTTTTTTCACGCTTCGCAATTGCATTTTATTTTCCATTTAAACAAAAAAAAACCATCAATAGTATGTGAGTTCCTTTTTTTGCTTTTATAGATTTAATCAGTAACAGCTGGGGGGGTTTTTTGAGAGCCATGGTTAGTCTTATTCCAAGCTTTGGTGGTGGTGGGTATGCTAATGGAACAGATAAGAAATATATTGTTCCTACTATCAAGTTGAATGACGCAACAAAGGGAGAAGGAGACAATTCTCCTAAATTCCATCTCGATGCTGCTGCTGCTGCTGCTACTGCTACTGCTACTTCACAACCTTCGCCGGCAGCAAGAGGAGTATCAGCAACAGCAGGAAACCATTTATCCAAAAGGTTTATCGAACCCGTGGGACTCGAGGTGAAAGAAGCAAGTTACAAGATTAGTATTCCTGACTTTGCCAATTTGTCGCCTTTACAATTGGGATCAAGATTCATCTCCAATGTCCATAAAATCGACTCCAACATACCGCACGACATTTTCCAATCGGAAATGTCCACAAAAACTCAATCAAGTCTCGATAACTACTATTTCGATTATGAGAATGGGCTAGCGGACTTTTCCAGATTTGAAAAAATCCAGCAAATAGATTTACCTGATAGGTTTTTTGAAGAGTACAACAAAACTGAGTCAACTACCAAAATTGGGTTATTTAAAGAGATTGAAAGGTGTTGGATTGCAATTGATGAGAAGTTGATATTATGGAACCATAAAATACCGCAGTCGTCGTTTAATCTGTCGACGCAATTTCTAACTTTAGACCAAATCAAAAACACAATTTTGGCAGTAAAGTTGGTAAAGCCAAAGGAAGGTATTTTTTTAAAAGAGATTAATTATTTGCTATTAATTGCAACTACTACCAATATCAAGATATTTCTAATCAAATATGACAAGACACTAAACAGTTTGGAGATTTTCAACCCGGATTTATCAGTTAATGCTCATGGATTGGCAGTCAATAATTTCATTACGCATCCAAAAACACATGATATATATTTCAGCGGCGAACGAGATGGAGTCAACATCTGGCGCTTGGATTATTCAAACAAGTCCTCTTTTACCAAAAACAAATGCGATAAAATATGTTTAACCAAGGGGGGAATCACAAGTGTTATACCGAGCAAATTTCTGGGATTTGGATTCACTTCAGGAACATCATCAGGCGTGGAATCAAACAACTTGGTCAATGTCCCCGAAAGTATCGTGCAATTTGAAATCGATGCTGCTCGAGACATCTTGTATGCATTGTCAAACAAATCGGTGATTAGGGTTTATAAACTTCTGCATAAACAAGAGAGCCTTACGGAGGGTAGTACACTAACTCCCAGCCAGATTTTCAAATCGGCATCCACTCTGTTTGTTGATGCAAGCAACTTCAAAGTGTTTGAAAGATTTAAAATCATTTATCTTAACGCTATTTCACCGGAGGAATCGTCGATTATACAGTTGATTGCAGTTACCAGCAACGGGTCTAGAATTCTTCTTAAATTGGGTTCTGCAACTTCATTTTCTTCGCTACTCACGTCGACTTTATCAAGTGCATTGAGGCTTAATCTAGTTAATATCAAGTTTCCTCCAACTAGAGAAATACCCGAGGTCAACAATGAGCTTGATTCTTTTACAAGGTACAGGCAGTACATTTCCCAACTTATTGCCAATCAGCAAAAATCCCAGCTTCTCAAAAACACAAAGATTGCGAAAATAATAAGTCCCGGTGTGTTTCTTTGTGTGAAAAAGACAAAGCGTTCGGATAAACTATTTGTTGCCACGACAAATTTTGGATATCTTAAGAAAAACAACAAGTTGGTTGAGGATGCTGAGTTTATAAAGTATAACCAAAGCGAAAATACTCCGTATACTTATATCCATGATATTGTACAATTGACACCATCAATGAATGCTGCAACAACACCTAATGGCTATGCAAACATTGCAGCCAGTCAGTATACTAAACAACCATTGAAATTTGCAGTGTTGACCAATTTTGGAATAATGGTGTACCAATTCAAGACCTCAGATCAAATTTTAAGATCTCTTAAGGATGAAGTAGTGGAAAACTTTATCGAAGAGAATGGCTATGAGGAAACTTGTTCGACGTTATTGTATTTGGCTTGCTCGTATGGTCAAGGCAATTCAAATGATTTGTTTGGAAGAAAAGCGCAAGTCTTATTTTCCACATGCGGCAATAATGCTCGATTAACAGGAGGGGGTCAAAAAGTATCTCAGTCAATGGCTTTGGTCTCACATCACCAGCAACTACAGTATAGCTATTACCCAACAGTTGACCAAGTTGTTTTTAGTGATAGGTTTTATGGGACGTGTTTGTTGATTGCAAGATTTCTTCGAGATATTTGGAATAAAAAAGTATTCAGCCCCTTGTCTTCTATAAAAATTACGCCATATGGTCACATTGAAATTGCCAGCGTGAAGGACAATAAGGTGTTGATCAAAAGTTTAAACATTGAGAAGAAACAAATAGAATACTTTATTGGTACAATAGTGGTGATGATTGATTTTTTCGTTCAAAACGGGACCAATATCCAGGGGTTGAATGCACCAAACTACAGTTCTAATCCATCTCAATTTGAAAATGAAGTTTGCTTGCGAGCGGAAAATATTGCTTTTACTTCAATTCTCAAATCTTTGAATTCCATGAAAGAAACCTTTTCGTTTTTGATGGTGTTAATTGAAGAAATCCAGGCTAAGGAATCTAATCTTACTGAAATATTAGAGTTTCTTTCTCCAACAAACCAAGCAAATCTTTTAATGATTACTTTTAAAGATTTGCTATTACCTTCTAGAGATGTTAAGGTGTTGATCAAGAGCTTGATTTCGTCAATTATCAATAAAAATATCGCCAAAGGAGGCTCTATAGATCTGATTGTCACATCATTGCAAACAAGATGTAACTCCTTCTGCTCCACCAATGATGTTTTTATCTTCAAAGCAATAGAGAGTCTTACCAAAGCAACGAAAATTGGATCTCGAGACATTGACCTTAAATTGCGGTGCTTAAAAAATGCCGTTCGTTTATTTGAGGAAACTTATGAAACTTTGACATTGGAGAATATCGAGACTTCTGTTGCCACTATGGTGGATTTAGAATTTTACTCTGGTGCCATTGGCATGTTGTTGAATATTGCTCAAAAGTTGAACAACAATTTAAGAAATCCAAATTTTGCAATAAACCAAGTTGTCAATGAAGATATAATGAAGAAGTCACAAACGGATATTCATGACAAAGTGAAGAAATTGTACAATATAATATTTAACGTTTTGAAAAAGATTGATTTGAAGGCACTAAAAATTTCTGAAACCAACAACCAGCTTTTGATCAATGAATTTTTAGAAATTCGAGATTCGGCATACGACTCTTGTTTTGCTTCCAAAAACAAGGACTTTCATTATTACTTTTACGATTGGTTTATTGAACAAGGAATCAGCGAGAGGTTGTTGGATGTTAACACGCCATTTGTTTTACCGTACTTGGAACAAAAAGCCGAAAACAATATTGCCTTGAGCAATATTCTTTGGCTTTATCATGCAAAAAGGGAGAACTACTTTGAAGCGGCAAAGATACTATATGCTTTATCAATATCACAATTTGGTCTTGATTTGAATCAAAGAATTGAATATTTATCTCGGGCCAATGGATTTTGTAATTGTGTTTGTCCGCCAAACTCAAGACAAAAAATGGTTCAATTATCATCGACAATCCAAGAGCTTTTTGAAGTCGCAGATATACAATTGACTGTACTCGACAGGATAAAGGGCGATCTGAGAATCAATGCTAATAATAAAAAAGTTGCCATTGAAGCAATAGATTCAAAAATACTTTCTATTAGTGACTTGTTCAACAATTATGTCGACCCACTTGGCTATTATGACTTGTCGTTGTTGATCTTCAAAGTGTCTGATTATAAGAATAGTGATGATATCATGAAAAGATGGACACTTCTTGTTGAAAAAGTGTCTCACGAGTCTAAAACTCTGAAAGAACCGTTTTATGTTCTTTTGAATGATGAGTTTAGTTTATTTGCATCACGATTGTCTAGCAATGACATAGTCTATCCCATCGACGATTTGATTAAGCTAATCTCAAAGGCACTTTATGAGGCAATTGAAGAAAACTCGGTAACTCAAACTCCTCCAAAGGGCTATCTTGTGGATTTATTTATAAATTCAGGAGTAAGTTATGAGAAATTATACTATAACATGAGATCGTTGATTGAACATAACATTGCTTGCTCGGTGTACCCTGAGTTTGTTGAGGATTTGAAGAGGAAAGAAATGAACTATCTCATAAAGAAATGGTACGCTACAGACAAAAAGCTCAGAGAGTTGATACCCGCTGAGCAAATTGTCAATTACGGGGACGTATACTCATTGGAAACCGATCCCGTAAAGTTAGCCAATTATGTATAAAAATTGAAAAATAAATAACTAATAAACAAAAAAAAAGCCAATGATTAGTTTAGTTGATAAAATTTATTCTTTTGCACATCAAACCTTTCCCTCTCAAATATTCCAATCTCTGTGGGACGTAGATTGTACCCGGAAACGTTTAATCGTTCAGGGTGAGCATTTTTACCTGTTAAATATAGCAAAACTCCATCTATTACCAATCTAACGGCATTTGGTTCTGCACCTCTGGGCATAACTACATCGGCAAACTCCTTTGTTGGGAAAATGTAGTAATTCATCTCGACTCGAGCTCCAAAGAGGTAGGCATTGATCACTCCTTCTAGTGTATCGGTCTTTCGTTCCAATACATCTCTTTCGATCCAGCGTATCAACCTAGTATCTGGATCACCATCTATAAACACTTTGATGTGTGCCAAATCTCGAAGTTCCTTGTCGTATAAAGCATATAAGCCATGAACTAACAATACCCTCTGTGGTTCTTCTTCTTCTTCTTCATTTCGTTTACTTAAAAGTTTAACATCTTGTTTCAATTTTTTGAAATCAAATCTCGATGGTTTTAAAATATCGTATTGTTTGTCTTCCTTCCTAATCGTTATTGCCGAAGTTTCAATACTGAGAAACTTACGCGAATCAACCGAAGATTTGGAGTAATCTGTGTACGCATTCATGTCTATGATTTGTACATTAATCGAGTTCTTTGGCATAATTGACATAAGCTCCTTTTTCACCGTTATTGCCGTAGTTTTCTTTCCAGAAACATGACCACCTCCGAGAAGTACTATTATAGAGTCACCGGTGCTTGCCTTCAGCATATTCACCTTTGAACCTTCTCTTACCTTATCAACAAAACCAAAATCTTGTTAATTCTTAGAGCTTTAACTTCCTTCTTTCTTTCTTTTTTTTTTTTTTTTTTTTTTATTTCACTTATTGGGTTTGCACTTTTGGTTGAACATAGTGGAGGTAAGCACCAATAATAAGACAATCCTATAATCTCCAGATTGCTTATTGTTGAAAGTTGTTCAATTCTAAGATTTGGGGTATGCTTGTTTTCTTTTGCTTTTACAAAGTTATAGCAAATTGTAGTGATGGGTTTGAATTAAACTAAAACAATTACCCCCTAAAACCCCCTAACCGCATTTTTGTTCATCTCATCGCATCGCATCTCATCGCATGGTTAAAAAAAGAAGCTACAAGCAAAAATGGCATCAATAAAGGCAAGGTATAACAAACGATAATGGATGAATTTGATCGAGAACTCGACAATGAGCTTGAGTTCAGTCACAGGTCTACCAAGGGGATAAAAATATATCGTACTTTTGAGAGTATGAGGCTAAAGCCGGAATTACTTAAAGGAATATATGCATATGGATTTGAAGCTCCATCAGCAATTCAATCTAGAGCAATAATGCAAATAATGAGTGGCAGAGATTGCATTGCCCAAGCACAGTCTGGAACAGGTAAAACGGCTACTTTTGCCATTAGTATGCTTCAGACAATAGATGCCAAGTCCAAGGATTGTCAAGGTCTAGTTCTTTCTCCTACGCGAGAATTGGCAACTCAAATCCAAAATGTCATTAAACACTTGGGTGATTACATGAACATACAAACGTATGCTTGTATTGGAGGAAAGAATGTTGGTACCGATGTTAAAAAGCTACAGCAGGGTCAACAAATTGTGAGCGGGACCCCTGGGCGGGTTCTCGATGTTATCAAGAGAAGAAATCTATCTCCGCGCCACATCAAGATGTTGATTTTAGACGAGGCAGATGAGCTATTCACAAAAGGATTCAAAGAGCAGATATACGAGATTTACAAGCAACTACCTGCTGGAGCTCAGATTGTTGTTGTTAGTGCAACTTTACCAAACGAAGTTTTGGAAATGACAAGCAAGTTCACAACAGAACCGGTCAAAATTTTGGTCAAGAGAGACCAAGTATCACTTTCTGGGATTAAACAATACTATATACAATGTGAGCAAGAAGATTGGAAGTTTGACACTTTATGTGATCTTTATGATAACTTAACAATTACACAAGCTGTGATTTTTTGTAACACCAAGGTTAAAGTAGACTGGCTTGCGGATATGATGCGGAAACAAAACTTTGTAGTTGCATCGATGCACGGAGACATGAAGCAAGAAGAAAGAGACTCTATAATGAACGAGTTCAGAACTGGGAACTCTAGAGTTCTCATCTCAACCGACGTTTGGGCAAGAGGAATAGACGTGCAACAAATCTCGTTGGTGATAAATTACGATTTGCCAAACGACAAGGAGAATTATATACATAGAATTGGAAGGTCGGGAAGATTTGGCAGGAAGGGAACAGCAATTAATTTGGTTACAAAGGGCGACGTAAAGGAACTCAAGGATATCGAGAGATACTATTCAACAAAAATAAGGGAAATGCCCCTGAATATTAATGATATTATGTAGATAACAAGATACACTATCACTATCGAGCAGAGCGAGATAGTGGAGCCACATTGGATTCAAATGTAACACACCCTATGTACTCACTCACTTTTTCCCTTCCTACTACACTATCGAGCAGAGCTCAATAGTCTTGACGATAGTCTTGACGATGAACTTGACGATGAACTTCACCATCTCTGCTCATCTCTCACGCTAAAAAAAAAATGAAAAAAAAAAAAATTAATTTAAAAAAAAAAAAAAGGACAGATGGAGCCTACTTTCCAGAGTTAAAGATTTGAAGCTTTGGGTATCAGCTGTCTTTAAAATTTTGCTAGGTGCTGGTATTGGAATTGGTACTATATTTTGACCTTCGATATGGATCCTCAGTTTGTTAGCTCGTTGGAGAACACTTTAAAGCAGACCTTGACGCCAGACTCTTTGGTTATCAAGGAGGCATCACAAAAGTTGAGTAAAGAATTTTATCCTAATCCTCAGGCATTACCATCGTTGCTCCAAATATTACATGAATCGGGCCAGGACGAGATAAAACAGTTAGCTGCAGTTGAAGCAAGAAAGTTGGCCTTGGATAACTGGGGAAAAGTTGATTCGTCGTTGAAGGCAGGTCTTAAAGATGCCCTTTTAAAAGGAACATTTGCCGAGTCAAAAAAGAGTCTTCGAAACTTGTCTGCACGTGTAATTGCTGCTATTGCCGAAGTTGACTTGGAGGTAAATGAATGGCAGGATCTTTTACCAAACTTGATTACTGCACTTCAAAGTGGAGATGCTCATTTGAGAGAAGTTGCAACTTTTATTCTATATGCATTGTTAGAGTCGCAGATTTCAGCTTTGCTCCCTCATATCGATGACTTTGTGTCTTTGTTTGCTACTTTGATTCGTGATCCAGAGTCAAAGGAGATTAGAGTCAATTCTGTGTCATGTTTAGAAGTCATTGCGCAAATCATTGAAGACAATGATAGCGGCGATGATGATCCACAATTGGTGGAAAAATTCAAAGCTACTATTCCAGGAATGGTGGAGGTTTTGAAAGAAGTGATTACTTCTGATGACTCCGAACTGGCAAAACAAGTGTTTAATGTGTTTAATAGTTTAGTTTTGGTTGATCCAAAATTGGTTGGCGATCACTTGGTCAACTTGATCCATTTTATTAGTCAAATGGTTACAAATAGAGAATTGGACGAAGAATATCGAGTATTTGGATTGCAGTTTTTGATATCATGTGTAAGTTATAGGAAATCTAAGGTGACATCCAACAAGTTGGGACCCCAGATTACCATGGTAGCTTTGAAAGTGGCCACAGAGGAAATTGATATTGAGGATGAGTTGGAAAATGAAGATGAAGAAAACGAAAATGAAGAAAGCGCACCTTCGTCTTTAGCTTTGAGATTGCTTGCCGTTTTGTCTGCAGAGTTGCCGCCATCTCAGGTAATCAATCCATTATTTGAAGCATTGCCGCCATTGTTCACTTCCGCGAATCAATTTGAAAGACGTGCTGCATTATTATCTATTGGAACATGTTCCGCAGGCGCTCCAGATTATATTTCATTACAAATACAGAAGATCGTTCCTGCCTTGATAAGTGGGTTGAAGGATTCTGAAATCATTGTTAGGGTTGCTGCACTCAGAACGTTATCACAACTTACTTCTGAACTTCAAGATATTATTACCGATTACCACGAAGAATTGTTGCCTTTGATAATTGCAATCATTGACTCTACCTCCTCAGTTATGGCATACAAGTATGCATGTTTTGCTTTGGATGGATTGATTGAGTTCATGAGCCATGACGCAATGAGCAAGTACATTGAGCCATTGATGCACAAATTGTTCCACATGTTGCTGCAAGCAAGTTCGTCATCGTTAAAAACCGCAATTGTATCGGCCATTGGATCAACGGCATTCGCCAGTGGAAAAGCATTTACTCCATATTTCCAAGGGTCTATTCAGCAATTGGAACCCTTTATCACTAATGTAGCATCTGTTGAAGGTATGAGTGAAGACGATATTGAATTGAGAGCTACTACTTTTGAAAATATCTCAACCATGGCCAGAGCTGTTGGGTCTCAGAGCTTTTCGGCATACGCAAAACCACTAGTTGAAGCTGCTTACAACTCCTTGAGTTCGGAACACTCAAGAACTAGAGAATCGGGATTTGCTTTTATTGCAAACATGGCCAAAGTTTACGGCCCTGAATTTGCTGGGTTCTTGGATCAAATTGTGCCACAGATCTTGACATGCTTAGCGCAAGAAGAATTTAGCTTCAACATAGAAGGTCCTGAAGACGCAGATGAGGATGATGAAGAAGCTGATGTGGATCCATTAAAGATTCATACAGGAATAACTATCGAAAAAGAGATTGCTTCTGTTGCATTGGGAGAGTTGGCCATTGGTACTGGAAAAGAGTTTTTCAAATATGTTGAGCCTTCTTTTGCAGCATTGGCTGAACAAGTGGAGAACTCCTTTGGCATGAGAGAGGCGGCCATGAGCTGTTTATTTAAGATTGTGAAGGCAATGTTTATTGCTGTGCAAGGTAAAGATTTCAAGCCACCCAAGGGGGTTCCTACTCAATCATATGTTGATGCCAATATCTTAGAGTTGATAAAAAAGGTTAGAGGAATAGCAATACCGCTCTTGGAAGGAGAATTTGAGTCAACAATGGTTGCTTGTATTCTTGACGGAGTAGCAAGTTCTCTTCAAGTGTTTGGTCCCATTTTTATAATTGATGGTGCCAAAGACACGGGAAGTTTGGAACAGTTGTGTTTTGCTTTGATGAACTTGTTGAAAAAAGAACACCCAAGTCAATTAGAAGAAGAGGATTTGCCAGAAGAAGAGGATGTATCTGAGACAGAAGTTATGCTCAACGAATCTGCCTTGGAAGTTTTGATCAGTTTGTCTATTGCATTGGAGGCGGATTTTGTGAAAATTTTCACTTCATTTAAAGATGTAATCTTGTCCAAATTCAATAGCACTTCTAGACCATTAAAAGTTGGGTCGATTGGAGCAATTGCCGAAATGGTTGGTGGCATGAAATTTGCCAATCCATATACGCAAGAATTAATTAAAGAGTTTATTAGCAAACTTGCCAATGACAAATCTATCGAAGTTAAGGGAAATGCAGCATATGGTGTTGGATTACTTGTTGAGTACAGTTCTGAAGATACTACGTCATTCTATCCCCATATCCTTGAGTTACTATTCCACTTGCTTAAGAAGGTTGACAAGAAATCCGACTCTTTGGCAGATGACGAGGAGGCAAAAGACGTGGTGAATCGTGCGTACGCAAATGCTTGTGGTTGTATCTCCAGACTTATCTTGAAGAACACACAAGCTGTGCCATTAGAACATGTTGTTGGGCCTTTATTGGATCATTTGCCCTTGGAAACAGGTCTCGAGGAAAACACTCCGATATTCGAAACAATACTTAAATTGTACGAGAGCAACACCGAAGCAATAGTATCCCAAACACCCAGAGTTGTAGAGGTCTTTGCAGGTGTTTTCAAAGCAGAGAATGAAAGACTCAAGTTGATTGAAGAGAGTACTCTTGGCAGAGAAGAGAATATTGATGCCATGAAACAGTTTTCGAGTGATAAATTAAAGTCCAAGATTGTGGAACTTTTGAAGTTCTTGGATGGAAAATTCAATGGTATTGTTTCAAGCAATGATGTATTGAAAACAGTGGTATAAAAAGAAGGATACTTGTTGTAGTTCCTTATTTTATTCTTTTTCTTATTTTTTATTAGACAATTATGGGGATATAATTTACCAAGTGTAAGAATTGAAGTACAAAGTGTGTGTGTTTTTTTTCTTTTGAAACATCTTGCACATTTTGTCCATTATCTTGACTATCACTATAAAGCCATATCCATCTTATAAAGTGCATATAGCTGATAGAACCTTGTCTCTTTATTCCATCATTTTTCAACGCATGTTGATTATTTCAAAAATGAGTTAAGTTTTAACATGCAAAAATTTTGAAACTTGCAAAATGGATTTCCCTTTGAAAAAACAAAAAGGTAATTGCTGCAAAAAAAAAAAAAAAAAAAAAAAAAATAGTAGGCAATACTATCTACATGTTAATTTGATTTTGAACAAGATATATAGCTGTATGATTGTCCCTCAACTTTCTCTTAGAATTGTAATGTGATCAAACCCGTGTGTAAACCTTATTACATAAGCTTATTATGAACTCGAGTGCTGCCGGAACTGCGGCTTTTGCATTTATTGCCTTCTTCTTATTGATACCAGCTTTTATATGGCATGGCAAGTGTAGGAATATTGCTGCCACATTATTGATATTTTGGTTAATGTTGATCGACTTGATTGGGTTTGTCAATACAATGATATGGAGTGGTGCAGATTTTGACCAAGTTTACAGTGGCAAAGGGTGGTGTGACCTTACATTAAAGTTGGAAGTAGGAGCTTCGATAGGCAAGTTATGTGCCATCACTTGCATTTCAATGAACTTGTACATGATACTATGCGCTCAAAAACCCATCTTTATGGACTCAAAGAGTTGGAAAAAGATTGTTATTGATTTGGCAATATGTCTCGTTTTCCCCATATTTATCATGTGTGTTAATTACATCATACAATCACGAAGATTTGCAATTCTCAGGTATCGTGGATGTTCTGCAATTTATTCCAATACAAATGCTACAATAGGATTGTACTTGATCTGGCCTATAATCTGGAGCTTTATAGCATTTGTCTTTGCTGCTCTAACATTATACAAATATATTCAAAAAAGAAAGGATGTCAAGGATATATTGATGTGCACAAACTCTGGATTGAACATTAAACGTTTTGCACGGCTTTTGTTATTCTGTGTGTTGGTCATATTTGGAATGATGCCTCTTGCTATTTTCTATTTTGTTGACTCCGTCGGGACAATCCGGGAGCCCTTCCATTGGTCTCAAGTGCATGATGACAAGCTTTGGGGTGTAATTGAATACTATGATTTTGGCTACATCACCGTTGCAGATAAGCTAGTTAACTCAATGCTATCAATTATTGCGTTCCTATTGTTCGGGCTAGGTTCAGACGCACTACAAATGTACAAGTCCTTGTTCAGAAAGTTCTCCCAGAACACAGTTACAGAAACATTGCCATTGTCGAAACAATCTACATATGTTCAAAATGGTGGAACACCTACAAAATTCAACTCTCCCAATTCTCAATTCAGTCGAGGTACAAATTTCAGTGACCCTACTATGCGTGAGTTTGATGATTTTACCGATGTCATCAAGGACTTGGGTATCGATCAGACTGATGTAGCACGCAATGTCGATCAAGAAAAGGGGGCAACTTCGCTTGTTGAGTGCGATGAGAAAGGTTTGGGAGGTGACTTTTTGTACACCTACGAGGTGAAGCAAAAGCCTTGAATATCTTGTCCCGTGTTATGTTGCCATGTTTTTTGTTTTTTTTTGTATTCTATAACAACTCTACGAATTTTTTCCTAATTGTATCAGCATCAACTTTACCTCGAGTGGCCTTTATAGCTTGGCCAACAAGGACTTCGGTTGCCTTTATATGGCCGCTTTGGATCCTCTTTATAATCTTTGGATTAGCATTTATAATATCTCGGCATAGGTCTTCCACTGAGAAGGACTCGCCATTTTGCTCCTCTTCAAGACCCAAAGCTTTAAGAGCATCTTTAAGACATTCCTCGTCGTTTCTAATCATATACCTCAATACTAGTCTCTTTGACACTAATGACATATTCAAGTTGGCAAGACATGCCAATGTTTTAGAACTAACAATATTTGTATCGAATGTCTTATTTTCTTTTGCGAAAGCTGTTAGCATTTCCTGAAATATCCATTTATTTGCATCTGGATGATTATATAGTTTGAAAAATGTTTCATAGTAGTGCAAAAGTTTAGGCTCAGCAATCAATCTTTTGGCATCGACTAGCTGCAAGAGATGTGGTTTAGAAGTCAACCTCTTTAGCAAATCTTCGGGATATTCAGGCATCAATGATTTTATATCCTCAGTAATATTCTCCTCGAGCACTATTGGTGGCAACTCGCAATCGGGAAAGTATCGATAGTCCACAGCATTTTCTTTAGTTCGAGCCAAATTGGTACTAAATCCATCCCAGTTTCTAGTCTGTTGCTCTATTCTGCCGCCACTCTCTAAAACCTCAATTTGTCTATTATATTCGTACTGCAAAGCTCGAACAATATCCCCAGTTGTTGCCAAATTTTTTAGCTCTACTCGAGGATGATTATTCACGTTTACATTCACATCAACCCGTATTGCTCCAGTTTCCAAGTCTCCACTGCAAACATTCAAATATCGAACAAGTAGTTGATACTTTTTCACAAATGCAAGTACTTGGTCAATATTTTCGAAATCCGGTTTCGTTACTACTTCAATTAAGGGAGTTCCTGCTCGATTGTAATCTATTTCATTTCCATGCTTTTTACCTGTATCTTGTTCTAGATGAACTCTTTCAATGTGGATACGCCCCTGCACTGCTGTATTGTCAAATTTTGTCAAATTCAAATAGCCATTCTTTGCGAGTGGGTGAAACTGCTGTGTTATTTGATAACCTAATGGCTGATCAGGGTAAAAATAATGCTTTCGGTCAAATTTTGAAATTGGCTGAACATCACAATTTAGAGCAACAGAAGCTCGTAATGCTAAATACAATGCCTCTGGATTTAAAATTGGTTGTGTTCCTGGTAAACCTATATCAAAATAGCTAATTCGTGTATTGCTAGGCTCATTGAAACTAGTACGTGATAAAGAGAATAATTTATATTTAGTTTTTAATTGCGTATGAATTTCAAGGCCGCATTTAAATTTATAATTAGAATGATAGGAAAACTCCTGTTTAGCAGACGTGGCTAATGATCTTTTAAGCATTAACCTATATAAAAAAAATTACTTAGGCTTGTTCAAATTGAAGAAATAAATCAAGATCATCATATCATCGAAAGTAAAGGTGCAAAAAAAAAAAAGTTGGTGAAAAAAAAGTTGATAGAAATAAAAAGATATAATGTATTGCTCTCAGCAGGATTCGAACCTACGATCTCCTCATTACTAGTGAGGTGCCTTACCAACTTGGCCATAAGAGCTTTTCTTGTCATTGTGCCTCGCAAGTATATTCTAATAGACTTATAGAAGAACTGATTATCGTAGCAAAGGAAGAGACCCAACTTACTGTTTGTTTACTAGTAAATTGGTTGAATCTCCCACTTCTTATTGGTCCTTTTTGTCTTGTCATTTAGTATGTCATTACATCTGTAGTTGTATGTCATTACATCTGTAGCTGTATGTCATTACATCTGTAGCTGTGTATGTCATTACATCTGTAGCTTTGTATGTGTTACTCTCTTTTATGTACTTTGACTTTTTTTTTTGCAAAAAAACTTTGTTCAATTGTGTCTCTCTGATTTATATTATTACCGTTTTACTAAAACTACTAAAAATGCAATAATAAATGATCAACAAAATAATCCAATGTCTCTCTGTATCCATATTTTCCAAAGTTTATTCCTCTTTTTATCCACATTGTTTTTTTAATTTGTATTTATTTTTTATTAATATTCTATTTGTATGTGGCTTCTTTCTAATAGTAGTTTTGCACCCAACCAAAATAAGCTATATACAGTAATTGATAGCTTTGAGTCTCTCGAGAATGTTGGTAGAAGCTTTCAAAAGTCGACTGGTCCGACACTAGAATCCGAATTGGCAGCTTTATACAAACACGAGGCAGCATTGGTTTTCAGTTTGTGTTTTGTAGCCAATGACGCTGTGTTGTCTCTATTTGGACAAAAGATGAAGAATTT